ATGGAAACCGGATCCTTGAGTGTTGAATTTGACTGTAAAGTCACGAGAAAAAATACAGTTTGCAGCAAGTCAAAAATCAAAGAGATGTGTAACACTATATCCCAATATGGAGACCGGGTTCTTGCTCGTTACCCTTGACTGCAAGGACACTAGAGAAACAAAAACAATTATAAGTAACGGCCCAATAACATTTTTATATCTGTAATTCTAGGCGGATACCAGATGATTGGTCGTTGGCCTTGACTTTAAAAACAGTAGAAAATTAAAACCGACAGTAAGTAAAATCCCAAAGAGAAGTGTATACCTGTAACACTGGACGGATATAGGATCCATGATGGCTGGCTTGGACTGTGAAGCCAGTAGAGAAATAAAGTCAACAGTAACTAAAGGCCGAACTAGATGTATATACCTGTCGCACTGGAAGGAAAACAAATTTTTAATTGTGTAGCCGGATCGTAAACACACTAGGCCAATACGAAAGAAAGCATGTAAAGACAGAGAGAAAAGTGTGTACCCGTAACCTTGATTTGAAATCAGATCTTTGATATTTGAACTTTAAGGAAAAAAACACTAGAAATATATAAATGACAGTAAGTAAAAGCTCAAGAAGACTTGTTTACCTGTAGCCCAAATTTGAGTTTTGATCCTTGCTGTTTGGCCTGGAGAATAAAACCAATTGTCATATATACGTCTAGGTTAGTAATGGCCAAGAACGACTTGTATACCTTCCATAATGGATGTATATTTGATCATCGTTCTTTGCCATCAAAAGAAAGTATAAATAAAGAGTATAGTTTGTTTTAAGTAAAGGTTTAAAGGAAACTTGGTTAGCTATAACAATTCATGAAAATCGGATCCTGATAATTGCCGTGGATGAGTAGACACTAGAAATATATAAAATCCAATGAGTAATTGCTCATCGAGTTTTTGTATACCTATAGCCACAGACTGAATCCGGATCCGTGAAGCATGATCTTGGTGGACTCAACACTAGAAATAAATAAAGCCGAGTGTGATTGCTCATCGATTTTTGTTATACCTATAACCATATAATGGGAGATCAGCACCTTGAAGCTCGACCTGGATGGCCGGAGACTAGAACTAGATTAAAATAATGAGTATATGCCCATAATGATTTTTATACCTATACCCATGGCGGGGAGATCGGAACCTTGGTGCTTGACCTGGATAGCTGGAGACTGGAGATATATTAAATCTAGTGAGTATATGCCCATAATGTTTTTTTATACCTATAACCATGGCGGGGAGATCAGAACCTTGATGCTTGACCTGGACGACTGAACACAAGAAGTATATTACAGCTAGTGAGTATATGCCCATAATGTTGTTTTATACTTATGACCATGGACGGGCGATCTGAACCTTGACGCTTGACATGGATGACTGAACACTAGAAATATATTAAAGCTAGTGAGTATATGCCCATAATGTTTTTTTTATACCTATAACCATAGACGGGCTATCAGACCCTTGATGCTTGTCCTAGATGACTGAACACTAGACATATATTAAAACTAGTGAGTATATTCCCACAACGATTTGTTATACCTATACCCATTGCTGGGAAATCGGGTCCTTGACACTTGACCTGGACGGCTGAAAACTAGTAATAGATAAAAGCTAGTGAGTAAATGCGCATATGGTTCTGTTATACCTATAACCATAGCTGGGAGATCGGAACCTTGATGCTTGGCCTGGACGGAATGGATACTACAAATATACAAAAACAAGTGAGTAACTGCGCATCGAGTTTTTGTATACCTAATCCGTAGACTCTGATCGGATCCCTGATGCTTGACCTGGACGGAAGACACTAGAAGCATACAAAAGACAATGAGCATATGCTCATCGAGTCTTGGTGTACCTGTGGCTCTGGATGGAAACCTGTTCTTGATTGCTTGACTTTGCCTGAAAAGTCCCTACAGAAATATCAAAGACAGTGAATGATTAATCAACGAGCCTTTATATACCTGTAGGCCTGGATGGAGATCTTATTTTTTATCGTTGACCTTGTTTGTCAAAAGACTAGACAAATATAATCTTCACAATGTGTGTCTTTGATGAATATCATATACTCCTTGAAATATAGTAAGTCCTGTCAGTTTATCTCTTGTTTCTGAGTGTGAATAGGCTTTGGATGGATTGATGGTCAAACCAGTGTTGGACCTCAGTATTTCATTTTTGCTGTGTACTGGTTTTGACGTATTGTCTTATATCTTGCTACTGACTGTTTTACATATGATAAAAGCCTGAGATTTGACTAGCAAAATGGATTTTTATTGGTTATGATTCGTCTTTAACGTCTATGTTGATTAAAGCAGTTTGTGAGAGAGCAGTAAAGAAGTGTATAAAGTTTTAATAGTATGTGGAAGAGAGTTGTTTTGACGCGTTCTGTTTGGATAGGTGTTTTTTTTTATAAAACTCATGACGTCTCAATCATGAGTTGCTGTTCTTTTTTATTATTTTTATTATGATAGTTTGATAATATATTATAAAATTCGGTTTTTTTCTTATTCCTTTTTCGGTTTTCTTTTATCTTTTAGCCTTGACAACATGTATATATTATTACTATTTTACTTCTTTATTTAATATCTATGCTTAAAATATGGGTTTTGGGTTTTAAAGAAGTATCACTTACATTCTGAAGGACGTGCTGTGCAGGCACTTGTTTTACTTTTTGTTTTTTTCTTTTGCCTCTTTTTTTGTTTTAGTTCTTTTTATGTCACATAAGGTCCGTGCTGTCCGTGCAGCATCACATGTGTCATGGGGCTTAGAGGAGCATAGTAGCAATAGTGGTCCAGACTTTACTTTAGCATGAAAACATTTAAATGATGTCTTCCGATTGGTGGACTATATGCATGTCAAATTATTCAGTTGCTATGGACCCCCATCCCCTTTTTTATTCTACTTTCTGTTGTGATTCTGTTAACAAGGCTTATGCTTTTGAACAGCCACTTGTCGAGACACTATATATGCCTCTGTGTTCATTTTAGCTGTACTACTGATATACAAAGTATTAATCGGCTAGACGTTAAACTACAATAAAGAAGTGTAAAGTTGTGTTGATTATAAAGCTTTAATTAAAGTCTTGTGTATATTTATTTGTTTGTTTTCTTGTTTGTTTGTTTCACATGCTGTGACTTTATTAGTTTAAGAAGCACCCCCGAAAAAAATTGCTGCTTATATCTTTTCTTTTCTTTCGTGGGAAAGACTTCCATTTTTCTTCTAGCTTTTTCACCAGTGTCTTGAGTTAATAAACACAAAGTGTAGGAATACTTTCTTGAAATAAAAGTACTTTCAGTGCTTCAGTATGAAGGGATTGACAGCCTGACTATTGAAAGTCGTTGGTACCTCAAGTTAAAGCATCGTTCTTAGAGTAAAATAAAAGTAAAAAGAAGAACAGGGTCTAGGCTAGTGTTTGTCAATCGACCTTGGTTTGTACTACTTTATAAACCAATCATAATCCAACCGAGAAATTAATACAGCATAACCCAACTGCCTGAAACACTTTACATTTATATGTGTTCAAATATACACCATTATATCGATGATTATAATTATTTATATAAGTTACATTATACACCATAAAAAAGTAGTGGTGCTTGCAATTGTGCTAGCCTGGTCACAGATAGATCAAGCTAGTAAAATGGCTATTACATATATATAAATCACCTTTTAAAGGCTCTGCTTATTTACTATTTTTTTCTGTTATTGCTCAGACTGACTGACGGCACAATATGAAAGCAAAGAGACAATCTACTGCTACTGAACGTATAGGTTTTGTTTGGTTGGGAGCAAGACGCTATCAATTACTAATTATCGATTTATAGGATCTAGTGCTTTTGATATTTTGCGCTTGTATACCAAACTCAACTGGATGCACGAATAACCTAGAAATAATACTCTGTTGGATTAAAGGCTTTGATTTATAACTTTTGTTTTGAATTATTAAAACTATGTAATACAACACAATACAGTACAGTACATATATCGGCATCTTTCTGTGCTTACTAAAAAGAAATAGTAACCTTAATTGATCAACCACTCTGTAAGCAGTTGTGCTGTTGGAACAAATCTGTCGGTTTTTGGAAAAAATGGTGAGTTAATAAAAAAACTAATATATTTTTGCCACATTAAGACCGTGTAATTTGCTACAGTGATTTCCTTGCTTGAGGGCGCAAGTGAAGCTTTTGTTTCTGTTTATGTTTTAGCGCTCTATAAGAATTTACAAAGTTATAAATATGAAATGGAAAGAAGTAGGCAAAGCATTAACAGTTCTAAGCAATGAAAAGGTAAGCAATTGATTGTATGTTTTGGTCTTGAATTATTCTTTATAATCTATCTATTATATTATATCTTCTCCTTACTCTTATGTGTGTTCCTCCTCTTCTCAATGCCATTCATATTGAAACGATCTACTTTAGACGATAGAATGTTGTTTAAAGCAAGATTCTTTTTTATCGTAATAATAGATATTATAAGTAATCTAAAGAAAAATTAAGCTAGTATTATTTCTGTTATCAGAGCTTTATACTTGTAGGTTGATAAAGCCTTCTATTATTAGTACAAATAGCGATAATCAACTCATCAAAATCCCAGATTATATACATAATGGTGTGTTCATATTAGGAAATTAAACTCACAGTCCTTATAGAACAGGAAGTTATCATTGATTAAAAGCAGCTAAGTACTAAATGACTAATTGTATAGGGTTTCAGTAGTTCAATACCTTCCAACCTTCAATTAGGTTGAGTACTCTAAATTTAAGATTAAATTAAACTCATATTGCATGTTTTGGGAATCAATAATGATATACTAGGGTAATATAGCTGGCCAAGATACATACAAAGTATCCTTAAGACTAACTAGTGAATTGTATCTATATATCATTCTATTAATGTATTTTATTTCTCGTTTGTAAAATTAAATAAATAAAAAAGAGTTGTATCAACCACTGATCATACTTTAGAGCTCATAATTTATTCAATTTTGGCTAATAATTTATTTTGACGTAAGGCTCTGTAAAGAATTGAAACCACCTTCTCTGACTTTGGACTCGACCTTATGTGGACTTTGTTTACATGAGTGAAAGCACACGGAAGCTTGGAAAGGATTTGGGCGGCCTCTGTTTCAAACACATAGTGCCTATAAAACGGCTCTACTTCGATCCATTCGAACGTGGAGAGATTCGGATATTTTTTAGCAAAGTAACACAGCCATCGGATGTCTATTGTAGTAATCTGGAATTTGATTCCGGTAGTGCTCTTTGCTGGCTTTGTGCTGAAAATTAGTTCAATGTCTCGATCAGACAGAATGGCAACATTTGCAGGCAGACACAGGTATTCCAAGGCTGGCATGTTTGAATGGAGAGCCTCGAAATCTTCCAGAGTATAAGTTGGTGCTCTTGACTTGATGGTACTAAAGCATTCCAAGTTTTTAATATTGGGTAGATATAATGAAAGTCTATGCAATTTCTGAATCTGATTTTGAGTTCCTGATTCATTCATGAACAATTTCAAATGGGTCAGCTCTCTCCAAAAACTCCATCCTCGCTTAGCTATGTTGTGCTCGTTTCTCAGACTGTTTCTGGATATGATGAGGTACTTTAGGTTTGGGAAACTCTTTTGTAGACTATACAGCTGATTGTTTTCTGCGCTAATTGAGTCGCCCATGTACAGCCTTCGTGTACGATTTCCAGCTTTGTTGTACCGATTGGTTCTTGTAGTTACCGCATTACAGACTCCTTTAAGATCGTCTGGAGAGTTGATTATAATTGTTTCCCACAATGAATCTTCGAATACCACTCGCCATAATATACAAACTCGGACACATTCAAGCTTATATCTTGGCGCTAGTAAGTTGGCGACAAGATACATAATCTCCAACGGTAGTTTCAATATAGACATTGTAATGGTAGTGATCTATATCTGGCTTGATGTTGACTGAGAGACGGTTAATATTTTTGTGTTTTGATTATATATAATATTAATGATAAAGAAATGAGGACATAGATAGAATAAGAAGAAAAGAGTTCATAAACAGGTTTCTGCATTATTTACATGAAATGAAATTAACCTCGTTGAATCATCAAAAAATAAAATAAACCAAACCAAACCAAACCAAACCAAACCAAAGAGATGTCACAAAATACCTATATCTGAAGTATTAAAGTCTAATCTAGTATCACTTTTACAAGTGACAACCTTTGCCTTTAGACTATGTTTTGACAACACTCAAGACGACAGACCAGCTTCTTTTATAGAGAGCACCAAAAGAGTGTCTGGTGTGCCAGGATAAACAAAATATCTTTGTATTTTATTTAATACTTTAAAGAAGGCACCCTTTGCTCACTAGATATGTGGAGGGATCATAATTTATCAAACAAAAATATCACAACAGCCGTCAATAAATTACTTTATTTCTTTCCTCCTTTCTTTGGTACCCACAATAATGTGTGTCTTTAGGTATGTATAAGTTCCATGTATTGAATATGATAATTTTTTTGCAGACACATTATCTCTCTACCCTCTTGTTTCTTTTGTTAAAGAGGGCTGAATATAGAACTAGGCCAAACGCAAAAACAAAAAAGGCGAGAATAAACGAAATAACTAAAGTATTCGGATGTGATTTATTTAAATGAATTGATTCATTTTAAGAGTATCTACCAGAGACTGATTATTCATAGGGTTTGGGTGTAAAATCTAGACAGTAGCTTTCCGTGTAATCGCAATAAAAGGAGGCATATCCTCGAGATAAATCAAACTTCCACAACTCCTTGCTCAACTGTCCCGTACTTGATCGTAGGACATCTTCAGAGTATATTTCTTTTCTGGCATTAGTCCGATACGAATCGAAATATTTTTGGGCATGTTGGATCTCTTCTATATTTAATATCCGCACCTCACTCTTTGGAAGATCACTTGTGTCGATCGAGTAGGTGTGAAACCACCTTGACGAGGAATCTTGTGTCGGATTATCATATTTTACTGACTGATATTTATCTGGAATGATTTCTTGTGGTTTCAAAACGGATGATTGAGAGAAAATAAGTATATTTATTGCAGTATCAGAGCACCAGTTTTGAACAGACGACGAAAATAGAACATTTTTAAAGTAGAGGTGAGAGAAACGAGTGTATTTCATGCATATGCTGAGATGTCCAGTAAATTGAGAGGTTGGACCAAATATGCACACATCAAGAAGGCTCATGCGAGATAGCTTCAAACAACACGCTGAAATGTAGCTGAATACTGCTGCACTCACATTTGTCTTCCGCAAATGTATCGAGACCAGACCATGATGTTGAGTGGCTGAATATATGGGTTCCATTATAAATATTTTAGCTGCAGAGAGCCTTATACTCTTTAATGTTTTACATTTATACAGAATAATATCGACTGGAAATGAGGCATGTTGTATATCCAGCTCTAGGGTTACCAAACGAGGCCACACGCCCAGTTTATTTGGAATGTCAAGGTTGCAAGGAAGAAAGCTTGGGTCTTTGAAAGCAAATTCTTCGAGGGATTCTCCAAAAGATTGATAACACAGACTGATCTGGCGTTTGATTTGGCTTGATCCCGAATTTGATAATTCAAGCCTTAGTTTTTTAATTGGTAAAGATAATCGCTGAATAATTTTCCATAGATTAAAACATGCTACATTTTCTGATTGGCGACTTGATACTTCAAGACTCTTGAGGCGCGGGAAAACTCCTAAAGCTTGATAGACTGTTTGAAGATCCTTTACATGCTCTATATACTTGGATTCTACATCCATAGAATCTTCCAATTCCAGCGTCTGCAGATTTGGATATTTTGTTGAAAAGTAGTCTAGCCACTTTAATTCGCTTCCGTCAAAACGGGTTTTCATATGTGACAGATGCTTTGCTGGTGCTACTTTTGTGATACCCACGAGATCGTGCGAGGAAAACTTCCCCAGATTTGGTCTTATGGATAAGTCTCTCAAGAGAGGCAGATTTTGGTGGATAGTTTCAAAGTCCTCAAGAACGTATGTGTGTATGTCTCCACTACCGCTTGTTGTGAGATCTAATTGAGAAAGCAGGGGTAAAACCGACAGGATTCCGAAAACTTCTCTGACTCGTCCACAAAGATGAGTTTTGGGAATACATAGCTTTAAATACTTTAATGATCCCCAAATACTCCAGTCCGATTGTTGGTCTCTGATGATGGTAGAGAGACTCTCCTCAGGGGCATACAGGCATTGTATTTCTTGAAAATAGTTCTGGAGCACAGAGAATTGTTTTTTATCAATATAGCTGAAGCTTGGAAGGTGTAATGTTCGTGTGCATCTTCCGTACACTTTATAGATATTAAGCTGATCTGTTGATAGGCCACAGATATAATCAAGGTGTTTTGCGTCTCGTATGTTTATTTCTGTCCATAGTGACTCTTGGAAGCCAGCTCTCCACAGGCTACATACAGTAATACATTCAACTCTGTCTTTACGTGGAACAAAGTGTGCGATTTTATTGATGATCTCGAACGGTAATTCTGGAATGGACATGATGAAGGGTAAAGATGAGGTTATGAATTTTAACAAAATTATTAAAAGTTTCTCTTGTTTAAAAAAAAATGCTCAAAAGAAGGAAAAGGTAAAGCAAATACGATCAACTATGCACTATTATGAGAATCCACATGATGCTTGGTGTTTGAGTGTTATGTTTGACTATCGGTTAATGAATAGAGCTTATAGAAGATGATAAATAAGTAAAGAAAAAATGTTTGTGTAAAATAGGTAGTATCCAATAGTATTTTACATCTGTGTCAAAAAAAAATGTATAGAAATAAAAACCTCCCCATCACATTGACATTGACATGGCCTCATAAATATGTTAACTTTCCAGATTTTACACAGGCACAAAAATTACAGATTAAGTATGTTACACTGTGGAAAGAAAAAGGAGCTGTGTTTTTTTTTAAAAAAAAAGGAAACCTCGCTATCAATAGTTTATATAGTTTAGATAAGACAACTACATGATAAAGAAGGAATTAAAGATCTCGGTACTATAATCAAAGCTTGGTAAGATGATTATAATTAGATAAGTTAAAGTGTATCACCCACTATCATTCATTATATCAATGTTTGACTGTATCAAGTCAATATTAGACAAAGACTATACTTAAACAAAACAAAAATTTAACGGTAAGCTCCAAGACATAAACAAAGCACAAGGCTTCAAAGTCAATAACAGTTCAATAAATGTATATTATAATTCATCTTATTAACATAGTGTCTATTTTTTGGGTCTACGAAACTACATTGGCCTGCAAAAAGAAAGGCATCTTACTTCTTTTTGCAGGATTTTATTTTTTAAAAAAGAATACACTAATAAGCTACCTCATAATTGCTTCTCTTGTATAGCCTACAGTAACATCATATCCAATTTACTGATATGAAATGCACGCAAACGACAATACTAAAATTCTATATGGATCCTTCATACTTATTTTTTCATCCTCCTTGGCCTGAAACGACTCTCAACAATAATCGAGGTCGAGCTTCTTAGAGCATGTCTCTTTCTTTATTATATTAATCACTTGTAGCTGTTTGATATAGTCGAGAATTGTCTCAGTATCCCCCACATTATTATGCTTATATTGGCCTTCTAAATTAATTGGAAATCCTGGTCAGTGTGCTTACAGAAATAAGCTTAGATAACTAATAATTAATGTACTTAATAAGCTCTAATGTCGAGATACCAATTGACACATTTGAGCTCTCTGTGAAAATTAGAACGGTATACCAGCCTAGAATATTCTAAGAAAAAAGAACTGGGATTCATTTCTCTAGTTGTGAGGCAATCTTGTCAAATCTCTTTATGAAAGAAGTCGCTTCTTTTTTCTTTGAGACCGATGATATATATATATATATTCAGGTTTGTGTCTGTTCGACAACATACTACGCTTTATTGAATATTCCAGAATTCCAGTCAAAGGTATTATTAATACATAGGCGGACCTATTATCTCTAGCTAATTAAGTCAGGATATTAAACATATAGAAAGTCGACAAGGTTAATATTTTAGTAGTAGCTTTAAGGTATATTCGATTTGAATACAATCAAAATATTCCAAGTGTCATTACTTAATGATAGCATGATGAGTTTGATAAGTAAATACGCAAAATCATATTCAAAACTGTTGTTTTTGACAAGCATAAATGTATTGTAGTGTATCATCATGCAATTTACATATTTGATTTCTTATTTGAGATATAATGCTTTGATTTCATACGCGCACATAAATAAATAGCATCAGAAGAACGATGTTGCTCTAATATACAACGGTTTTATTTACATATGATCTAGAACCAATCTTTCTCATTATGTATTTTAATTTTTTACTTATCAAAGCTTGAACCTTTTTAAGACATTCTATATTACAAGATGTCCATCAAGTTCAATTAAATATAGTCAGATTTATTCATTTTTATTTGCTTTTATCGCATAAGCATACTCGTTTTTTTTTTAAAAAAAAAATACATGTGTTTTTATTCATTTATTCAATGAACTATATGTTTGTAATACTTTGCAAGCTACCCTAAATATTTACAGATGCAAGGTGTTCAGGAAGATAACGTGGTCCTGCAGTATCAGCTTTATCAATCAAACGTCTCATCTCAGCCACCTCTTCTTTTGACAAGACAATGTCTGCGGCCTTGACGTTTTCTTCAAGATACTTTACTCTTCTAGTACCAGGAATCACGATAAATTCAGGTCCTTGAGCAAGGATCCATGCCAGAACATATTGACTTGGAGTGACACCCTTCTTGGTAGCAAGCGCAGTAATTCCATCGACAAGTTCAAGGTTCTTGCCAAAGTTCTCAGGGTAAAAGCGAGGCATATAGCGTCTTACATCAGCTACATCAAGATCATCAACACTTTTGTAGGCACCAGTCAAGAAACCGCGACCAAGAGGAGAACTGAAATTTGGATTACAATCAAATTTTAATTTTATATTTCTTTTGTTTTTGTTTTTAGTATTATCCACTTACTAGACCACGATAGAAACACCTAACTCACGAGCAGCATCAAGCAAGCCGTTGGTCTCGATATCTAGAGACCATGGAGAATATTCGATTTGAACAGCAGCAATTGGGTGCACCTTGTGGGCACGACGAAGAGTTTCTGCAGAGCACTCGGACAGACCTGATAGTTATCAACGCTCATGTGAGATTTTGAAGTATATTGATCTATATATTAATCTATAAAATACTTACCAATGAAACGAACACGTCCTTCCTTGACAAGTTCAGCCATTGCTTTGACAGTATCTTCAATAGGACTTGAGAAAAATTTAGTCAAATTTAAATAGCAAAGTGACAAAAAATAACGAAAAATTAACAGAAAAAAAAAGAGCTCACGTATTAGGATCGACGCGATGTTGGTAATACAGATCGACTACATCAACACCAAGTCTTTCTTGACTCTTATTGAATGCTTCGCGGACGTATTCAGGCTTGCCACTTATACCAGTCATTGTTCCATCTTCAGTGCGAATGAAACCAAACTTTGTAGCCAAGAAGACCTTGTCTCTCTGGGTCTTTAATACTCCAGATAGTAGACGCTCATTGTGAGACTTGATTCCGTACATATCAGAAGTATCCCAAAATGTTGATATGTATAAACACACAAATAGGTTTCAATAAATAAATATATATTATGCTTATGTAAATACCCTATTTCGATCGAACGCTCAAGTGTCTTTATATTCTCTTCATCGTTTGTAGGGCCATAGAATTCGCTCATTCTATAATATAGTGTTAAAAGTCTTTATATTAAAGTTGATTTAAAACAGTTTTTAAATTTATATGATATTTACCCCATGCAGCCAAGTCCAATAGAAGACACCAATACACCAGTTTTGCCAAGTTCTCTTAGGTGAGCCATATTATACTGTGTGTAGAGTGAGAAAGATGATCAATAATAGAATTAGTCTTTCAGATTATCAATTTATATCCAACTTTTCGTTATTTTTTTTCTCCAGTCAAATACATCTAATAATTCTCGTGCTTTATTATTATGGTTACCTTTATTGTTACTTTTGTATATAGATCGTCATCGAAAATATATTGATTCGTAATCTAAAAAAACTATCTGGATAATATATGTATATACATATACTTTAGGCGCCATAATGTTTAAAGATTAGGTTAAATAGGAAAACTCCAGTGTGGAATATTTGACAGCAATTTTACCTATCCAATAGGAAAAGCCGGAACGTCGCGGGATTTTAAATGATAGTTACCAATGCTTTTTTATAAATAAAAAAAAAAGTTTTACCAAAAATGAATAAAGCATACGCAATACACTTACCTACAATAGAACTCTGTTATCCATATAGAGAAATTTATCTTAAATTCAATACATGCATTTCTGAAAGTTGCTCTGATTTGAAGCACCAAGTCCTTCCAATGGATAAGATAAAACTTATATCGTCTTACTAAAAACCCAGTATCGGGTAAAGTTTGGATCATCATCATGAGAACTTGATATATTATAGATTTAAAGGCTCTTATAGATAACAGGTTTTACTCTTGAATGAAACCAATAGAAATACTATTAAGACCTTGGATTCTTTCACAGTATATAGGATCATAGTTAAAAGAAAGAAATTATTGTACTATGGGGTGTGTTGGTGCCTGGTACCTTTTGGCATTATTTAAGAACATACACATCATCAGCATTATAATTATTTTCCTTTGAAAACATGGACGAACAGACTTTTCTTAATTTAAATTACCCAAACTTTTGCTATTCTTTATTTAGCGAGAGCAATTTTGGGGGTTGAAGCCCCCCTTTTTTAAAATTCGTCAATTTGTAAAGAGCATTTTATGTTCCCTACATTTTTGAACAATTGACTTTGTTCTGGTTTTATTTTTCTCTATCTGGATTGAAACCCCCAAATTCTACTTGGGATGAGTTTGTTCCTTATGCTTGCGAGCATCATTTAGAAGGTGCTTTGTAAAGAAAGTCATTTATTTTTATACTTGAAAGTAACTATATGGCTTGTAAAATATATCATGTATATTATTCGTACCTTTCTTTATCAGTAATAAAAGAAACCCCCCCCCCTTTTTTTTTTTTTTTTGAAGCATAGGTTAGGCAAGTCATGATGCCTGTTTGGCTACCTGTCTTTGTCGTGTCTACAACAGTTTTTTTTAATGAAAAAAAAAGTGTGTGGCTACTTTTGTGACAGTCAAAAATATGGACTTTTGGAAATAAGTTGGTGTTTTGTAGCTCTATATCCTTTGGCATCTTTTTTTCTACTTAATCATCAATATGGAAGGTTATCAAGGAGCACCCATTCGTCAGCCCACTGCTATGACTTACATCTGTGCTGGTAATATATATTATATAAAAAGATATATACAGAAAGACATCGTATTAATAGATTATCTTTTATTCATTATTATTATTTTCAAGATTGTGGCACAGAAAACCAGCTTAAGCCTAGAGAACCTATCCGATGCCAAGATTGCGGCCACAGAATCATGTACAAGAAGAGAACCAAGAGAAGTAAGTCTTTAAGGAATTCGATTAATAACAAGTACTCATGTTTTTCTCTGCTATTTTTTTAAAAAAAAAAGTGGTACAATTTGAGGCTCGTTAGAAGAATAAGAAGATTGAATGAGCTCGAGACGATGTGTGGAATCTTCTTTTTTTATGCTGTCGCAATTGTATATACCTTTTCACTTTTTTTTCATCGCCTTTCATTCGCTTCTATGTATTTACGCGCGGAGACACATCAAAATCGACAAAAAGCAAATAACTTTTATTTTATTTGTATTGATGTTATCACCCTCCTTCTCATCCTCATCCTCATCCTCCTTCATTTCCTTTCTTTGATATTCACACATTGAATAGAGAAAATGATAATAATAATAAGAATAATAATAATAAACAAGTGTAGAAAAGCGATTTTTTTTTTGGATTTTTGGTGTGTGATTTAGTAATTGTTCGATTTTTTCATTTCGTCCTGGATTTTGCGGTGTAGTACACACATAAAGTCTACATAAGTTTGTACTTCGGCGTTACGATCCTCTGCCATCCATGTTGAGAAAATGAACTCGAGTGGATCCATATCTTGTCGGACCACCCGAAGTTCGAGGTAACGTGATCTTTCTGATTGAAACTGTCTTGCCAAAGCATGTACTTTGTGGGACAATTCGGTTGTAAATGCAGGTAAAGAACTCTAAAATAAAGAAAAGGGTGCATTTAATAGCATTAGTATTTATGTAGATATAAGTATAAGTATAAGTGGAATATTAGGTGAACTTCTGAAATATGGAAAACCATTTACCATATTTGAGTCTACTTGTTCTAAGTGAGAGACGCCAAATACATCTTCGAGGAAAGATGAAGGAATGTTCTTTCCAAGCCAGATAAAAAGATCAGATCCAGTGTCTAAAATTATCAGAGATTCAACTGAGCTTATTAGAATATGGATATATTAGATCTATATAAACTTACCAAGAATATAAGCACCATGGCTATCAAGACGTTCATAAGAACAACGAACCATAGGTGGTAACTTTACATCCCCTCGAAGGTCCTGTGTCCCCGACTAACCTCAATAAAACATGTTAAAATTAGCTTACTCTGTAACTATAGTAAGGTTCGTAGAAGCAATAGGCACATACACATGTATATGAACATAAACATGAAGATGAACTTGAATATTTGATTTATTACCTGATCGGTTAGGTTGTGCAATGCGTACATACGAGGATATAATGTCAGGACAAACTCTTTGACACCCATGCCATTAAACATTGTCATTCCCGCAGATCGAGCATCAGCATTCATATCAGCCCCCACTGAATAATTCCTTACTGTTAGGTTTTTTTTTGGCTTTTTTTTGTTGTTGTATAATATTTACCTCCTCGTAAAGCAGCTGATCGAATTGCTGCATGTACATGAATGGGTAAAAGTTTAAATCCTTCTGGGAGAATCAATTGGCCTGGAGAAGTAGACGCAGCACATTTGGTACGGTATGTAGTAAGCACTTGGACGCATGCATCTGTAAGCATTTGATGGACAGTTTTTCTGATCTTGTGGTGTAAATCAAAAATGGCTGTGTTTTATAAAATAAAATAAAATAAATTGAGTTTTGGGAAAGCCCTTTTTCTTTCTTTCTTTCTTTTAGAATAATGTAATGTACCCTACCCACATCATATTTTCTAATAGAAATGTATATTATTATTGTTTACCTTTTCGAAGCATTACACTAATAGTCGCATCTTCGTCACCGCAACGGAAAACATCGACAATTTGAGAAGTAACTGGTATACTAAGGGTATGGACACGCACGCGACGATGGCCATCCTTGGTAGTGTAGAGCATAGCACACTGGAACGACACACCACGATCAAGGTCAAGTTTACTGTCATGCTTAAAAACAGCTGCTACTGCTTTATCCTCGTCAATACCAGCCAATTCCATGTCGGTGTAAGTGCTCATGTGGAAATTTCCGTAATGATCGACAACTTGAAGCCCTGTAAATTTTTGTTGTTTTTTTTTATATGATGATAATAATTAATAAGAGATTATTATTATTTTAAGAAAAAATAATAATAATGTGGCGACTATCATAATTAGTTTGTTGGTCACAAAAGATAATTGAACTTTCAAGGAAAGTTGATAATAAGATTATCATTATTGTTGTTATCCTTAATATTCTTATATTATTTTTTTGATCATTATCATTATTACCATCAGAGCATCGAATACGTAAAACTGCATCATAACCAGATTCACGATGCAAATCATGGCTTAATTGGAAAGCCAGTTTCTTTGTTTCGTGGGTAGCGAATTTTGGATAGTATCGCACATCACCTCCAGTCAATTCAGACACAATTCCAAGAGTTGCAACATCAATATATTGGAAAGCAAATAACCAAGAATGAACACACACTCCGTTCTTTACACACTCCTTGCCAAGGTTTGTGTAGGCCTCGCTCTGAGGGTTTAGCAATGGCTTTTCTTTGTCAGTATTGTAGAGAGCCTTGTCGTCGCGGGCCTTTAGAGCATCTGGTCCAAATGTAGGCAAAGTAGACTGGAAGACATATAAATGACCTCCTGTTTTTTCCTAAATCAAAATATACATAATGTTGTAAGTATCGAAACAATGTGCCACCATATGGAAAGCAGAGAATATTGACTCACCAATGCAAGCATACCACCACGCACGGATGAAGTATAGACAGATTCTGGCTTGATGTTATCCTTGAACATAACTGGGATATTTTTCAATAATTCTAATACAAGGTCCCTAATTGAAAATAAAATATAATTTATAAGTTGTTTTTGGTTAATTAGCAAAAAGAAGGTATTCCAAGTAACAATAACAAGAACCCCTTTTCTTTTCTGTCTCTTTTGCTCTTACTTTGCTTCGTATGGGTCTACCAAAAACCCATCTTGTAGCGGTAAAAACATGTCGTTTATATCTGAAACCACAATCATCTGAGCCTGGGACAAAGATGGCTAATTTGACATAATCACTCTATCCATAAGATACACGTTGCTTTTTTTTTTCTTTTTTTTTACCGTAAAACACACACACACACAAACACAAACACAAACAGTAGACTTTTCTCTCTCTATCTTTCTATCTCTCTTCTTTCTTTCTTTTTTTCGACTCAAACTCACCGAAAGATTGTAAAACTGGACTCCTTTGTCAAATGTCAATATTCCTATTTTATTTCCTGGTACAAAGGTGCTCTGTCCATTTGTGGGACTATAGAGTGCTTGTGAAAGTGCTTCACAGCATGCCTTTAGTGTACCACTTTGGACGGACTGCATTGACACATCAATTGCGAACACGTAGTGGAGCGGAACTGGTTTACGTGCTGAGTTGTAGTCTGGAGGTACTTCAAATTCAACTGATCCGTATCTCAACTCGGGCCGCTGGTCCACATCAATACGCCGTCCCGACATGTCCAAGTTTGCAAAGTACCATGAAGGCACTAATAATAATGACAATAATATATATGCTAAGCATAATACATATTTTTCTCTTGCCATAGTTCCATTCAATTCAATCCAAAATTTAATTTACCTTCATTAGAATGAGAACAAATGTTGCACGCATATCGTCCGCCTCCTTGGATAAATGTAGAGAACGGGTTGATGTAGGCACGGCAGCGTGAACATCTGATTGGTCCTTCTTCTCCATGGTCTACGGTCTGAATAGCCACTTCATCAGGTCTTGGCTTTGCAAGAGGTTGTATTACGAGACCCATTGGTAATTTTGAGGTATCTGCTAAGTCTTTAGAATAAGGAACCCTATCGACAGTAGAACGTATAAACCGAGGATTGGCATTTCCTACAGGCACACACACACACACACATAAATCTCAAGCTCATTAGAATAATATTTTCTCGAAAAAAAAACAAGAAAATATCGAGAATCTCTCTTTTTCTCTCTTTCTCTTTCTCTTTCTCTCTTTCTAATTTTCGCGTAGTATTGTTACCTTGATCAAGACCAATATAAGGTGTTGTAGCCAGGGGTACTTTATCCCGTTCAAGAGTTCCAAAGAACTTTTCCGAAAATAATTCTTCGTCGTGTTCTCTGACTTGTACTGGCGAAGGCATTTGGTTGGGGTCTACACGAGGACGAGGTTGCTGAGGAGGGCGAAGGTCAGGAGGAAGTTGTTGCTGGGAATTTGTGTAAGGTCCATTGTGGTATCCAATTCCAGCTGATCCAGGCGCATTTGTGCCTGCATGAGGTACTGGTGGGGCTAAAGGTGGTCTAACACCTGCTGGGGTAAATTGTTGCTGTTGCTGTTGCTGTAAATGAGGTGGTAATTGATGCTGTGGAAAGTTTGGATGCTGTTGTTGTTGTTGCTGCTGTTGTTGTTGGTTTAATCCGTGAGGCCAAGGTGCAGATTGAGGATTTGGAGGAATAGGAGATCCTCCTGCTGCCACGTCAGGATTCACATAAACTCTTTTAGTGCGACCTTGAGGAATCACCTAAGAAAAAAAATAGAATCACAATACCGCCCTTAAAGCCTTAATATATATATATATATTCTTGTCCTTGTCCTTGTTCTTTATTTAACATTGTTGAAGGATGCTAGAAACAAAACAGAATAAAAATGGTAACATACCTGAGCTGGCTGCAACGGACTTGTTGGCTGTAATTGCATTGTTTGCATAGGTGCTACCAAATCAGCCGGTCCTCGTGTATTTCCAAGTTCTGCTGCTGGTCGAATATTAGGACCCAAAGGAGTATTGGTAGAAGGTCGAAACTGTGGGTGCGTAGCTGGTGCGTTTCCACTCAGGGGTCGTACAGGTGCAGGAACTCCTGGTCTGACTGGCATCATAGGACGAGGTGGTTGTGGGGCTCCTTGAAAAAAAATGATAATAATGAAAGAAGAAAGAATTAATATACATAAATACATACATACATTACATACATATGTTTTTGGTTATTAGTTCTATCTTTTTTTATTTCTGTTTTTTTATTTCCTTTTTGCTTTATTATTAATATTTGTCAAGTACTATAGAATTCTGTATTATCGCGTGAAATAAAGAAGATGGATGTGAAAATAATAAAAAGCCTTTTTTTTCTCTCTCTTTCTTTTACCTGCCGGGTTCATCATGGGCCTCATAGGAGTGCCAGGTACAGCATTCATTGGCCGCATTGGAGGTAAATGACCAGGTGGACGTATCCCGGCTGTGGGTTGAGTCTGGGGACGAATAGGCCCTGGTGGAGGTCTCTGGCCGGTGTTCATTGCAAATGAAGATAATGAGTTACTTCACTCACTTTGGAAAAAGTATATATATAAAATAAAATAAAATAAAATAAAAAAGTCTATGTTCAAGAAAAGAACACCAGGTTGAACACGAATGTGCCACTTTGCAAGTACCGCCCGTTTGGGTAGCCGATGATGTGACGTCATGTCTCTCTCCTTCCTTTGTAAATGCATTGGCCAACAACAACAAAGTGGCCACAAATATATATCTATTATTTATATGTACAATATGATTTTCTTTTATTGATATTTAATCAATGACTTCTATGATACGATTGTGTTTGTATTTAAATTTTCGTAGCTTTTTTTTTCTGAGAAAGGTTGTACCTGATTTATATTTATTTATTTTTACGCGCTATTCTAGAAAGTGGCGGGGACTGCTTAACACACCAAATTAGTAGTAGTAGTAAGTAGTGATAGTGGCGATGAAGGCTTTGAGAAGTTCACTAGACAATTTTTTTTTGGTCTTTTTTTCGAAGAACCAACAAAAATACGTTTTAAGCCCATAAATGCATGGACAGATAAATAGAAAGGATCTTAGATGATAACAATATTTAGCTGTCAAAATAAACTTGGATTGTGTTGTCATGGTTATCTTCTTTCGAACCCTTCCCCCCATCCGCTTACTGTCACTTTGTCTCTATTTATTTCTATTCTCCTACATTACCCTATATATATATTTTATCTTCCGATGGAGCCAAACATGGTCGATCCTCATGGCGCGCCCAATCGAATGGTAGCTGAGAATCACGTCTTGGTTATTTTTATCCCGGGCCAGTATGATAATTTTTTCTTACTCTTCTTTTCCCTCATCTGTCACTTTTTTTTTTGCTTTTGGTTCATCTCATCATGGCTACTGAATCCGTCATCCTTGTTACCGGTGGTTCCGGCCTTGTTGGTCAAGCTATCAAGTGGGTTATCGAGAACGATACCTCCGCACAGTTTGGAAAGAAGAAGGGAGAGACCTGGGTTTTCTTGACTTCCAAGGACGGAGACCTGAGGTAAAAAGAGATACATATAAGAATAAGAGATAGATAAGCTTAAACTAAACTAAACTTAGCTGACAAATTCAAATGCCAAAATTAATTAAAAATGAAGAAGGGGCAGAAGTACATATTTAACTGACTAAGATGATAATAGAAAGGAGGCAGATACCAAAGCCATCTTTGATAAGTACAAGCCTACTCACGTCATTCACTTGGCTGCTCTTGTTGGTGGTTTGTTCAAGAACATGAAGTACAAGCTTGATTTCTTACGCGAGAATATGTTGATCAACGATAATGTCTTGGAGTACTCTAAGCGTTACGAGGTAAAGATAATCAAAGAGGCCAATTTTTTTAGTCTATTTTATTTTTGCTTTTTTGAAACAACAATATATATCTAAAAGTGAACACTGTTGTATTTGATATTAATATTTTTTTAAAAAAAATCTTTGTATCATTAGGTCAAGAAGGTTGTCTCTTGCCTTTCTACCTGTGTCTTCCCTGACAAGACCACTTATCCTATCGATGAGACCATGATCCATAACGGTCCTCCCCATGAGTCTAACTTTGGTTATGCTTACGGAAAGCGTATGATTGATGTCCAGAACCGGTAAGAATAAGGTTCAGATTACAAATATGTAGATATATTATTTCAGCCACTGATAATAAGTTATTTATGTATATATTGTGTGGCTCAGTGCTTACAATGAGCAGTATGGTTGCAACTTCACTTCTGCTGTCCCTACCAATGTATTTGGTCCCCACGACAACTATGGTCTTGAAGACTCCCACGTTCTTCCCGGTCTTACCCACAAGTGTCTTTTGGCCAAGAGTAAGTTGTATTCTATTCTATTGCATTGTGGTTTATTTTATTTTATACTTTGATTTTTGATATAAAAATGAGGCTCAGTTTGTGTGTGTGTGTGAGAGAGAGAGAGCCACTAATTGAGTACATTATTAATCAATAATTTCTAAAAACTACAAACAAAAAATGTTGGCTTTGAACCACCCTATTAGAGAACGGTACTCCCTTTATTGTCAGTGGTACCGGAAAGCCTCTTCGTCAATTCATCTACTCTCGCGATCTTGCAAAGCTCTTTATCTGGACCCTGAGAGAGTACCCTGAAATTGATCCCATTATTCTGTCAGGTAAAGATAGGATGAAATCATATAATGATTGTGATAAAAATCAGTGTGCTTTGTGTGGAAGCAATTTTTTTTTAAAAAAAAAGAGAGAAAATGAAAATGAAAGAAAACAGATAGTTAAGGGTGGCTGTTGTATATATATATATATAATAGTGACTAGAAAGGGAATCAAATTGATTATTAATCTGCGTTAATCCGGTATTTAGTTGGTGAGGAAGATGAGGTCTCTATCAAGGATGTTGCTGATGCTATTGTCAAGGCTATTGACTTTAAGGGAGAGTACTCTGTAAGTTAACTACAATATATATGATTTATGTACATGCATTATTTATTTATTATGTACTTGACAGTTCGATACTAGCCGTGCCGATGGTCAGTTTAAGAAGACTGCAAGCAACGAGAAGCTTAGAAAGTACCTTCCAGACTTTAAGTTCACACCCTTTGATGTTGGTAAGTTAAGATAAGATAATAAATGGTGCCTCTTTTTAGACCACCATATGCTCTATTATGCTATACTATAAATAATTCGGACGTTTGCTTACAACATTTGTCAATTCTATTTTAGCTGTCAAGGAGTCTGTTGAATGGTTCGTCGCCAACTATGATACCTGCCGCAAGTAGAGAGCATTTAGAAAAAGAAAGAAAGAAAGAAAGAAAGAAAGAAATATATTAGCCCTTGATTAGCTTTTACTTTTCATTTTCTTTTTTTCTTTTTTATTTTATTTTATTTTTTTAGTTATTGCTTGATCCACTCAATAAATAATCGGTTTCCATGGAAACCTTAAATGATAGTGTAACAAGATATTTTGGGGGTGAATGCTGGTAAGAAAAACAAAAATTACAAGTGTATATATTACCAATAAAATCCAGTCAATGGTCATTGGTTTGCTTAACATAATTGTACTCTCTCTCTCTCTCTTTATTGATATTTATTTTTATACTTTATAAATAAAAAGCTGAGCACATCATCCAATAACTGCATGGTGACCATTTATTCTTATTTGCCATTTTAAGTAGAATAAAAAAAGTTACATTAGACAAAAACCAAACGCCAAATATCGGTATTCTAATCGATATTTAGCAAGTTTATACTTTTTATATATATATTCAACCAACCTTTTTCTTAGTCATTAAATAGAAAACAAGGTTAGGACAATATCTTGAACCTTTTAGACAAGAATTCTTTTTTTTTTCTTTTTGATATTGTAAAGTAGTTCTCTTTAACAGTTTATGACCAAAAATGAATTTTTTTAAAAATAATAATAATAGCACCTATAGCAACTGATTTCCAATCAACTGAACTGTAGAAACAAGCTGGTAACTATAAAGAAGATGGAGGTACTTACTAAAATACCCACTCAGTATAATAAATGTTAAAAATATGTACATATTCAGCACCCAGAAGCAGAACTTCTGTCAATAGTAAAGCCATATTTGGTATTTTTTTTGCTATTTGTATACTTGTAAAGCCTTTTATGGGTGCTTAGTATGAAATTCTTAACTTATTTTTTTTTGTTAAAATAGCGACCTTTTCCCCTCAATTTTGCGTTTGTTTTATATAAATTTCTTGGTGAATTTGATGGTGAATTTGCTAAAGAATAACAATTAAAAGCTGACCTTCTCAGTATCTTTAGATAAAGGGTTATGTCATTAAATTTATACAACTTATTCCAAGGGTTTTTGTATTAAAATTTGGAGAGAATAAAAGGAGAAGATAAAAGATTAGAACTATAAAATTTAATCTAGTAGTTGACACATCACTTACCACTAATATTACCTTTTGTTGTTATTACGCCAAGGAAAAATTAAAGGGGGTTATAATTACAGAATGAAAGTCTATACAAAATGACAAGTACAACATCTCTTTTTTTAAAAAAAAGAAAGGTCGTGTGTCACTGATCTGGTATATTTGTATAGCATTTACCGATTATTACATGACCTATGCTATAAAGCAAGTGTGCTATTAAAATTGAACAGTTCTTGAGTATATATTATCGAGCCAAACATTGGATCATATTCAGCAAGATCTATGAATCTTTGAATGGTTTGATTTGCATAGATACAGCGTTGCATTAAAACCCCCCAAATAGATTTTCGATCTGGGAAGTGACTGATGAAGTACGGATATGTCTTTATATAGATGTCTCAACGGAAACTCTGTCTATGTCGGCTATCTTGATTTAGATCTATACACGACATTGTACTTTTCTGGGATGTGGTTGAAGAACAAGACGAGATAAGACAGCATATTACTATAAAATCTATAGGAATCTTCTTTTGAATAAAGAGCTCAATTTGTGCTTATGATCCTTTATGTTAATCAAGTGTGTGTTTCAAAAGGGCATAATTGGGTTATATATTGCCAAGATATTTTATAACATATCAAAAACTAGAGTTTCTCAGCCGTTAAACCATTGCTTTTTGTATATATTATAATATTAATGTAGCTACATTACCATCTGCTATAGCTATAACTTTGTACTATATTAATGTTTAATTGCAAATGACATTTATTGATTTGCTTTTGAAAAACAAAATATAGGTTTCCAAATGTCTGTCCCTCATCTTTCTATTTAAGGAAGTTCTGATTTAGACCAGTCGTACAACCCCATCTTTGGAAGGTGGAGACAGAACTTGTCGGAGAAATTTGTCTAAATATAGCAAAGTGTACAGGCAAACCAACCTTATATTTATTTTACTTTTCAAGCTGACATTAAATAAAAATAAGAAAAAATAAGAACTCTGAGTGAGTGGGTGTTGCTTGCTCGTGCTGCTGTCTTTTTTGAATTTCTTGATTTGATTTGATTTTTTTAAGGAGCTTCATCTCTTCTTTCTTTCTTTATCTTTTTTTTTTCTTTTCTTTCTTTTATATTTATATATATTATTTATATATAAATATATTATTGATTTGGGGTGATGGCTTGTGGCTGGTTTCATTGGATATTCTTCCCATCTCGACTCGCAGATATTGGTGCTGATGGTCCACCATCGAGTTCGGCCTCACTGGCTGGATCAACACAACGGATCGGCCTAGTCAAGCTCCGATTAGAACCGCCTTCCTCGATCCAGTCCTGGACAGACTGCGGCCTGATCTTCTTGAACCATGAGTTCTTGAGAGTATTGGGTGCCATTGTCTGGATCGTTTTGTGCGGATTGATCGAAACATTTCTTGCTGAATTGAGCGATATGCGTTACTCTTCTACCACCGGTGAAAGGGTTAGTTTTCATACCAAATCAACAAAGAAAGAAATCGAATATAAATTAAAATGACACCGTAATGAATCATCGCGTGTTATTTTAGCATCCTCTAGGCGACCTGGCCTTTGATGCCTTTCCTTACGTCGAGAACTTTCAGATCGTAAATTATTTACTGACCACAACCATCATCTACACCATCGTTGCGTTTTTACTCCAATCCCCAGACTGGACTACCCGCTGGATCATATTACGACGCTGGCTGGTCATCATGGGATTTCTGTATGTGTTCAGAGGCATCACCTTGGTTGTCACCCAACTGCCTTCTCCCCTCTATGACAACTGCCAGCCTGATCCGATCTCTGTGAACGGAAGCCCTGCAGCCAGATTTGGTTTCCTGATTGATATTATAGGCGGCACAGCCATGACTTGTACTGACAATATTTTTTCGGGCCACACGTCTGTAATGATGTCCTGTGTTATGGTCTGGAGAATCCATTCTCGTATCAGACGTCCATTCAACTGGCTAGCATACCTTATTGTGGCTGCTGGCCTGCTTATGATCCTTTTTACCCGCTTTCACTACACTATTGATGTTTTGTTGGCCATATGTAAGTTTCTTTAGAATATATATCTTTGATGTCCATGACCTTTGTGTGTATAGAATTAACTCAGGGGTCTGTTTTTTTCTTTGTTTGGTGTATGTAGATATTGTCTATACTACCTGGACGATCTATATGCGATGTATCCAAGATGCCTCTCTCCGATACATGTTCGGATTCTCACAGCACACAACCCTTGATCTTTTCAAGTCACGAATACCAACTACCAACGCATCTGCTGTGTATGAATATTTGACCTGGCAACCTCACCCACTCGGGAAGACGTGGCTGATGTGGTTCTGTATATACGCTGACGGCCTGGACATTCGATTGCGCGCCATGGGTGTGTTTGATGAACGTGGCCAATGGCAAGATTGTAAAAAGTACGCCGGAACCACCGATCACCCAATGACTAGAATTGTCTGATCTTTGGTTATAAGCAATCAAACAAAAGGAATCTATTTATCTAACAGACTTCTTAAAGTCTTTATGTAATCTTAGTCATAATACTTATTTAACAATTAATTCCCTCTCTATTTCTACTTTTTCTTTAATAACTCTACCCACAATTGTACGCTTTAATTTTCTCTTAATGATAGTAATTCATAATACTGATACTTAATAACAATAATATATTCTCTAAAATTATCTGCCTTCTTTCTTACAAATGAAGAGAAAGTCGAGACTTTGAATCAAAATATCAAATGTCGTACGGATAAAAAAAAAGAATTTTTTTCTTTGGTTCCTGTTTCTATTTTTCTCCACCTGCTGTCCTCGCGGAGGTTCCTGCAGCAGCAGCCCTTGAGGTTGATAATAGTAATATGTATTATATTAACATGTTGTTCATAGCTAGTCTCTTGCTAGTGCTAGTACTGATACTAGTACTAGTACTAGTACTAGTAGTTAGAATAAATTTATATACATAGAGTGTTTGGTATTCTGAAAAATAAATAATTGAACAACCAAAAAACAAAAAAAAATCCAATAAACGCTTTTAAAGCAGTAAACCTTTCTGCTGCTTAAATTACCTAGTGAAAAGACATTTATCACAATAGACAATATTGGAGTCAATGGACTGGTAGTTTTTTTTATTATATTTGTATAGCTTTCATAAGTCAAGGACATAAATAAAGAAAAGAGTATAGTGGTGTTTGGGGGCAATACATATATTGATATCAAGAGGTTTGTACCAATAGTCTTGTTATGTGACTTGTTGATTAACTGGTACAATTTAGAGATTGGCTATGGACAATTTGGATGGGATCTTATTGCTGTTCCAAACTATGTAGGGCTGTAGATTTGACGGTGAGAAGATTTAGTTTTTGGCATTAGCAAAAAAAAAGTCTCCTTGATTGTTTGCGTATCACCCATCGAGAGTTTTGCCAAGTTTGACTACCTTTACAAAGGCTTAGAAGACTTTTAAAGTGCTTTCTTGTCTTCAAGATTAAGCTATAAGAAAATGACTTTTTGCAAAACAAAAAAAGAAAGAAAGACATGTATTTATGTAAAAGGGACGCAGTTGTATTTGATAGGGACATATTTTTTGATCGGCTAAAGAAAATATATATATATATATAAGAGGTTGAAAATAAAGAGGTATTGTATACATATACATATATAGAATACTTGTTTTTGCACATTTTATTAGTATTACTAGTACAAGAATATTATAATTAACGATCCAATAAGGCAATTATGAATTGAACATAATAAAAATAGCAACCATCTAATAATTCCCAGGCCAGGCTGAATAAGAAGGGCTGCTGAAGACGGGAAAAAGTATGAATGATGATGATGATAATAATAATAATAATATCTATTAATTTATTAATTTATTTATGTGCTGAAAAATCCAGTAAGCTTACACAATATATTATATATATAATTTATTATTATTTCTACTTTGAACATTTGATTTGATTTGATTTGATTTGATTCTAACTCCCATGATAAATAATAATAAAGTACATTTTTCTTTAAGCTAATAGGAGCCTCTCGCTTCACCTAGTAGAAATGGTAAGAAGTATAAAAGGCTGATAGACAGTAATTGTACATTTGTATGCGTATATTCATTGGTCAGACTAGACAAAGTTCAATATATATGCTATACACCTTCTTCTTCTTCTTGCACGTATTTCTCTCGCTACTGTTATGGATTCTATAATACAATATCAAGGCACACATAATATACATTACACAAACACATTGCAGTATAAAGTTATAAATATACTATTGGTACACAAGATTGGATTTGAAAAGAAAAAGAATTAAAATCTTGTACTACTTATTAACATGTAGCCTATAGTAAGCTGAAGAACGCCAATAGTGCAAATGGCAAAATTAACAAACAACCGATCGAAATTTTGCGTCCTATGAAATACCTATATATATAAAAATCATAAGAAGGAATAAAAACAGGGTGTGTATGTGGAAGAAAAGGGTTAAATTACATTGATTTATTATACTCCTTTTTTGGATAATTATTATCATTATAGCCATGATATTGAAAAGATAGATAGATATGCATTACCAAGTAATGTTTGTGATTTGTTTGCTTTAAAGCACAGGCTAAACGTCTCTATTTTGCCGTTTTACTTGGGTCTATTGTGTGATATCAGTACTGTTTCTTTAATATCAAGTTTAGGTACAAAAGATAATTGTCTTTATTTGACAATGAAATTTTTTTTTAAAAAAAAATCAAGACCCAAAGAAATATTTCTCCCAAATCTTTCAAGACATCTTGTGTGATAAAGGTTGTAATATCAGATCCTACTGATAATATGTATATTTATATATTGATAAAGATCTATCATAACGTATGACTGGATTTTGATCACTACAGAAATCAGATGTCTTTATATTCCACTTCCCAAGTAAAGGCATCTTTCTTTTTTTTTTATTAACAGATAGATTTAATCTGTCTTTATATAAATTGCTCTAGAAAATAAAGCAAATAAGCTATGGTTTTATAATGATATATCTGTAAAGACTTTTAGACAAGAAAATTTAACAGTAACAATAGCTGTTTTAAATAAAAAAAAACAATAAGATACATATATCCCAATACTCAATTTTTGTTGGGATTCCAAGCCCTATCTATGGATCTATATACATGATAGGCATGATAATGGTTGCAAATTAAGAAAAATAGGACAATGTTGCTCCACCAATTTCCTAAAACTCTTTATGAGACAAAGAAATAAGTGTCAGGGTCTTGGTATGATCCAAAGAACTGGGTTAAGAGATCTTGGAGATATCATTTTATTATCATTAATTGACTTTTTCTTTTTTTGTTTCAAAAATATCATAATCTATAGGATCTTTTACCAAAATTAAGGATATACCACAACAAGGCATATTTATTACAGCATACTTTTCTTATATTCTTATTAATGGTTTACAAAACCTGAATTATACATAGTGTATATATGACTCTGGGCAGCTGTGAATAAGTTTTCTAAATAAAATATAAAATAAAACGTATGACGACCGTGTAACCATAAGATGCAATGCTTCGGTTTGGAGACATCAAGTTTTATTTGATGTAGACGTCACTCATTTAATTTTATCTTTCTCTTTTTCATATTAGCCCTAATTCTGTAGCATTCTTTTGCTTTCCTATAATGTCTTGATTTGTAACCCTCCTTTTGAAGACGTGCTGTCAGAATTTTTGCTATTAAAAATAAGACTAGAAACGTGAGCAGTTTATGTAATCAATCTAATTGATCAAATCTATTGTTGACTTATCTTGGTAGTCAAACAAGTGTTCTTTCTTTTTTGTACTTACTGTTACAACACGTTAAAGTCACAGTAAAGATATAAATTATATATAAAGATAGGCGGGCTTTGTATGAATGAAGGAAGGAGAAATAAAAATAAAAAATAAAAAAAGGGTTGTTTCAAAGGAACAATTGATCAATTGAGAAAGACCTTGGTGTGTCGTGGGAGAGAACTATTAAAATAAGAGGTCTCTTTATTTCTTTCTTTCTTTTCTGTGTGATCCAGAAAGATTATTATTATTACTTTGTGAAAGCTTATCTTCTTCATCAGTTGTGCGGGGGCGTGGGTTCCCATGGAAACTTAGTTGTGACCGCATCCGACAAAGACCAAGGTCCGGGCTACTTAATGCAGCCGTGCACTCGTGGCTGGGTTTGAGGGCCAGGCCTGGCCTGCAAGTTAATCCAGAAACAATTCAATTGCCTTGTTTGTAAGTCCTATGACGATGATAGTAACACCCTTAAACAAAGAAGATCAATAAATCACTTCCCCTTTTTTTTAAAAAAAAAAAAACTTCAAACCCTTCTTCTTTTAACACTTAAATATTTTTCTTGCTTTGCTGTAGATCAAGAAAAAAGATATACAATAATGCAATTCCCTTCTCTCACAGCTGACAAAGTGGCCGTACTTCTTCCCTTGGCCGGAAACCCTCCAAAGATACCTGGCCGAATCATCAACGTGAGCCACAAGATACCCTACAACATCATCCGTGCCTCCAGTACCTCTCCTCCGTCTCATGTCGAATTCCTTTCCTCAAATACACCTTCTCCACCAGCCTCTCCTCTTCCCCGTCGCCACGGTAATGTGGCCTTGGAAATCCAGCGCCATCTGAACAAAAAGGCAGGAATTAAGGATGATGTAGTCCAAGATGCGGTCGAGGCTGCTCCTGTATCAAAATTAGCCCGCCACCATCATCGCAGTCGAACTCTCAGGGCCAAGTTCTACGCCGCAGACTGGACAGTCGAAGAAAGCCGAGATCATGCGGCCTTACATGCTGGTATCCAGAGCCTCAGAAGATCATGGGAGACTATTCATATCGGCTGGACTGGGCCGATCAAAGTCAAGGGTAGTAAAAAAGATATTCAGCCAGAAGCAATTTCTGAAGAAGACAAGAAAAAACTGGGAAATCTTTTGTGGGAAACTGGAAATATTGTACCCATCTTTCTTGACAATAAGTCGCGTGGACACTATGAAGGTTATTGTAAAGAAGGTAAAAAAAAAAAAAAGCAGAAAGATCGATATGACGCACTTCTTTGAACTTTACAACTGTGCTTCTTGGTACTACCTTGTGATATTTATTCCCGCTTTTGTTCCTGTAGTTCTCTGGCCTCTGTTTCACTATATTGTCTGGACCTCAACATCCGATGGTCGTGCTGAAAAGCAGAACTGGGAAGACTATGTAGCCGTAAACCAGCAGTTTGCTGATACAATTATTGAATACTATAGACCAGGAGATATAAGTAAGCCGGATAACAATAACCATAGCTATATGTATCATTCAATTTGCTTAAGCCACAAAATAAGTCTTTATTCAGGACTATCACCTCTTGCTCGTTCCCCAAATGATACGGGCCAAATTACCCGATGCTGCTGTTGGTATCTTTCTTCATGCCACATTTCCAAGCTCTGAGATATTCCGGTGTTTGACAAGTAAGTGTAGTGCAACACTGGTCCTAGTTTTTATTTTCTATTTTTTTATTTCATTTTTGAATATTATGGATTTAACAATATATATTTCTTAATATAGCCCGAAATGAAATTTTACGTGGTATTCTTGGTGCAAATCTAGTTGGATTTCAGGTATAATTATATAATTATATCAGTGAGATAATGCAATGCAACGCAATACAAGACAAACTCATACTTTCATTAGACTTACTCGTATGCTCGCCACTTCATTTCCTCAAGCACTCGTGTCTTGGGCTGTGAATCTACCCTGACTGGTGTAGACCTCGATGGCCACGTTGCTTCAGTCGACACATTCCCGATTGGTATCGATGCCAACCGTGTCCACAAGTTTCGCAAAGAACCAGGCGTGCTACCCAAAATGAATGCTATTCGTGAGATGTATGCCGACAAGAAGATTATAATTGGTCGAGACAAACTAGATTCGACCAAGGGTGTTCTTCAAAAGTTGCATGCCTTTGAGAAGTTCCTGAGGGACTATCCCGAGTGGCGTAATAAGGTTGTCTTGATCCAAGTAACTACTCCAACCCATGGCGACCACTCCAAGCTCGAAAACAAGGTGTCCGAGATTATCAGTCATGTCAATGGACTCTATGGTTCACTCGAGTTTACACCAATCCATCATTACCACCAAAACATCGATCGCGATGAATACTATGCCTTGCTGTCTGTTGCGGATGTAGGAATGATTACCAGTGTACGGGATGGAATGAATACGACTTCTTTGGAATACATCATATGTCAATACGAGAAGCATGGGCCCCTGGTGCTCTCTGAATTTACGGGTACAGCTGGTTCTTTGAGCGCCGCTCTTTTGGTGAATCCCTTTGATTATGCAGGCGTAGCAAAGGCCCTCAATGATTCCTTGACAATGTCTGCAGATGAAAAGGCTACTCGTCATCAGGTAAAACCCAAAAAAAAGGCATAATGATATTGAATACTAAATAATGTTTTACTTTCTTTAAAAAAAATTATAGCAACTCTATAGCCAAGTTATCAAACATTCAGCATCATTTTGGGCCAATTCATTTGTAAAGCATCTTGTTTCCAGTACAGAAGAAAGAGCTCTTCAGTCACACGAGGCTCCTGTTCTGGACACTGAAAATCTTGTGAGAGAATACAAGGCTGCAAAGAAGAGATTGCTGCTTTTTGACTATGATGTAAGGGATCTTGATTATATGAAGAAAATTAATTTAATTTAATATTAACCCACATATATATTTTTTCTGTTTTATTATTACAGGGAACTTTGACCCGTATTGTGTCTGTACCAAAGGATGCCAAACCTTCTCCAGAAATGCTCAGCTATCTGCAGACCCTCTGCGATGATCCTTTGAATGAAGTATGGATTGTGTCCGGTAGAGACCAGAGTACACTTGTCGAATGGCTGGGTGAGGTCAAGGGTCTGAACTTGAGTGCAGAACACGGTTGTTTCTCTAAACCACAAGGGGCTAAGACTTGGGCCAACAACCTGACAAATGTGGATATGAGCTGGCAGCAGGATGTGACCGAGATCTTTGATTACTACACCGAGAGAACCCAGGGAAGTTTTGTTGAACACAAAAAATCTTCTATTACATGGCACTACCGTCTAGCCGACGTTGTGTATGGGTAAGAAATGTATATATAAAAAGGATTATATATGTTGTGTGAATTAGAGAGAGAGAGAGAGAGAGATCGTCATCAAATCGGGATCCTAAAATAAAGGTGCATTTTTTTTGTATGTGTAGTGCTTTCCAAGCCAAAGAATGTCAAAACCATTTGGAAAACGCTGTTGTCTCCAAACTGCCTGTTGAAATCCTGGTCGGTAAAAAGAATCTGGAGGTCCGACCACTGTCTATCAACAAGGGCGAGATTGTCAAAAAGATATTGGCCCAAAACCCGGATGCCGACTTTGTGATGTGTGCTGGAGATGACAAGACGGACGAAGATATGTTCAAGGTTCTGAGTGCAGCACAGCACATGGCGGTCAGTCACCAGCAACAGCTTAATAAACAAGAGAATAGTGGGTCCCCGAAAATGGTCCCGGTGTTTGGACTCCATGTGAATACACCCGTCTATTCGATCGCAGTGGGGCCTGCAGAAAAGAAGTCGATGGCCAATTGGCATGTTCGAACGAGCGATGATGTGGTAAATGCTCTGGGCAGATTGGCTACCACCCTGGGAAAATAAAATAGAAATATTAAAAAAAAAGCCATTGAACCTTGATTTAACACAAGTCTATATATATATACTTTGTTACATCTATTCCTGTATTTCATATATTCTCAATTGTATCTCTTTATAATAAAGCATCAAAAATCATATATACATATACAAAATAAAAATAAAAATAAAATAAAAACCGCATGTATGTCTAAAAGTTTCGAAATATTAAAGACATTTGGAAGCTATAAGATCTCTGATTTATTTTATTTTTACAATTTCTTTAATAAAATAATCATAATAGTCATAATAAGCATACAGAAAGTGAGTAGTACACCGTCTTCTTCAGCTACTAGTTTCTCTCAGCCAATTATATTGTTGTAAACATATGTCACTAAAGTTGGACACTGTATAAGCTTCTTTGAAACAATTACATGAGATAAATAGTCTTGAATGATCTTTTTTGTTTAAGAGTCATTTAAAAGGAAAAATTGAACGCAGAAAACTATTGTTAAACGAAATCAAAAAATGGTTGGTTAATTAAGAAAACCTGTTCAACAGATTAAAGCCGAGTGGCTATAAAGGGTCGTGTTTCATATTCTTGCAGAAGTTTGGATCATTATCGTAATGTATGTGGTATCCATACTAGCTATCTCCACTAAAATATCAATTATATTTGTTAGTAAAAAGGCACTCATATTATCACAAAATGGTATGAGTAAAAGTATGAAAGTAAGATAAGAATATACATGAAACATTGATAATGGTTAACGATCCAGTATGTGAGAATTCAGAGAGAAAAGGTATCATTTATGACCGGGTTACTGGAAGTTGATTTTGCCAGGAAGGCTAATAGTCTTTATCAACTGCATTCATCTATACCAATATGGTCTTAATCTCCTTGGAGTTTTATAGAGTTAAATGTATATAATGATGCTAAATAAGTGTTTAAAGAACTTGTATAAAACGTGTGCTCAAAAACATTATAATTATTTTATTTTATTGATTTAACCATAGTTTGTTGCGCTTAATTTTTCCTTTTAAATGTCTCCTAAAAAAAGGATCATTCAAGACTATTTATCTCATGTAATTGTTTCAAAGAAGCTTATACAGTGTCCGAGTTTAGTGACATATGTTTACAACAATACAATTGGCTGAGAGAAACTAGTATATTCTGGATAAAGAATATACGGCTTTGTATTATTTAGCTATTTTTTCTCAAGCTAATACATTTTAAGGCTTGTTGTATTTTTTGTGGGGCCCTTTTCCCGTATTCTGGTATGGGAACTCTTATCAGACGATAAAACATTATATATGTTTACTTAATCTAATAGTATATACACATACATACATACATACATACATAAAATGGAAACGTATAAGCCTTCATAGAATAAATAAAGGTGTGGCTAAAAACACTATTTGCTAAATATCAGTCATACGAGTACCTTATGTACAGTACCTTGTATATCTATTAATCTTAAAGCATACGCACACACACGCACATAGAGGAAAAGAGAGGTTTACCCCGCCCTTTAATTTGATATGGTACATGTCAAAAAGCAAACGCATGCAGTTTTTTTTTTCTTTTAAATATATATATATATATATATAAGCATATCAATTATGCAACTCTTTGAATATTTTTGAGATCCTTTGTGTCTATGAATAAATAGGTTAATTAATAGCTGGATCATTAAGATCACATCTTCCAGGATGCTTGATACACCACTTTGGCTGAGCTGGTGTTGCATTTATTCCGCGAGCCTGGAGTCTGTAAACCCAGTCGTAGAAGCGAGGTTGAACCTCGGCCACAGTGCGGCGTTTATCATTCTTATCGTAGCTTCCAGACCAGTAAATCTCAGCTGCTGCTGCACTACGGGGCCACAAGCGCCCATCAATGACATGATAGTCGGTTTGTTCTGACCAGACTGCAACTTCTCTGTTGTTGAAAAAGAGAAAAAAGTGTGAGTTTACAAATCCTTACAGAGTTTTCTTTGCTTTTCATTTATGATTTATCTTACCCGCCCAGAATCTTTCCTGGAGAATCAGATGGTATACCGTATGTCATATCATAGCTGTATATGCGTTGCCAAGTCTATAATAATAAATGGGAACATATTTTGTGAGCTTACACAAAACACAGGCTATCTTTATGCTCTATTGTCTTACTTTGAAAGGTGCGCACCATGAGCCACCCACGCCACCATAATTGAATGTATCATTTGCAGTCTCGGTTTGGCTAGGGCTAATGTAACGTGGGTCATTTCCAACCCATCCTCCATTACCACAATCAAGATAAAAGTAGTCATACGAAGATACAATAACATCGTGTCCCTTGGATGTGTAATTGATTGCAGGTGCTGTCCAGATTTGTACGATAGTTTCTTCTGGCAACGTTCCGCCATCCTTGAGTAGATCTTCCCATATTATTGGTCGCTTATTTTGAGTATTGATCACAAAATCAAGTAGTTTGGCTTCCCACTCGCTCCACAGCTGATGTGTAGTAATGTTATTTTTCTGTGTATAATCTAGAATTATAGGGTCAAGCTCCCAACACTTTGCATTGATCTCGTCGCCACCGGTATGGTAAAGGCTGTCTGTGAAAACGGTTGTTGCTTCACCCACAATATCTATGACAAGATTCCATGCTTGTTGATTGAGCGGATGTAACTGTCCTGCTGGTGGTTCGGCTGCGTATTGTGCCCAGAATTCTTTGCCGCAAACAATATAATCAGGGTGGGACTCGCCGATCGAGGCTGTGTGTGCGGGCATGTCAATTTCAATAATCACACGAACTCCCCGTGCCTCTGCATAGCTTTTGATGAGCTGAACATCGGCAGGCGTGTAGACTTCTGCAGATGAATAGGCTCCTTGGGCGGATAGCTCGGGATGCGACTGGAAAAACAATGGCCATGATTGAGAGTCGGTTGCATGCCAGTGAAACACATTCATTTTGTTGTATGCCATTGCGTCGATTGTCCGTAAAAGTGCATTTGTGGGATAAAAGTTGCGAGAGGTATCTAAAAGGATACCACGATGGCCAAATGCTGGGTTATCCTGGATTTCAACAGTGTGGGCATTGGATCCTAATACTAGCTGAGAAAATGTTTCAAGTCCACGAAGAGCACCGACCCAGGTTTCGGCAACAAGTGTGGCTTCGCCGCCTGATGTAGGAATATCCAGAGTATATGACTCGTCAACCCCAATATCTAGCTTGATATCATTGTCATTCACTATGATCTCAAGATTTGTAAGATCAGGAGCTTGGGAAAGAGTATCTAATGTATCAAATGTAGTCTGAATAGGTTCCCATCTCTCTGAGAGGATCAGATTAAGGTACCGCTTTGCAGCATTTTGGACGTGTTGGTTTCCGGTACCACCAATGCTGAATTCTGGATGAAGAGCTGAAATATGGCCTGTCCATTCAACGGACTGTGGGATAGGAAAAAGAAGTGTTTTTGCATCAGCTGTAGCAGCCAGAAGGGCGGTTGCAACACCGATCAAGGTGAGTTTCATTAGGGTATTTTTTAAAAGAAAAAAAAAGAAAAAAAAAGAGAAGGGGAAAGAAGGGTGACAATGAAAGATATCACAGAAAAATGTCCGTGAATTTATAGGGCATATAATACAAGGGGAAAAATTCTGGTGAGAGACACCCTTAAACTATGCATTAGTTGTATAATACAATTACTGACTAGATGAATGTGAAAAATAAAAATAAAATTTGGAAAAAGGGGCTCAATATATATAAAAGCGGTGTGTGGTTTATGGTACAAAGCTGAGACCACACATATTGAATTAGAGACATAAACAAATGATCGGTGTGGTTTATAGTTTTTAATGGTACTTACAGTGGACTTGAAAGCAAACAGCACAGGAAATTATAAGATATCATATTGTTTTGATATTTTCTGTGTGGTATTGCAGAATGCACAATGTAATTATACTTCTTGACTGTCTAGCGATCAACCATGCAAGCATTTGTCAACCTAAACCCAAGGTAATTTTTTTGATATTAAAATGAACACACTTTTGCTCTTGCATAGTACATGCATATTTAGCTTGTTTACCATGTGTACCTGTTTGGTTTTTTATTTAATTGTTTGATGGATGCTTAGTTTGATCTATTAAAAGATCTATTAAAATCACGAAAACCAACAACAACAACAACAACAACAACAAAAATAATATGAAAGAATTGATAGGAAACTTGCTCTTCTAGTAACTACGGGTATATCTTTTTGGTCTTACATATTTGAACCAAGAGGCAGTTAACTATGTGTCTTTTGTTTCTCAAATCACTTAATATCACCTATCTCAAGGACATGGTGGAAATGGCATGTAAGCCTACATTCTTATATTTTACTACTAAATTTAACAGCTCTTATGCTCACCTCAATCCCTAAACAGCGCATAGTTTAGTCGCAGAGACAGATATAGCTGTAGAATCAAAGATATGCCCCTTTTTGAAAGTGAAAAGCTTCTTCTTGGCGGATACAGGATAAATCAACCCTGTGGCGGAAATATTGGATCGGCTTGTTTGTCTAAAGTAAATTTATATACATATATAATATTTTTCAAATAATATAGATACAATAGAAGAAGGGTTATAAGTGCTATAGCATTAGTCCTATGTTATGCTGCAGTATTACATGCGCTAAAATCCCTGTGTTATTGACAAGTCAGCATTGGTTTACATTGGTGCCGTTAAAATGGACAGATAAAGAGGTCGATATTGAGCTAAATAAATGGTTTTCCTTGGAATTGGGATGCTTTATATTATGTGGGTAAGGAATGTCATAGAAAACTAACGAAACAGTTTCTTAGTCTATCTTGAAACAAGCGTATAAGAATTCTCGACTTTTAATATGCTTACAATTAGAAGAAAAATACATTAGACTTTAAAGTATTGGACTTATTATCTTGAATACCTACATTTACAATACCTTTCAATGTACCATATGCAAAATTAGAAAGTCACTCGCCCCTTGTGTCTGGTGAATAAATGAAAAGAAAAAAGAATCTATCTAAACTAGACTTTATCAATTATTATCCTATCAAAACTACTGTATATATATATATATATATATCTTCTGATTGTATATTTCTATGTATATACAATATTTGTTCAAGAAAGAAGATTTTGTATATATTTTTCAATAATTAAAATATTCTTTGCCATATTTTCAAAATAGTGAATAGACTCCATCAATTAATAGATATATATATATATCATTATTACCCTTCTATACAGCATGTGAATAATATATTTTCCATATAGCGATAAGTTGAAGACTCTTGTAATAATCAAATTAAACTAATTAAAATTCAATACAAACAATATTATAAAAGAATCAATTTTTCATCTTAGAAAATTAGTCAAATTGCTATAGTTTTTTTATATTATGTAATGTATATTATATTGAATAAAAGTATCATATAATGTATCTACAAACAAAAAATAAAAAAAAAAACAATCTATGCTTTTTGGTGTAGGCTGTGACATATCGACTATTCCATCGTGTGAGTTATGTCCCGACCAAACAGATGGTTAAATAGTCAAAATATACCCACAACGGGACTCGAACCCGCAATCTTCGGTTTAGGAGACCAATGCGTTATCCATTACGCCATGTAGGTTTGACAGTTGGACCAGACACCAAAATTAATAGAAAAAGTAAATATAAAATTTTAGTTAATTAATTTTATAAATATTAGATTATTAAATAATATATTTAATTTTAATTTTTATTATTATCTATGATGCTATTAGTACAGTTGTAATATATTGACTGAATGAACCAAAGAGATGCTACTATTATATTGAGTGGCTGGGGAAAGTTGTGACTGGGATAAGAAAACTGCTATTTATAAGTTAGATAATTATTATATTATATTTTAAGAAAAATAAAATAAAAAACAAAATGTAGATAAAAAATAGAGTAAGACTTTATTTTATTAAAAGAAAGAGAATAAGATGATTTGTTTTTGCTATTCATATTATGCATTTATATAGATATTGCAGTTTAGATGACAATAAGAGTATGTCATATAATATTTGTTTTCTTTATTATAAATGTTGTAAATGAGTATTGACTACTGCTGTAATTGAGAATAAGTCTGAAGGAAATAATATAAGGCCTCAGCTATTCCAGTCAAAGGTGTCTACCAATTACTTTATTATTTAACACACAGGTTTAGTATGCATGATAGTGATTATATTTTATATGATGATATCACCATAATATGGGATACATTAGTAGATTATTATAAGCATAATTATAACTCATAAACACATTTACTTTCGATGTTAATACTTCATTGGGACTACACACATTTATATAATTAATTATACACTAATTATCCCAAGATCACGTTGCTCTGATTAAGGCTCAGATAGGATTGATTACCTGATCCCAGTCATATAATTTTCCTAATCCAAAATAATATAAATAGCAGTAGTAGTTCAGTGTAGGAACCTGGTCAAACTTTGATATAAAATCCTTTCTCAATAAACAAAACCTACACAAGTTCTCACGAATCTTTGTTCCTAATCTCAAATCTTCAATTCTTCCTCTTAAAAACTTCTTCAACTTCAACCACCACAACAGTTGTGTTCTTTTCCCATTCAATAATATGCTCTCTTCTTAAATCCAAAACTCTTTTTGTATTTCTGACTGCTGGTTGTTTGCCTAGTTTCTTCAGTATGAGGAAGTACTTTTGTTTCAAATGATTATGTAGTGCTACTTTGCTGATCTAAAGTCTATCAAATATAAAGCAAAGTTTATCTTTAATACTATATAAAATAGTAACTAAATTACTATCAGTCTAATCAATAAGAAATGATATGTATATGTCTCTTAATGTTGTTTTTCTTCCTTTAGTATTGATCTCATTTTTCTTAATGTTTCATAATTCTTTGTTAATATATCAAAAGTAATAGTTATAAATTATTTTAGAATTTATTCTAACCCTTCAAGCTGTCTTTCTTTGCAAATATCCAGAATTGATGAAAATACTAGTAAACTTTGTTATCTAATCATCCAATAAGAACATAGCTATCTTTATGCTTAACAGAGACTGTCAAGTTTTTTTTTTTTTTTTACAAAATCCAAGTATTTTCTAAAGTTAATTTTCTTATCTTTCTCTTTTTCTTCACTCTCATAGCATTGCTCTTGTTCTTGCTCTCATTTTTCTCTATCAACATCCATTAAAGTATACAGAATGATGAATGAATCATTAGCCAAACTGTAATTCTGTCATTCATTTGAGAAGATTTTCTGGATATTATCAGCATAGCTCTTATTATATTCTTTGGCCAACTCTGGCATGTCAGTATTTCCTATGAGAAGCATTTCAATAAAATCTTTGACGATTCACATTTTGTAATAAAATAAGTGAATAATTTTTGTGTGAAAGTAAAATTCAAATATGTAAATTATTATTATATATCTTCAACAGTCAGCTAACTTTTATCTTTTGTAAAGCCAAATATTGGAAGTAAGCAAAGAGAAAATCTACTTCACCCAATAGTTTAATTTATTTATCTTTTAAAACAGATTGTGAGAGTGTTTTCAGCTAAAACGTTTAAATCCCTGTCAAATTTAGCAGAAAGATAAAATTTAGGAGTCAATTTTTTGTAAAAAAAAATATATCCAGCTGCTGGGGGCACCATTTGTAACTAAAATTTTAAATTTGACATAAAAGTTGAGGTAAACGTGACTGATGAAGATGCTTGGATGCCCAACAAAAGGTATGGCTTGGGTCTTAATAAAAGTACGGGTGCACAATTCTTTTTTCTCTTGGCATTCTAACCATCAACATTGGTAGTATGGTCTGCTTCCGTGGCAGCATACCTAGGGGCAAGCTAAGAATGAGATCTGCTTCCGTGCCAGCTTGCTAGAGAAAGCCAAACGCGCCTTTTTTTCTCTAGGCCTATTAATATCATGCTAAGATTTCGCTTTTGCCTACCATAAAGGAGAACCTTAATCAGATCAAGCTAATACTTTTTAATAGGATTTCTACGTATAGCGCTGATGTACTTAGAGTAGGAGATCATTAGCAGCACCCTTAACAAACTTTATGAAACACTCGGAAACAAAGATTATCAGAAGGATTTAACCTCATATATAAGAACGCCATGTACAAGTCCAGTGCACACAAAGATCTCCTAATAAGCGCTTTGACGTTTAGAGACAAACTCATCAAATGCCATTCGATTAAAATATCATAAAACCCTCATGCAATTGCATTTGTTTTTTTTTCTGAGAGGGTTTCTTCGAAATCTATTGAATCTGTGAGACTTATTAAAGATGTATACCTAAATATAGTTTAATCTTTTCCTTTCAGATTGAATGCTTAAAAGTGGTGTAGCATAGTGAGGCTATTTTTCGATTTGAACCTCAGCAGTCTGTCCATAGGAAGAGACTTGGGTTTTACTCTAATCTTTAAATTAGTCTATCACCTTCAAGAAGTAGGATAAGACACAGGGTCACTGATCATCTTAATAAAATCAGTTTGTTTCCTTTGTTTTGTTGTAAGAGAGTATCTTGCGAAGACTCTGAGCAAGAATAAAGAAATAAGAGCCACAATTCGTTATGACTTTAGTTGACAGTGCGGTATACACACCATAGTTGAGTGAAGAACAGACTCCACAACCAAATACTGTGCCATATTAATCATTATAGATTTAAATTCAGAAATATCGTCCGTTGCGTTGAAATAATACATGTACTCAACTGGTATAAGTAAGATATATCTCGTATTAAAATCCAATAAAAATAATAACAAATAATATATCCAGAAGCTATTATAGACTAGTGTCTTTAAAACAATTTAGGTATATATCGCTTTAGTTTTATTCAACTAAAACTTTCTTTTGTATCTTTACTGACCTCATTTTTACATTTTATAATTTTGAAAGCATCTTTATATTTCCTCTTTTGTCATTTGTTGAATGCTGTTATTCAGCATTTATAATGTTTTATTTTTCTACCAATTCCCTATTCGCTAATCTTCTCTTTCTTTTAATATTATACTTAATTTCCTTTTATTGTCTTCACTTTTAACAGTAAATATGGCGCATATTTAATCTGGTCCTTTTCTTTCTTTTTTCTTTTAAAGATATTGGTCTATTATATTTAAATATAAGCATAAGCTATACACAGTCAATTTAACTAAAAAAAGGTATTGTTGTATAAAATATTCTAATATACATCAAATAAAGAGACCTACAAACTAGTTTCAAATATACAATCAAGAGGTTTTGATAGCTGTTTATATATATACAACCAAGTAAACTTGTTGAATAACATTTTTTTTTGCTTTGAAGATATGTGTGCGTGTGCGTGTGCGTGCGTGCGTTGGTGTGCGGCTATTTTACCATTCTAAAATCATATACATTCTATAATTCTTACATTATTCTGATGTACTTTTACAGCAGTATTCAATATCTATAACTTCTTTTGGTGCTGTTGCCGTCAAAACATAAGGAGTTTCTTCTCCGATAACAACATTGTCCTCAATACGGACACCAATACCATGGTATTTGCTGGGGAATTTCTTATCATAGGGAATATACAGTCCTGGCTCAATGGTAATCACCATATTCTTTTTCAACCTGCGTGAACGAGTAATGTCATGTAGATCATGAACGTCCAAACCGAGGTAGTGACCTACATGGTGAGGATAAAGCATGTTCTCAAGGTCCTATTAATCAATAATAATATAAAAGCATGAATTACATAATCAAAAATATATATTCTTTTTAGACTCACTGAATTTGTAACAGAAAATCCAATAGCATCAAGCTCGCGCTTCATTAATTTCATGGATTCTGTGTGAATAGCATGGAGAGACAGTTTGGCATTTTCAGTACACATCTAAGAACAGAACAAAAAAAAAACAAGGTTAACAAAGAGTTTTGTTGATATAGTAACACTAAATAAATCACTTACTTTAATACAGGCTTTGTTCACATTGAGAACAGCCTGATAGATTTCACGTTGGGGTTCAGTAAATTTGCCGTTCACAGGCCAGGTGCGGGTAATGTCACTGGCATATCCATTGTATTCACCGCCACAATCCACTAATACCAAATCACCGTCTCTGCGCACATGACAAATAAGTTTGTGTTCATTTTCTAAAATTCTAAACTTATTTGTGTTTATTGACTCACCTAAGCTTCATGTCATTACGAACATAATGCAAAGACAAAGCATTGGGTCCACCAGCAACCACAGGAATATATGCCAACATGCTTGATCCTCGCATACGGCACTCATAGTCAAGTTTAGCCCATAGTTGAGCTTCCGAGAATTCTGGTTGTGTCCATTTCATGGCCTGAAAGTATACACTCAAGGGATTAATTATTATATCTATTATATCTTGGTTTGTTGTTCTTACATTACCTGAATAAAAGCCTTTGAACTTATTTGACCCGACTTCTTCATAATATCAATCTCATTATCACTCTTGATTATTCTCAATTCCTGGATAAGAATACTAAGAGGTTTGAGTGCTTTCCTGAATTTGGCTACCAAATAAAGAAACAGAGAGTTAAATGACATTTCGGGTGATACTCTCTCTCTCTCTCATTTTTTTAAAAGAATAAATTATTCCTAGTGGATGATAGCAAAAATTATGCTTAATACACTACCCTGTAAAAAGCTATTGTTCTCAATCCACGGGATTTTTGCTATGGATGATAGTAATGAACTCCTACCAGCTTCAATAATCTTTTTATTTCTGTCTTCAGACAGCAAGGATGGGTTAACCGAAGGGCTATCGATGAATAGATGATCTGCATTCATTGCATCTTTGAGAAATGAAGTAAATCGAGAATTATCATAAGCCTAAGGTTTGTAATACAACATAACACATGCTTTAATAAAAAATTATAAAATTATAAAGCTATGAAATCACATTTATTTTTTCTGTCTAATTTGTAAGAAAGTAAGAATTTAATTACCTCGTCTGCTCCAAATATTTCTTTGGCACCTTCAACACCAGTACGAGGGCCATCCCATAATTCAGCATGAGCAGATTTTGGAGGAACGAACATTATTTGCTTGTATCCTCTCGGGGAATCATCCTTCTCTAATAATCCCAAATTTATCAATACTTTTTGCGTAAATTTATATAGTTTGTATTGTAGACTTGCGTAGAATCATGGCAGAGTCAGGCTCATTAAATCCAGATAGATACCAAAAGTCTGTATTTTGGTGGAATTGATAAAAAATATTGTTGGTCATGTAGCGAGTTTTGTAGCCTACACTGACTACCGTGCTGCCCTTTGGAAGGGAGCTCATTAGGATTGTGCGTCGAAGTTCATACTCGGTTTTAGGTATTCCGGGTGTTACTGCAATAGCAAGGTTTAGCAAAACAAAACAAGAAAAAAAAAGATGTAAAGATAGTAGAGTAGAGAGAGAAAAATTATTTACGGTCGTTTTTGTTGATCAGATAGGGGTGTGTATGGACGGTTGGTTGGCCAAAGGAACGTTTGTGGGTGTCAGGTATAGGGTTGGACGTAGGTACTGTAGTAAAGGTGCGGTAGGCTGGGTGAGTTGCGCCCGTGTTCTTCTTGAGTGCGCAATGAAGAATAGTTGGTCTTTGCACGTGAGAGTGATTAGCCCCAATAAGCTGGGGTCTGCTTACTAAAGCTGATCGTGCTAATCTAGACCGTCTACAGAACATAAAGAGCACAGCAAAAGAAAGACCCACCAAAGAAGGACTTCAATAGCGCAAGATCAAGTCACACTAAAGTCCGCCAAGTAGAAAAAAAAAGGGCCTTGCATCGATTGTGAAGTGATCCAGATCTGAAGCTTATGACAATTTTTGGAGTGACCACAGACGCACTAACATCTAATTATATATATTCTTTCTCAAACCAAAGCAGCAACACTTGGGGTGATTTGTGGTGAATATGAGCAAGTTGTCCACATCTTATTTGGACACCGACCACATGACCAGGGGCCAACAATAACAGCCCGTGTAACGTACGTTACTATAAAGCATCGAGTGGACAACTAGCGACGCGTTTCTTCTTTAACTCAATTCACCATGCCTTCTGCCGTAAGTATTTCTTTTTTATCGGATCAAACAAAAATTATATATACTAAGTAATCCTTTATTTTTTTTCATTAATCCTATTACAGAACTTTGAAGCTGCTGCCGCCGCCGCCCAGGCTTTCACCTCCAAGCCCTCCAACGATGAGCTCTTGGCTCTCTACGGTCTCTTCAAGCAGGCTACCGTTGGTGACAACGAGACTAGTAAGTCCTAAGAATTTTTTTTTATTGATAAAATATACTAATATATCTATATAATTCTGTCCTTTAGCCAGACCTGGTGCCTTTGACTTCAAGGGTAAGGCCAAGTGGGATGCCTGGACCGCCAAGAAGGGTAACTATCTATATGTCTAAACCTAGCATAAAAATATTGTACTTATCCTTCGTGTATCAAAGGTTTAAGCTCTGAGGATGCCGAGGCCCAGTACATTGCTTTGGTCGAGGAGCTCAAGGCCAAGCAGTAAATGTTTGCTCATAAAGCAAATATGTCCTTTTTTTTTCTTTTTTTTTGTAAAGCTGTGAAAGTGTCTCCCCTTTTTTTGTATGTGTGTGTGCGCGTGTATATGTGTGTGTGTGCGCGTATGTGTGTATGTGTGAATAAAGATGTCCCTTTTTTTATATACAACCTCTTTGTATATGTGTGTTTGTTTGTACGTGCGTGCGTGTGTGTGTTTGTACGAGTGAATGAAATGCTTTTTGATCATGTGAAAATATCCAATCGGAGTTCTTTATACGTCATTTAAACAAAACTGGCTTTGACCAAACTTAAGACCTTTCCCTTCACTCAATTGTCCATTCAGTCTTTGAGATCAATTTAATGAATCCTCAGCAGAATAAGACTCCAGACAAATCGAACGTCTCTCAAGACCCTGATGAGCTGGTAGATGAGTTTGATGAGAAGATGGGTCTCTACGAAGAGCAAGACCATCTTGATGAGAAAGATGGACTCCGCCAAGAGACCCACGAAGAACTCGAGGAACTCTTGTCTGACATCCCACCCACAACAGCAAGGTACCTTGATTCCTTACTTCAGCACCCACCCTAACTAACATTCTCAGTCATGGCACACCCGTCAATGACGAACACCACACCACTCCAACAGACTCCACTCAGGAACAATCAGCATCTGGCAATGCCACTGGCCATGATGCAGAAATCCGACAAATATTTACACAATTTGAAGCATCAGAAGAAACATCTACCCCAGGTACACTATAAAATTACATATCTATATCTATTTGACATTATATTCTTACATGTTCCTTTTTTTGTCTCTTTTAATATATATATAGAAACTCCAACTTCAACAGACTCTAATGGAAGAAGACCCTCAATGGCAGAGATACAGCGCGCAGCAGATAATACTAAAGGCAGAGAACGCCAAGAGATTGCCTTTGACTTTAATAAGTTCCTTGAACAAATGAAACGTCGTAGTGCCCACCCAATCACACGATATTTCAAAAGGTAATTGGTTTTTTTAAGAAAGTCCCAGAAAACAACAACAAAGGAAGGAAAGGTTTATTATTATTATTATTTAGTTTGTCTAACTAGAAAGCATTTGTTTCTTTTGAATGTATTAGTTTTCTACAGAGATTTGGACAAAAGTCATGGACTGTCGCTGAGCAGGCAACAATCATCCAAGACTTTTTGAGTGTAAGGGAACAAAAGAAATAATACCAGGAGTAAGTGAATAAAGGCATTAATTAAAGGGGATTGTGTATGTATTTGTGGGGGGAATTATCTGTAGTTTATTTATGGTAAGATGCGTGAGTGCGATGTATGGAAAGACTTGTCCGATCGAGAATTTGAGAATGCAGAGGAAGGCATGGAGAAATTAGTGATGAACCGTCTGCATAACGCGTAAGTCAAAATCTATTGGCAGCCAGTACAAATATCTTGACATTACTTTATTTTCATCAGAACATTTTCACCAAGTACAACTGATGATAAGGAGCGAGACGAAATATTGCATCAGAAGATGAGTATCTTTAGATGGATTCGTGAAGAGCATTTGGATATCCCTGTCACTGAGAACAACGCATCATTCATGACATTTGCAGAGACGGGTACGCGTGCATAAGTGTACATTACATGTACACACACTCACACACACTCATATATATATATATATATATTAATGCTTTCGGTAGAGCTATTGAAGATCAACAACTACAAAGCTCCAAGGGACAAACTGATTTGTATTCTTAATTGTTGCAAGGTTATCTTTGGTGTGTTTAATTAGGGTGACTTTTCACAGTATTTGCTTATTTTCATTTTGTTTGTTCTTGCCTTACAAAAGGCCTTATTAAGCATGTAGAAGGGGATGCGGGTGCAGACAAATTTCTTCCAATCTTAATATTTGTCGTCATTCATGCCAACCCACCACGCCTGGTATCCAATGTCCAGTAAGTTAGAATATTTAATATTTGTTCTTTACAAAAAATAACAATAACAATAACAATAACCATTGTCATTATCAGATATATATTCCGTTTCCGAAGTCCTGAACATCTTCAATCCGAGGCTGGTTATTATTTGACCAACTTGGTAAGAACTCGAGCCTAGATGAATGGGAGGCTATGAATTGGTTTTTTTGTTTTGAAAAAAAAGGGAGGGAGGAGATAATAGCTAAAGTGTATTGGTCAGATGGGGGCTATTACTTTTATCGAGACAATGGAAGCAAAGTCTCTTTCGATCACAAAGGAGGAATTTGAGACGTAAGTAAATTACATGTATACATCTGTGAAGCTAAGGAGGATTAGACAATGCAATTACTCTGTTCTTTTAAAGTGCTTATCATTATTATCCTTACAGAAACATTGAGCGGACAATGAACGAACTTCAACAAGAGCGTCCTTCAATCGCCCACGATAAGCAAAAGATTAGCTACGATAATGCAGTCCACCCTTCACGATCTCCTCAAGTACAGCCGCAACCACTAATTGATCCTATAAAGGCAGCTCAATTCTTGGAAAGAAGCACAAACTTTGCACAAAAGACAATGCAAAAGCCATTAAACTTTGTGGGTAAAATATTCCAAGGGTTGGGCGATAGTTCTGCCGGAAGTAGCCGACCAGAGAGTCCCGAAGATGACGAAGAAGCGCGTCAAAGAGAGCGATCTCAGGTTTATTATCAGCAACAAAGGCAGCTACCCCCATTACCTCACCAACAACAGCAACAGGAGCAAGAACAACAGTATATCCAGCAACAGCAATATATTCAGCAACAGCAGCAACAAAGATACGGCGGTGGTCAATGGGATACAAATCAGGATCCTAATGTAATTTATTACCAACATCAACAACAACAACAGCAACAACAATATCAACCGCAACATTATGGCACTTATCCACCACAGGGTCATTATGCACAGCCGATTGTCCCTGGACTAAATACCGAACCTGAGACAGTGGCGCCAAGAACGGTACCTTTACCTGACTTACACCAGGAGGCACGTCAGCTTTTCGACGACAATTTGAAGCAGATTCTTTCGATATTCCCTAATGTAGAGCCTGATGTGTGTTTTATGATTCTTCAAGCAAATGATGGCCGAGTCTCACAAACGGTTGACACGTAAGTTGTAATTTTGAACTATTTGATATCATTTTATGTATTCATAAACCGAATGGCACCACTTGTGTAGTCTTTTGGAAATTGCTGATCCCGAGGTAACCAAACCTTCTATTGCTCCAACCGCCTCTCCATCCCCTACCTCATTACCTCCAGCTGAAGCTCCAGCTCCGGCTCCAGCTCTAGTTCCATCTCCAGCTCCAACTGCTGGTGATGATATTACGGAGAATGATCTTATTAGGATGTAAAAGATAATAATAAAAATAATAATAACAATAATAATAATAACAATAATAAAATAAAAATAAAAACTAAAACTATATATAAAAAAAAAGAAAGAGATTATCTTGTCTTGTCTTATGAGAACTGCCGTCATTTGGAATACCAAAACTTTTTCGTCTAGTCAACTTCCAGCTTGGTTTATATTTTATGGTTAGTTTGTGAATTACAAGCCTTATTTTCTCTTCCTCTTTTGATTGGCTTTTTTTTTAATGGGCTTAAGATGCCAAGTTTTTCTTTTCTATTTTCTTTCATTGGATTTTTCTGAACAATCCAAACAGTTTCCTTTTGCTTTTAAACTTTACCCAATATTCTAAATATCGCTATAGAAAAGTATAAAGAGTCTTTATGGTGTAACTCTTGATAATCATGTGATAAAATCTACTTGGTATTTTTAAAGTATACTTGATTGTGTCCAACACATATACTATATATGGAAATATATAGTAGGTGATAATAAAGTATGCTCGCCTTAAATGGAAAACATTTTTTTTTTATCTTTGGTATTAGTTATCAGGGTTTTCTTGCAGGAACAAATTATTACCAGAAAATATCTCTATGCTTATTTGATAATTTTTTTTTAAAGAAAATATATGGATATAATTAATGTGTACCTAGGTACAAAATACAAATGTGAATCCAATTGCTCTTGTGTTATACAAATAATCAAATAATCAAATAACATAAAGGAAGTTTTTAATTTTACACCAAAATGTACTAAGCTGGCGACACAAGAATGAATCTATCCAATAGGGTGGACTATATCCGAAAATCTATAAATGTCACGACGGTGACCAAATCTGGGAGCGGTCTGTACAGGCAGGAGCTCCATAAAGATTCAATTCACTTTATTGTGTCATTCTAAAGGGTTTATAGATATATATCTCCTTGATGTGGGCACTATGTAATTGATTCTTTTCCAAACACTCTGGAAATTCCGTATAGGCGTAGGAGTAAGTGACGTAATTTCTATCCGCCCGTAGATTCAATTCCAGAAAAGAACCCTTTATTTTTAGCCGCCATCTTCTCTTCTCTTTTCTTGTTCTTTACTCTTTCATTTCTTTACTCTTACACAAAATCAAAGTGCATAATGCCCAACAACGACGATGAAGTTAACAACGTGGACATGATCCCTGTTGAGCAAAAGGGCGCCTTCCACCAGTTCCTCAAGTCCCTCGCCTCTTTCTCTGGAGACCTGTCTTCTCTTACCTGTCCTGCATTCTTGCTTGCTCCAGTATCACTCATCGAGTATTCGTAAGTCTTAAAGGATTCTTATAATTTCTGGGCATTGTGCTCACCTCCCTTTTTTCTTTGCAGTGAATATTGGACTCAGCAGCCGGAGCTCTTTGCAGCTATTCCACAGGCGGATGATGAATTAAAGCGCATGTTGGCCTTTATCAAGTGGTTCATTTCTTCTCTTAATGCATCTTACTCTAGCCGTGTTCCCAAAGGCGAGTGGGAGAAGAAACCCTATAACCCTGTCTTGGGCGAGCAGTTCTTTATGTCCTGGTCCGATGTCGACGGTTGTGGCGAGACCAACGTAATATGCGAGCAGGTGTCTCACCATCCCCCTATAACCGGCTTCTTCATCGAAAACGCCAAGGCCGGAATGTCACTCAATGGACACACTGGACAGAAAACCCGCTTCTCTGGAACCTCACTTATCTGTGACCAGGTCGGACAAAGCGTTGTAACCCTCAAGAACCGTGACGAATCCTACCTATTCACCAGTCCCTCCCTTACTGTCAATGGCATCTGGTATGCAGCTCCTTATGTTGAACTGACTGGAACTTCCTACATCCAGTCAACCACTGGTCTCTACTGCTCAATCGAATATTCTTCGCGCGGCTGGATCTCAGGTGAAAGAAATCATTTCAAGTGTTACCTACGCAAGAACGGCGGAAACCCCAAGGAGTATGTGTACAAGATCGAGGGTCAGTGGAGTGGAAAGTCTACCATCACAACACACGGAAGTAAGACATCTGAGCCTTTCTTGGATGTCACTAAGCTTAAGCCAGCCGAAATGAAGGTCAAAGATATGTCAGCACAGGGTGAGCGTGAGAGTCGTCGTATCTGGCAAAAGGTGTCTGATGCTATCCGTGCTGGCGATGTTCAGACTGCTGGCATAGAGAAGTCCAAGATCGAAAACCAGCAGCGTATAGAGCGGTCGGAGCGTGAGGAGAAGGGTATTGCGTGGGAGCCAACTTACTTCCATTGGATTGATAACGAGCCAAAGGTTCAGTCCCTGCAGCGTATGCTGAATTCTACCGTCAAGACAAAATATGAGCCTGCCACACAAGGCAACTGGGTCTTCAAGAAATAATAACAATAACAATAATAATAATACTAGTAGTAATAATTGGGTGAACATATCTTTATTCACACAAAAACACACCACACATATAATCAAACCCACACCCACACCCACACCCACACATTCACACTTGCACTCATACTCACAGATGCATAAACAAATCTTACACCATTATCTTTTCTCTCTTGTTTTCTTTTTCTTTTTACTCTATACTTCTTTGACAGTTTAATGTCCTTTGGTGACTTTGTAAATAATGTTTCTTTGAATAAAACGCCCTTTTTTTTCTTTTTTGTCAAGAGTAACAATATAATTTTTTTTTTATCTTTTCAGGTTTTAATATCGCCCAGTCATCCAAGTCAATTCATTAACTATCCCCTCCATCCCTCGGTCTTATATGAATACATTATCAAACAAAATGACTGAGATTATGCAATACACACACATGTACATGTATATACATATATCAAACAATGCGTGGAATCAAATATTAGTCAAGAATCATTGGCCAATCTATTAAATTAAATGAAATAAAAGGAATCTTTCAAAAACCACATTGATTTAATTTCTATTTCTCTTTTTTTTTCTTTAATGTCTTTAGAGTCTCCTTCTATAGAGCCAAATAAGGCTATTCAACTAGCCATCGATGAGCTCAAATCTCAGTTTGAGCTACCCTTCGAAACTCTCCAACATATTGTCAGTAATATGCGCAAGGAGATGTCAAATGGATTAAAGAGCGATAATACCAACATTGCCATGCTGCCCTCCTGGATCACTCGTCACCCTACCGGCCAAGAATCTGGAGAATATCTTGGCTTAGAGCTCAATGGTAAACAGAAAAAAGAAAAAAAAGAAATGCTGACACTCGCAAATAGCTACATATGTCCGAGTTTATCTTGTTAATCTGCATGGCCAAGGGCAGATCACTACTCGCCAGCAAAAATATTTTCTCGAAGAAAGCCTGAAGAGAGGTTCTATCAATAATATGATCGATTTTCTTGCCACCTCCGTCGACCATTTTCTTACGTTTATAGGAAAGTGTCGCATAACCGAACCAATTGCGCTTGGATTTGTCTTGTCTTTCCCACTCCACCATTCTGCTCTTAATAAAGCGCACGTGATCCAGTGGACAAAAGACTTTGAGATAACCGGAGCAGACGGAAAGAACATAGCTGAACTCCTTCAGACAGGCTTTCGTCGTCGGCATATTCCAGTATCAGTCAAGGCAGTAATCAATGGGTCTGGTAAGGCAAATTTACATATAGTATATAAAGCAATCTATTTCATTTTCTAACCATTTTTGTCCTTTTTTTTTCATGCATTTTTTCAACTAAATAAATATATATATATAGTGGGCTGTCTATTGGCTCACAGCTACCGTAGTTTAGATACACTACTTTCTTGTACTATCAGTACTGGTACAAATGCAGGTAGCTTGCATAATTATCCTTTTTTTATTGTCTACAACTTATCTCATCTGCATTGTCTTTGTGTGTATTGTATAAAGCCTATTGGGAAAAGGTCAAGAATGTTGTGAAATGCAAGGGCGCAGATGAAAACGACGACATGATTGTAAACACTGAATGGGGATCCTTTGGAGATAGAAACCCAGACTACCTTCCTCGAACATACTATGACAACCACGTTAATCGACGTTCAGTAAATCCTGGTGTTCATACTTATGAAAAGATGGTGTCTGGACTGTATCTAGGTGAAATTGCGCGAAATATTATGATGGACTTTGTCGATCGTCGTCTATTGTTCAATAGTCAATACACCCAAGAAATGAATTCTCATTACGGGTTCGAGACTTCTTATATGAGTGCCATCACAGCCGACAAAACCATAAACTTGGAAGAGACAAAACATATTCTGGAGTCGATTATGAATGTCCCTTGCACTACATTGTGTGACCGTCAGCTTGTCAAGTTAATTTGTGATTTAGTTGCACAGCGGGCTGCTCGCCTGGTAGCATCTGGGATCAGTGCTATTATTAATTCTAGTCAAGAAGTTGAACGCGGTCTCACTATCAGTAAGAAAAATTTCCCTGTATTTTTTTTTGGCTATGAAGAAACTAGTAAATAACTGTGGATATGTATGTATGTATGTACTTTTGTTTGTTTGTTTATTTGTTGATCTAGGTGTTGAAGGTACTGTTTACGAAGAATTTCCGGAATTTCCTCGTATGGTCAATGAAGCCTTGCGCGAGTTCTATGGTTCCAATGCAGACTATATTAACATAGGCGTAAGTTGACAATATATCTATAGATTCGCCCTTTTTACTGCCTATATTCATACATGTATATTATTAAACAGATAACACGCGATGGTAATGGTATAGGCGCTGCATTGGCAGCCATGATCGGAAGCACATAAGAATTATTGTTTTTGTGCTATATCTTTTTTTATTAAATTATTTTATTATGCTCTTTTCCTTGTACATTATAATCAAAAAGAGAATCATTCTAGAAGAATACTATGTTATGTCAAGTAATAGAATATATTATATATATATATATTATACATACGAGTATATGAGTGTTTCCGATTCTAAATTGTGATAAAAGGGAACAACTTCAGTAGAAGATTTTTCAAAACCTTTTTTTTTTTTTGGTGGTTTAAGGGTTATTTTAAGACTGGATAATTTATATACTTCTTCTTGTCAGACTTCGTCTTACATGAAGATATACTGGAGCAACTTCTCTTGATCTTACAGTACTTTTAATTTGCGTAACAAGTGTAAATATATCAGGGATTGTGTCATTATATTCCAATTGGTTAATGATATGCTGGAAGTTCGAAACAACAGAAAGGTCCCTATTAAACAAACAATGCTCAAACTGTAACGAAGCCACGCTATTAAAACAGCTTGGATAGGTAAATATATAATCTTTTTATAGCGGTAGTACCGTAAAAGCCATTACAGATTACTTTTGGGGTTCGAGAGCGACGAAATGGGCAATAGTTTAGGATTGGCTTTAACTTTGTAAGATATTACTGGAAACACGAAGGCTATTGCTTGAATATACGGAATTTATCGATAGAAAAGTATAGAGTTAAGTGGGTAAATCTTAATGTCTGCCGTAGTGGATATATATATATATATATTATACAATAATTTATAACAAATAGGAGGATATTGAGAGGGATAATAGGAAAAATTGCCATGAATTTATTTTATAGTTTCTTTTTATTGTAGTGGCTAACTGATATATACACGATATTGTTTTCTAGTAATGAATACAAGATATTCTCTAGCTATGATTAAATATTCTATCAATCTTTACATTACTTAACACTACCTTAAAGCTGGCTTGTAATTTTGTAAAAAAAAAAGGTTTAACGTGTTTAACTTATTTTTCTAGAGTCACCTATAATTATTTAGCAAGTATATCAATAATACCATTTTTTTTACATTTGAAAATTTGGGGAAGATGTATTTTATTTGAAAAGATATAAACCTCAACCTTATAGTGCGTATCATTATATCTATATATCTAAAATCAATCAAAATTAGCAGCATCACGTGATATACGAATTTGCCTATAAAACATCTATCTTCTATATATCTAAAATCAATCAAAATTAGCAGCATCACGTGATATACGAATTTGCCTATAAAACATCTATCTTCTATATATCTAAAATCAATCAAAATTAGCAGCATCACGTGATATACGAATTTGCCTATAAAACATCTATTCACATCTAAAATCTAGCACTTTTACTGTAATGTGCAAGAAGTCACACAATGATAATAAGATAGAATAAAATATGAAGATAAAGATAATGTTTATTTGTGATAATATTTGTGATATTTATATTAATTTATAAGATGCCGCAGTATCCTAGATTCTAGCTAAGTCCTTTTGCTGCGGTATCTTGCTGAGCAATAGTTATCTTCTTCTTGCCTTACTCACCCAACTACTGCAGTTGGAGTAGTTGTTCCTGATTGGGTAGGATTGGAACTGAGTGCCAATTCCAATCCGCTCCTGATATTACTATGTCACATGATATACCGAGATATTAACGCCTTGAATTTATTTTACAAACTATTGCCAAAAAACTTATACAACTATCAAACCAAACTCTAACTTTGAAAAAAAAACCGAAAAATAAAGTGTCATCTACTCAACGTCGTTGTGCTGCTTGCCATATGCTTGGACATAGCAGAAGTACTCATAAGCAATGTCTCATGAACCCAAAGAACATTTCTCTCCACATTCCTCAAAAGAGAACTAATGTAGATGAATATCCTGCAGAAAGTAGCCGAAGTAACTATTTATTTATACACTTATGCATATTACTGCAAGTATTATATATATTTTTTTAATAATAAATGTGTTTATAAAAAAATAGCTGCTGCCTTGAGAATAAGAAGTGAGCCTGTCCAAGACCAAAATTTGGACATAGAAACATCGACTTTTATTTCAGTTTCTGAGTTGACTGAATTTCCACTCGCAAATGAGACTATTACTGAAGTTCTTGAAGCAGTCATGGAAGAAGAGATTGAGGAGACTTCATCCGATGAAGAAGTGACTGGAAGAGAAGAAGAAGTCGAGGAGATTTCAACTGTGAATAGAGGATCAATTTTACCCCATTGTCCTCACTGTAACGGAACTGATCATCGCCGAATTACAAGCAGATTTTGTCCAAACAATAACAGTAGCAGAGCAAGAGGATCTAGAAATCGAGGCAGAGGCTTGAATAATATTGCCCGACTTCCAGCTATTTCAGAACCAGCAGTTGATAACAGGGGAGATATGGATATCGAGTGTCGATTTTGTGGGGCAATGATGTGGGCACATGAAAAAAACAGTCGTTCTTCTTTAAGAAGCCCCACGTTCTCTATGTGTTGTAACAAAGGAAAGCATGTTCTCCCCCAAATTGAGCCAACACCTACAGGAATTGCTGAGCTTTTGAACTATAGAACACGTGATGGAAAGAAGTTTCTTGAAAACATTCGAAGCTATAATAGTACAATGAGCTTTACTTCTTTGGGAGCTAAAATTGATACCTCTGTTGGCAACAATATCAATGGGGCATACAACTTCCGGATTCACGGAACAATTTGTCATAGAATTGGATCTATTTTGCCAGTGACAGAATCTGATATCGCTCACCCAAAATTCGCTCAGATCGATATTTATGATAGTGCTGCTCAGATAGATCAAAGACAGTACCATTCCCCACAATTGGAGAGAAGTGTTTTGGAGAAGATTCAGTCCATTCTTATGGAAACAAATCCATTCGTACATCTCTTCAGAACAATGGATCAAATTTCTCGGGAAAAGGGACAATCTATAGATCTCACTTTGCGTTTAGTAGCTGAGGGGCCTCGGGATCAAAGACGGTACAATGCTCCAACTGCAAGTGAAATAGCAGTTCTTATTATGAATAATGAAGAGGGTACTTCAAGAGACATTGTGCTGCACACCAGAGCCAACTTCCAACAGAACATCAATGAGTACCACCGATCTTATGATGCTTTACACTATGTGCTACTCTTTCCACATGGTGAAGATGGTTGGACCATTGATGCCAGCTCATTGTCAGGAGAGCATGTCACAGTAATGCAATGGTACTCAAACCGTTTGATGTATCGACGCAACACACAGCACCTCCTCCATCTTTTTGGCCGTCTCTTTCAACAATATATTGTTGATATGTATGCCAAAGTTGAGCAGGATCGGCTGCACTTCATCACCAGCAATCAAAATCGTCTCCATGTAGATCTTTATAGTGGAATTCAGGATGCTGTTATCCATAACGATTGTAATCTTGCAAATCTTGGAAAGAGAGTTATTCTTCCATCTTCTTTTATTGGTAGCCCCCGGTATATGGCTCAACTTTATCAAGATTCAATGAGTATTGTGCGTCGTTTTGGCAAGCCTGATTTGTTCATAACTTTCACTTGCAATTCAAAGTGGCCAGAAATCACAAATTCCCTGTTGGCTGGGCAAAAAGCTAATGACAGACCAGATCTTTGTTCTCGGGTTTTCAATATGAAGCTCAAAGAGCTCATGATTGACCTTACAAAAAAAATATTCTGGGGAAAGTTTTGGCCTTTATATATGTCATTGAATTCCAAAAGCGCGGACTTCCTCATGCCCACATTCTTTTGATTTTGCGACCACAAGATAAACCAAAAACAATAGAAGATTTTGACAGAATAGTTTCGGCTGAAATCCCAGATCCTGAAACTGAGCCATTGGCATATGAAACAGTAAAAAAATGCATGATGCATGGCTCATGCAGAAAGAAATATCCAAAAGCACCATGCATGAAGAATGTGATCTGTTCAAAGAATTATCCTAAAAAGCTTTGCAATGAGACTAGCGATGGTGGAAACGGATATCCTATTTATCAACGCAGTCGAAATGGAAGAGTTATTAGAAGAGGGCCAAAGATCATGGATAATGGATGGGTTGTTCCACACAATAGATACATATGTGCAAAATACAATGCTCATATAAATGTTGAGATTAGCACCTCTGTTTCTGCCGTAAAATACCTCTACAAATATGTATATAAAGGACATGACCGTGCAATGGCCCGTGTGCAGCCTACACCCACCAATTCCGCTCCACAACAACAACAAGAGCATGTAAACAAAGTTAATGAGTTTCTTGATGCTCGGTATGTCTCCGCTTCTGAAGCATGCTGGAAAATATTTTCTTTCAAGCTTCATCAAGAGTATCCCAGCCATCAACGACTTTCAATCCATCTGGAAAATGCCCAACCCGTATATTATAATCCATCTTCTAACCCAGAGGATGTTCCAAATTCCAGAAAAAACACTACTTTAATGGGATATTTCGACTATAATGCTACACACCCATCATCTGAAAAACTTCTTTACGTCGACTTTTCTTCTCTTTATGTATGGAATACAAAAGAACGAAAATGGACAGCACCTAAGAGGTTTGATAATGGAACGATTGGCAGAGTTTACACAGTGTCTCTGAGAGATATTGAAAAATATTTGTTACAATTACTGCTGCATAATGTTAAAGGGGCCAAAAGCTTTGAAGACATATGTACAGTAGAAGGATGTGTGTATGAAACAAACCAAGCTGCATGTCGTGCTCTGGGATTACTTTTGAATGATGATGAGTGGAGTAACTGTATGAAAGAGGCAGCAGCTCATCAGATCCCATTTTCTTTACGAAGACTCTTTGCTATTCTTTTGATTTTCTGTGCAGTATCAGATCCTTTCTCTTTGTGGCTTGCTCATCGCGATTCTATGATTGAAGATTATCTTCATTTGGCAAGAGAAAGTAGTGGAATTCCTGCGTTAGCCCCCACACAATATATGTTTGACAGATGTTTATGGGATATCGAAAGTCATCTATCTGCCAACTCTATGTCTCTCATGTTGTTCACTGGATTTGTTCTTCCACCAATGCCTGACATCCAGCACTTTAGCCCAAATGGGCAAGATGTTCAAGCCATCATACAAGAACAAGAAGATTTATGCGATCAAGCCCAGCTTTTGCCAGATCCAGATACATTGACATTCAATAATTCACAAAGACGTGTCTATACAACAGTATTAAGTGCAATTGAAGAAAACGTGGGAGCCTCAAGATTGTACTTTGTCGATGGTCCAGGTGGGACGGGAAAGACATTTGTCTTTAATGCCTTGCTTCAAAAAACTCGCCAACAAGGAAAAATTGCTCTTGCAGTAGCAACAAGTGGAATTGCTGCATTGCTGCTAGACGGTGGGCGTACAGCACATTCCAGGTTTAAGATTCCAGTGCAAGTTGATCTTAACTCCTTGTGCTCCATCAACGCAAACTCGCAAACGGCACAACTTATTAGAAGAACGGAATTGGTTATCTGGGACGAAGCTTCTATGATTAGTAAAGATGTTTTTAATACTGTAAGCAGATCCATGCAAGATATAATGAAGGCTGTCGATCCATTGCTTGAAAACGTTCCATTTGGAGGGAAGTTGTTTGTCTTTGGAGGCGATTTTTGGCAGGTCCTTCTTGTTATACCCAAGGCAACAAGAGCTCAGGTTGTAAGCCAATGTATCAAGAAAGCATCTGCATGGAGAAATGTAAAAACCTTGCGGCTTACAACAAACATGCGAATTGCCCAAGCAAATAATGAACAAGAAACATTAGAGCTTAGGGAATTTGGAGCATTTCTCTTGCAAGTTGGTAGTGGTTCTGCCCACACAACAGGCGGTGATGACACCATCCCAATTCCGCCCCATATGTTACTTTCTGGATGTAATCCTGCTGATCTGGCCAAAGCAGTTTTCCATGATCTCTCCTCTAATGCAGCCAACCCTCATTTCCTCATGGGCCGTGCTTTGCTTACTCCTAAGAATAAAGATGTCAAGAAACTCAATGATATTCTTCTGAGCCAGTTTCCTGGAGAGGCACGAGAGTTTAAGAGCGTCGACCAGGGAATTGATGAAGATGGTCAGTTGACATATCCAGTTGAGCTACTAAATACCATTGATCCTGGATCCCTACCACCTCACTCACTGTCCTTAAAAAAAGGATGTCCTATCATGCTTCTTCGCAATCTTGACCCAAAAAACGGCCTCTGTAATGGTACACGCCTGATTTGCAACTCTTTTGGAACATCTGTCATCAGAGCAACAATTGTGACTGGATCAAATGCCGGGCAAGTATCTCTTATTCCAAGAATAAAGCTTAATCCATCTGGGTCAAATGGTGAAATTGAATTCCAGCGGTTCCAATTTCCAGTTCGTCTTGCATTCGCAATGACAATAAACAAGTCACAAGGTCAAACTCTTGAGAGTGTTGGATTATATCTCCCTGCCCCAGTATTCTCCCATGGCCAGCTGTATGTTGCTCTATCCCGGGTCAGAAAACCTTCTACAATCAAGATAATGCTTGATACACCAGCAAATTCCAACGAAACGGCAAATACTGTATTTACAGACAATGTTGTATTTAAGGAAGTCTTTGACATTTAGTAAAAAATTATATATAACATACACTATAAACTCATCTACCCAATTTTTTTTTGAATAATAAAACATCTATACATATCCTTTCTTTTCATATAATTCACTCAAATAAAATGTTCCTATTAATTGTGCTATACGGTACTTAGACTTCCAATAGGGAAGGGTTTTATATTAACTTCCGGTAGGCTCTGGGGCCCCCCCGAAGGGAGGGGGGAGGGGGGGACCCCCCAAAGGGGGGGGGAGCACCGCTCCCCTAGTATATATTTATATCTAGTTGTCTTTACTTTCACAACAGCAGTTGATGATGTCAGCAAAAGCTATATAAGCTATCTTACCTTTCTTTCCCTATCTCTCTCTCTATATATATATAAAATACTTGCTTTTCTATACACTGTGGTAAGAAAAGGGAATACTTTAGTAAGAGATTTTCGCAAGAGATATTTCGTTTTTACCCCACCATGTTTCTGTAATTAATACAAATTACCTTTTCCCATAACTCCAACGTAGTATAATAGAATAATAAAGAAAATACAAAGATTTATTTAAAGGACATATTGACTTACCAGAAGGGCATCTTGAGGGTGCCTGTCGGTAACCAGCATGGAAACTCGATTTTTTCTTTACCTTCTTCTTAGTCTTTGTCTCACACGACGATTTTCTGGAACATATTCTGATGATCTTATAGTACTTCTAATTTGAATGGCATAAGCGAATCTATCAGGGCCAGTACAATAATATATATCCATTTTGCAGACTTTGGTGCAGCCCAGATTTCATTAGTAGCTGGTATGATTCTACCCACTCTCAAGTACTTCTTCAAGAGAGTGGGCAAAACAGGATCTCCAGAGCCAACAAAATGGTCCAGAAGGCCTAAGCAAAAGATTGAGGAGAGAACAGAAAGGAGCCTTGTGCAAGTGGTTGAGCTGTGATTTATACATCACAGTCCGTAAGCCAACCTTGGCATATGACCACCCGACAAGACGGCTGAATCGGGTTCCTGAGCATGTCTTGGACTGACGACAAATAGAGAAGTGTTGTATGATCTGATAAATCATAATCTGGAGTTTCTTTTAAGCAAGTGAGTTTTGGGCCTTTTGTGTTCCTGGTTGACAGCATAAACAAAGACCAATACATGAGCACCTTTTCCCTAGAATACGTTTCCTTGGTTCCAAAGGGCTTTACTGGAACAAAGCAGTAACTTTATGCTTCAAAAAATACAATGATAGCTGTCATATTGACTCTTGTTTGAGGTGGTGAAAAGGTGGTCATGAGATCCCGGGGTTTGACTACTGGCCGGCTCAGAATCCGGGTATAGACCCCATTGAGTGTCTCTAGTAGTTCTCTCGAGATATGGGTGGCTGGTTAGACAGTCAATATCAATGCTGATGCTTTGAAAGCTGCCATGAAATAAGAATAGTGTAAAATGAGCCTAGAGACAGCATCAACTTTGTAAGACGTTATGCAATATATATTTCAATTTGTAATTTGTACCAAAGGAGGTCATATTTGATACTTGTATTATGTATATAGTATAATAAACATGGATATAGTCTTGTATTCAAAGCTTGAAGTCTTTGGGTATTATTACTGATTAGCAGTTTAATTTTGAAATATGCCTTGATTTTTGTCATGATTTTTTTTGGGCTCGGCGGTAGAAACTTTTCTGACTGTGTAAATCCTGCCATTGCGAATCCTAATCACGTGATATGATTTCTTATTTATTTAGTATTGTAAACAAACTGAAAAAAAAAAGAGATAAAATAAGGAACAGCTCACCCTACTTTTGTTTGATGTTGGCAGTGGTAATTTACTCTGTTAATGTTGAACGTGCTGATTGCGGAAACAGTAGTGGTAATTAACCCTACTTTTATTTGATGTTGGCAGTGGTAATTTACTCTGCTAATGTTGAACGTGCTGATTGCGGAAACAGTAGTGGTAATTAACCCTACTTTTATTTGATGTTGGCAGTGGTAATTTACTCTGCTAATGTTGAACGTGCTGATTGCGGAAACAGTAGTGGTAATTAACCCTACTTTTGTTTGATGTTGGCAGTGGTAATTTACTCTGTTAATGTTGAACGTGCTGATTGCGGAAACAGTAGTGGTAATTAACCCTACTTTTATTTGATGTTGGCAGTGGTAATTTACTCTGCTAATGTTGAACGTGCTGATTGCGGAAACAGTAGTGGTAATTAACCCTACTTTTATTTGATGTTGGCAGTGGTAATTTACTCTGTTAATGTTGAACGTGCTGATTGCGGAAACAGTAGTGGTAATTAACCCTACTTTTATTTGATGTTAGCAGTGGTAATTTACTCTGCTAATGTTGAACGTGCTGATTGCGGAAACAGTAGTGGTAATTAACCCTACTTTTATTTGATGTTGGCAGTGGTAATTTACTCTGCTAATGTTGAACGTGCTGATTGCGGAAACAGTAGTGGTAATTAACCCTACTTTTATTTGATGTTGGCAGTGGTAATTTACTCTGCTAATGTTGAACGTGCTGATTGCGGAAACAGTAGTGGTAATTAACCCTACTTTTATTTGATGTTAGCAGTGGTAATTTACTCTGCTAATGTTGAACGTGCTGATTGCGGAAACAGTAGTGGTAATTAACCCTACTTTTATTTGATGTTGGCAGTGGTAATTTACTCTGCTAATGTTGAACGTGCTGATTGCGGAAACAGTAGTGGTAATTAACCCTACTTTTATTTGATGTTAGCAGTGGTAATTTACTCTGCTAATGTTGAACGTGCTGATTGCGGAAACAGTAGTGGTAATTAACCCTACTTTTATTTGATGTTGGCAGTGGTAATTTACTCTGCTAATGTTGAACGTGCTGATTGCGGAAACAGTAGTGGTAATTAACCCTACTTTTATTTGATGTTGGCAGTGGTAATTTACTCTGCTAATGTTGAACGTGCTGATTGCGGAAACAGTAGTGGTAATTAACCCTACTTTTGTTTGATGTTAGCAGTGGTAATTTACTCTGCTAATGTTGAACGTGCTGATTGCGGAAACAGTAGTGGTAATTCACCCTACTTTTGTTTGATGTTAGCAGTGGTAATTTACTCTACTAATGTTAAACGTGCTGATTGCGGAAACATTAGTGGTAATTCACCCTACTTTTATTTGATGTTGGCAGTGGTAATTTACTCTGCTAATGCTGGTTATGTTGGCTATGGAAATAGTAGTGGTAAGACTTTATCAAATGGTTACATGTTGAACTTGATAACTATTTTATTCTTAATATTTTTCTTTTTTGGTTGACCTGTTGGATTATTACAGGTAAAATATTACCTCTGGCGTACATATTTAAACAGGTCCTCTTCAAGTTTAGAAACTATAATTGATTGATAGCTATTGATGTACACGTAAATTATATATTAAATTCTTCCTTATTTCCTTTTACAATTCACACCAAAACTGCATTAAGAGTGCTTCCCCTCATCAATAATAATAATGACATTCAGATATAAAACGTATATTTTTGTAAGTTAGAGTTTTTAAGTAGGGAGACACTGTTGCTTTTCATCAAAGGAAAGATTCCTTAGAAAAGATAATATGCATACTAAATAATCCTTAATTGACAGTTAGAAGCATAATCAACTGGTTATATATGAGTGACTAGGTCAAAGCTGACACTTTAACAGATCAGTAGCAAGCTGTGTTAGTCTTAAAACCAAAATCAATATGATAACCGAGGGTTGGATAGAGTTACTTGGTCAATATTGTGCCAATCTTAATTCATGTGAGAATTTTTTTTAGCATTGATCAAGATAAATGTTCAACGTTTGAAAATCCAAAAAGCAGTAAAGTTCCTGAAGTAAATATCAGGTATGCTTTCGCCAACTTCAGTTGTTCAACTTTAGAACATCATTCAGCGTTCGAAAAATCAGTTTGACGACCAATTGGCTCAATATATATATATATATATATATATCTTCAACATAAAAGCCAACAGTTTGCTTGCCAGCATAATTATAACATTTCAAATATTTAGATTGTTTCTTGAGCCAACCAAGCTCGCTTATATTTTCAGCTTATTATCGAATTAAACAATAAAAAAGAACTATGGGCATTTATGAATTTATATAAATGTACACATTTCAAATCACCCAACTAGCTATCTAACCAATCCCTTGCGTATTTTTATCTAACTATAAATCAATATCTTATATCACACACACACACACACCACATTTCTTGAAGTTGTTGTAGAGTAAATTTTTGTATAAGCCTGCAGACAATTTCTTTATCTTTTTTATTATGATTGAAGAAAAGAAATATGAAAACCACTATGTGGAGTAGACACACATTTAAGCAATGAGCTCGACAACTAATAAAAAAAAATATTAGAAACAATTTAACATTTCAAGATATACACAGTTGTACATAATTTTGTTTTACACAGTAAAAAAAATATTTTCCATTTTTTTTAATAAGTAAAACAAAAAAACAACAACAGAAATGCCGAGAAAACAATTAAAACTTACCACCACCAGCAGCCTTGATCTTCTCCTCAGCGCGACGGGATACGAAGCGAGTGCGGACAATGGCAGCCTGGGAGATATCACCCTTGGCAAGAACCTTGCCGTAACCGTGCTGGAGAGCATCGATGACGGGAACCTTCTCGGTGTTCTTGTATATATTTAAAAGAAGACAAGGGAGATCATTGATCCAAAACCATTGATTATATGGCTTTCAAGTAGTTATTTTGTAAATATGAATTTGGTATACTATGTAAGGATATATCTTTAAGGATAAAGAGAAATAGATCAAGTCATGAGTTCTTCCTATTTCTGATAACTGAAATATATAATTCCTCGGGATTGTTTAATCAACATCATAAATCCCTTTATACTTTAATTCTTTTTCTTTATAGGATGTATGGTATAAATTGGTTAGATACGTTAGTTTTGTAGAAAGAACAGATATTTACCTTTCATAAAATTTCAATACCATCTAGGTTGGATTTTGTCATATATATTTCCATCAATTTGACTTGATTATGTTCAATAAAGGATATTTTTGTTTTGTATACCCTTTAAAGTTTTTAAAAAAGATACGACCTTTGTTCTGTTTATCCTTTACAAAATACCAAGCACAATTGAAAATCCTATTTATGCACATCAATAATAGTCGTTCTGTGCGTACATGGGTACAGATACATCCTAATGCTGGCCATATTTATTTGGTTGAAATGTATATTAGTACAGACTGAATGCCTTTCTGTAGAAATATAGTGCATCCTTTCTGATATTTCAACCTAAATCAATATACTTCAAACAAATCTGTAGTCTACCAAATGTACTTTATAGTTTTATCTTCATTTTAATAAAAAGAAGAAGAGAAGTATTACAATAATGTACAATGTTTAAACATACATCTGACAATGATAAAAAGAAATGCAATTGGATCTAAGCAAATATCGTCTTCTTTTTTTAATCAATACGTTTTGATCGTCTTTGACGAATTGCATCGGGTCTAGCAGTAACAGAGGTAGAGCTGGCACTGGTCTTGGTCTCACGTTTGCTTTGATCCCCACCAGCTGGGCCAAGATAAGCAGGCAAGCCAATGGCGAGAATCAAGAGTACAACAAGCCCGCCTACCAAAGTCCAAGGAGACATAGTAGACACCTTCTTGACAATAGCGCCAATGTATCCAAAAGAGATACCCCTGCAGAATATGTACAGATTAGTGTCATATATGCACGCTAGATTTAATGATAAAAGCTTACATGAAACCATAAGGAGACATCACACCAGTCTTGGGTTCAATTTCTTTCCATGTTTCTTCCTCCAACAATTGGAGAAGAGCAGATGGATTACGCTGACTGATAAAACGGACTAAATAATCAACATCATTTAATTAGTACAAATTCGCATGCATATATTATTAATCGAGATTATATTAGTGCTACTAATATTACCTTGTCTGTTTTTTATGTGAACCACTGTGGGTAAACGAGAGACAAAGAAACGAGCGGCAAGGTAAGGATTAGAATCTGTATCAACCTTGCCAAGCTTGACGTTCATTCCATTAGACAATAAGGAATTGTCAAGAAGCTTGTAGCTGGACTCAAAAGATTTGCAGTGATGACACCAGGGCGCATAGCTGTAATTTTGGTTTTTTAATCGTTTTTTTTTTATTCGCACCAAGATAAGTCATTTTGTTGTCAATGTTTGGAACTGTTCATATCTATTCATCTTCTATATATTTCGATGACAAGACTCACAAATCTAAAATCCATTCATCGGAATCGTTTACTAATGAGCTAAAGTTTTCGTCTGTCACTTGGATAATCTTTGCGTAGCAAAACGAGACCAATGCAAGGAAACTCAAGAGACGTAAAAACTGCATTGTAACAATGAATACTTTAATCTGCTTATTTTTTGCCTGCCATTTCCTTGTATATAAGCTCTTCCGGGATGGCGTATTTCACAGACCGAATTTTAGAAGTCACATATACAATATTTTTAAACCCCTCCATTTAGACAAGTCTTTATGCGATATATGCTGCCTAATAAGAACTTCATCAATCTTACGGGAACGACGTTTCCTGGTAGGGCACGACATTTTTATATAACCGGGCTAATCAATTGGGAATACATGTCTGGGTCCCGGTGTATCTCTCTAATCCTTCAGGGCAAAATGATGTGTCCTAAAAAAACACAATATATTCATTGTATGCATTAGTTTCACTACTTTGCCATCCACATTTTGTGTTTATCTGTCTCTCCCTAGGTACCTAAATCTCATCATTTTAAGGGCCACAGTCTGTATTTTGGAGACTTAATAATAAAATACTGTCTCATACGAAAAACAAATCCTGCATATTAAATTAATAGCAGTTTGCGTCCTCAATTTAGACTTGACAATAAAGAAATAATAATTAGTCACAAATACACTATATCAATAGCTAGTTATACAGAAGATAATAAAGAGTTGTTGTCATTAAAGTGTGATGCAATCTTGATTAATATTTTACTATTTATTAGCCTTACGCGTATCATGTTTTTCTCTTTCTTTCACCAAACTGGTGAGTAATCCCCATCCACTCCTTTTTTTTTAAAAAAAAAAACACAAAAGAGAATCTTTATACAAATATTCTGTATCTTTAGGAACCAGATAGAGTTATTCTATGCTGGCAGAAAGGTCACGATTTGTGGTCCAGTAGAATCAAAATGTCGCCCCCACCAGGAAATATCGTCCCCCTAAAATTATCGTCCTGACTGTCCAGGCTGACCTGCCAGGCTGTCCGTAAGGTTTCCCAAGGAAAGAGATATGAGCGCTAGTTAGGTGGTGTTGAGGTTATGGGATCTATGTATGGAAGTCACTGCCTTAGCTGTGACTACATTGAGGAGGAAGGGGAAGTTGTCAAAGACAGATTCCCAGTGCCCGCGCCAGATGGTGTGAGCCGTGATGGATGCAATCGCAATTTGAAGAGAAGATGAAACGGAAGAAAAGGCTGTCCACGGGTCGAGGTGGATCCGGTGAAGTAAAGAGAAGCAAGGAAATGAACCGCGATCACAGAACGATTTTGGCTTCGTCAAGATGGCAGAAGAAGGCAAAAAAATGCGGTTGCGGGCATGTCGTATGTCATGGGAGGTATCCGACAGAGGCCACCTCGGGAGTCGATCATAAAGGCGTTATTAGTGGATAATTAACAATTTCAACATGACAACAGTACTAAGAGAGTACCGCCAAATCACAGAAAATGGCGCGCAAATGCGCAAAAATTTGTCCGACATTCGTATTCTGTAAGTCATTGTTTTATTTAATATGTTTCTTAGCATTAGCTCAATAACTTATTAATGTGCTCTCTATAGCTCCTTGCCTTATATTTTTCCTATATATGATAAGGATCATTGTTCTTTATCTCGGCTCCTCCCCGAACAACAGCTTGCAGTAATGAAGGACTTTAATCTAAAGCAATATTTAGAGTTCATGGAAGACGATATGTTGATAGCATGCTGTACAATGCAGAGGTCATTGTATAATGAAGGAATGAATGAGAAATAAAGAGAAGACGCTATCGATCTGATAAAGAACAGCAGCCAAAATAACTAAGGGTATTATTCCCCACATTTTCAACAAATCTTTAAACGGACAAGGTGAAGCCAATCAAATTATTGAGTTGTTGCGGCCATTTTTATTGCATTGCTGGATTTCACAGATAGCTAGAATGAAATACGAATGGTAAATATGCATGAATAGACTTTAATTTGTATTCATTTATTTTTTTATTTTTTAGGTTAATCTATCATTTGCTTTCTCCTTCACAACTTTATTCGGGTCAGTTAATGATGCCTGATTACGTCTTATTTGTTGAACCATATTCATCAATTACTTTCGAGCTTTGTTTTGTTGAAGTCAAGAGAAAGGGAAATCATTATAAAGGGAATTACGAGTCTGATTTAGTAAAACTGGGTAAAGAAGTGCAAATTACCATCAATAAGCTCGTATTACAAAGGGTTGCCAACCAAGAAATCGTTGGGTTGCTTATTAAAGAAGGTGAGTATATTTGTAGAAGCTACCATATGATCACTAATGTATATATATTATAGATCATGTAGCAACATCATTTAAAATGGATCTTAAATATAATGGCCAATATAGAATGATGAAGATAAGCGAGTTTAACTTCATTAGAAAGGCACCTGATGATATTTTGCTTTTGCCCACCATAATGGAGAAGCTCAATCAGATAAAGATAATACTTTTTAATAGGATTTCTACGTATAGCGCTGATGTACTTGGAGTAGGATATCATTAGCAGCACACTTAAGAAACTTTATGAAGCACTTAGAAACAAAGATGACCAGGAGGATTTAACCTCATATATAAGAACGCCATGTACAAGTCCAGTGCACACAAAGATTTCCCAATAAATGCTTTAACGCTTAGAAACAAACTCATCAAATGTCATTCAATTAAAATATTATAAAACTCTAATGCAATTGCACTTGTTGTTTTCTGAGAGTGTTTCTTCGAAATATATTGATTTATCAAAGCATTAAGTTAGGAAATAAATTCAAGTTTGTCTTACTCAGATCAAAATAAGTTAAGAAATGCTTGAAAAAGTACTGAAAATATAAAATACCCTAGATCGGTTTGTTCTACCTCTCAGTACCATTTTTAATGAACTTCGAACAGTACGTCGGTACACATTCAGAAGCATATGAAGACAGCTCATGAGACGATGAAATGGATTACGAAGCGCCTAATTTTGTTTACGGTAGCCTAATTGATCTCGCCGATCTCAACTCGACTATTACTCCTAAAGTAAATGTTATCAAAGATGAAGTTTTATACGGGACACTAGTAATAGTGCCTGAAAAAAATATATCAAATTCAAATATACAAGAAATATGGCGAGGCAAATATTGTTAGATTTTTTATACTTACAACGGAAGAAGAACTAATTGTTCCCAAGGCTGCTAATCAAACAGGTATTTCAAGGAGCACAGCGTATAAATTGAAGGGAGCGTGGAGTGACAGCAATGGAACAGTTTATCCCTCAGACTGTATCAAGCAAAAATCAAAAGCTAATTTAAACACGAGATTCAGTAATAAAACATTGAATTCGGAATACACAGCCTTTCTCATTGAGCAAATAGACAACAAACTTAGTATAACCATTTCTGGCGTATTGCAGTTACTTTTCTCTAGGTTTGAAGTCCTTTCAATTTCTAGTTCTGCCGTGAGAAACCACATGGTCAACCATTGGAAATTTTCACTTAAAAATGTCAAGCTGTATGATCTTGAAAGGGAATCTAATAGAACAATTCGATTGCGATCCGGATCTATCAATTCTCGGAAAGCTGCTGGTGTGGACTATATGAAAAATCGTGTATTTTTCGATGAAGCCGGTTTTAATAGTCATCAAACAAGAAGCCGTGGATGGTCAAAAGTTGGTGTACTTGCAGTAGCAAAGATCCCTAAGAACAAAGGTGTCAATATCTCCATTATCGGGTGTGTATCTTCATGGAGAATCATTAATTTTTTGCAAAGTAGATTCCCTAAAGCCAAGTGATGCAGAGAAGATTAAAAAAGAAAAGAAAAGCAAATGTAGACGATGACGCGCCCAAAAGAAAGTTAAGTAAAGATACCACTGCTTACCATATCGTTAAATTCATCGAACAAACAATGGAAAATTGTAGAGTGGACCAATTTAAATTTGTCAATGATTGTATAAAGAATAGAGACTATAAGCCGCTACTCATGTCACCATATTCACCCTTCTTGAATACAATAGAAGAATGCTGGTCCAAGAGCAAGTCGTATATGAAGCGACATCCTTTGTCTGAAACTGATCAGCCAACCCCAATAATAGCCACCGTGTGTAAAACCGTATCTGTAGAAGATTGTCAAGGATAGGTTAAACATTCAATTACATTTTGAGTTTGCTGTACTGCTAAAGAGCGCCTCGCACTTTAAATAAAAGATAACCATTTGAACTTTTATAATGTCACATAATTAAACAAACTTGATGATCTGAAAATAATATTCTCGATGCCCAAAAAAAATCGTTACGTTTTAAAAAAAAAGGAATATTGCCCTAGCTTTTAACGATCAATGTAAAGTTGAATGGAAAGAAATAAGCAGCAAAGTAATAATAAAAATAATAATAAAAATGAATTTATACATGTGAATAATGAGAAGGAGAAAAAAAAGGTAATAGAGTAAAGTAAAATAAAGAAAGTATGAAATATAAATCGTCTATGGTTATACAGTGTTTTGATTTTGAAAAATAAAGTGCACTACCACTGAGTGATGTCAACTTCTGCTTCACCAAAGAGACTAGTCTTGGTGGCCTTGATCTCCTCTGTATCGGTAACTGTGGGGGCACCAGCAAAAATCTCAGGAAGTGTAGAATGAATAAACTTGAGAATGTGTTGGTTGATTTGATCAAACTCAAGTAAAAAACCATCATGACCATCAGGAGACTGGATGACAATCATTTCTGCTTTAGGAATACAATCTGCGAGTTCATACTGCTCCGAAATAGTAAACAGACCATCGGATTCAATACCAATAACAAGGGTTGGTTGTTTCATACTCTCAAGAACACTCTCGTAATCACCCCTTCCTCTAGACACGTCATGGGAATCCATCTTGCGAGTAAGAGCAATGTAACAATTGGCGTCAAAACGGTTGATGAACTTGTCACCCTGGTAACGCAAGTAGGACTGGGCAGAGAAAACAAAAGGGGTGGGCATAGGAGGATCATTGATTGTAGTGTGGGTGCTGGGTGGTGTAAGCTTCGATTTATGTCCGTCGTTATGCATCATACGGTTGGCCTCTCCGGGTGTTGTTGGTTTGGATTGATTCCGGCTCTCGGCTGACTTGCGACCGAATCTTGACTCAAACGAGTTACGGGAACGGTAGGTCAATAAAGCTGACATACGTGCTGCTGCAAGACCTGCGCTAGGACGAGAGTTTGCTGTATAGTAACCATCGGCTAAAAAATCATTTTATATAAAGTAAATATATCTCGTCTTTTATTCTTATTTCTCTTCACTTGAACCTGTCAAATGAGCCCTCTGCACTTCATTGTGTATGCATGCATTGCTTACCATAATTAGGATCGCTGTAGATTGATTGACGTTGTGCTTCTCCCCAACTGATGCCCCAAGCCGAATGGCGGCCGGAGGTAGCAATTGGAACCATTGCTTTCACATAATCATGCCCCATTGCAGCCCATTCAAGCACTTGCATTCCGCCCATTGAGCCGCCAATACACACAGCAATTTGCTTGACACCTAGCTGATCTAAAACCAAACGGTGTAGACGGACATCATCACGTACACTAGCCAAGGGGAATTCAGGACCGTAGTTCTCTTTGTTGTCTGGGTTGAGGGTAAGGGGAGATGCTGAGCCATAAGGAGAGCCCATCACATTGCAGCATACGATAAAGAATCTTGTGGGGTCGAACGCACGATTAGGACCCATCAAAGGTCCCCACCTAATTGAGCACAATATCTTTAAATAATCGATTCATAAACTACATGCCTACTATATCCTTACCAGTCTTCAACATCGGCACTACCAGTAAGTGCATGACAAATAACCATACAGTTGTCACCTTTCTTATTCAATTTTCCCCAAGATTTCCATGCAACCGGTACTTGATCAAGGGTTACACCCGATTCAAGAGTAAAGCTGGGGATAATGGTTATGTTCTGATCGGGTATCAAGGCAGCCAAATAGTTTTTGGACAGTGCTGGTGGAAGACCATCCTTGACTGTGCAGTAAGTAGTGCTCATAATAATAAAGTTGAGAGAAGGAAAAGGAGAAAGAGAGATGAACGGTCACTAGGAAGTGGTCCTATGATTAAGCATTTCGATAAGACACAGATGGATCATGCTAAATGATCCAATAAAAGCTGGTCTCTTCAGTGACTGCCTTTAGCATCTCATCATGTCTAGTTCAATGATGCCATTCTTGTGCTGCTGTCTGTCCTACCCTTACTGGTGAGTGATTTGAGTACCGCACGATCAGGGCACATAGAGTAAAGAAGTACTTTGAACTAGTAGAAGAGTAAATGATTGAATTGAATAGGGAAGTAGTCAGTGCAGAGATTATTATATTTAGGATCACAGCCATAATATACGTCACAAAATAAACTCCCATTATAAAAAAAATCAGAGCTCCAATACCCTTTCCATTTCTCTTTCTCTTTCTCTTTTATTTATTTTAAATAATGGCTACTCAATCTCCTACTGAGGCAGCTCCCCGTCGTTCTTCGTTCGTTCAGCCAAAGCCACGCGCTCTTCGTCCATTCAATACCTCAGAGGTCAAAATTCTCTTGCTCGAGAATATTAATGAGACAGCCGTAAAATCTTTTTTGAAGCAAGGGTACCAGGTAATTTATCCAAAAAAAAAATTACTGTGATTCCGAACCCTACGTCAATAAAAACTACGTGGATCACTCAATCAAGGCTGTAGGTAGAGACATATAGCAAGGCGCTAGTCGGCGATGAATTGCTCGAGAAGATCAAAGACGTCCATGTGGTTGGTATCCGTTCAAAGACAAAGCTTACAAAACAGGTGTTGAATGCTGCTGTCAACCTAAAGGTTGTTGGTTGTTTCTGTATTGGCACCAACCAAGTTGATCTTCACGCCGCCGCTCACAGAGGAGTAAGTAAAGAGAAAGAAGAGACACGCTAAAAAAATAAACTAGATTAAAAGGAGAATAGGAAATTTCTACAGTTGCTTATCCATCTACTTTACGCGTCTCCGTAGATTGCAGTGTTCAATTCGCCATTCAGCAATTCTCGCTCCGTGGCTGAACTAGTCATCGGCGAAATGATCGTATTGGCTCGCCAGTTGGGTGACCGCAATATCGAAATGCACTACGAGACATGGAACAAGGTTTCTAAGAGATGTTTTGAGATTCGTGGAAAAGTACTGGGTATTGTTGGATATGGTCACATCGGCTCGCAGTTATCTGTACTAGCCGAGTCCATGGGAATGACAGTATACTTTCATGACGTTCTCCAGATAATGCCACTCGGAACTGCTAAACAAACCGAAACACTCGAGGAACTGCTGTCCATCTCTGATTTTGTGTCGCTACACGTACCCGAATTAGAAGAGACCAGAGAAATGATTGGCGAACGTGAGATCATGGGCTACATGAAGAAAGGATCCTATCTCCTCAACAATGCCCGAGGTACTGTGGTGCAAATCCCAGGCCTTATCAAGGGTCTCCAGTCTGGCCATTTAGCTGGTGCTGCTATCGATGTATTCCCAAAAGAACCTGCAAGCAACGGTAGACACTTTACAGAGTATCCCGAGCTCCTCAAGTGCCCCAATATCATCATGACTCCTCACATCGGAGGCTCTACCGAAGAAGCTCAGCGTATGATTGGTATCGAAGTATCCTCTGCATTGATCAAATATATCAACGAAGGAACTTCAATTGGTGCTGTCAACTTTCCTGAGATTGATCTTCGTGTTATCCGCGAAGATGACAAGAACACGGTTCGGGTCCTCTACATTCATCGTAATATTCCAGGTGTACTCAAGGTAAGATACTATAAAGTCTATTTGTAAACAGTCCAAAAGAGATCGAACGTATGACTCATATATGTGTATGTGTGTATGTGTATGATAAGGCTATCAACGAGATCTTTGCCGATCACAACGTAGAAAAGCAATATTCTGATTCCAAGGGAGACATTGCCTATGTTATGGCTGATATTGCCAATGTTGCAGAAGAACAGCTTCATCAAATATATGATGCAATTATCGCAACACCTGCCAACATCAGCACTCGGATGCTCTATTAATTATTATTTTTACCAATAAAACATGTATCAAGAGTATTATTCCATCTATATAGCAATTTTTTATTATGTGTACAAAAACTTCATTAAAGAAGTTGGTAGGGAAAGGAAATGATGTAGAGGTGATGAGAGATTGTGTTGCTTATTTTGATCCAATGTAACCATCTTTCTCCAAAAGCAAGATAATCTCATGGACAGCCTGAGCAATAGACTGCTTGGTGATGTCGACAGTGAGGTCAGCGTTCTTGGGCTGCTCATAAGGATCGTTGATACCAGTGAATTCCTTAATCTCACCCTTGCGTGCACGTTCATAAACACCGTCTCTGTCAAGACGCTCGCACTCGGAAAGGGGTGTGGCAACATGGATAAGATAGAAACCACCGTACTTCTCAATTTCCTTACGAGCCTTCTGGCGAGCCTCATCGTAAGGGGCAATAGGAGCAACAATAGCAGCAGCACCAGCTCTGGTCAATTCGCCAGCAACAAAGGCCTGACGGGCAATGTTGGTGTCACGATCACGCTTGGAGAAACCTAATTCGGAAGAGAGTTCCTGGCGGACGTTCTCACCCAACAACAGGGAGACAGAGCGGGTGCTCTCCTGGTTAAGAGAGACCTGGAGAGCGCGAGCAATGGCGTTCTTTCCAGAGGCGTGGAGACCAGTGAAGAAAACAGTGAAACCCTGTTGGTCGCGAGGAGGATGAGACTGACGGAGTACACGGACAACCTCAGGATAAGAGAACCACTCAGGAATGGGGAGGCCAGTCTTGAGACGACGGCGCAATTCGGTACCGGAAATGTTGAGGGTTTTGACACCCTCTGGGACTTCATCAGCGGGGAGGTACTCGTCAGAGTCAGGGCAGTAAGTGACCATCTGGAAGGGTACGATTTCAATACCGATCTCGCTTTTATACTTCTCACACAATTCCTGAGCATCATAAGGACCATAGAAATCAACACCCTGAGAGTTCTTGCCAGGTCCAGCATGATCACGGCCGACAATAAAGTGAGTAACACCGTGGTTCTTACGGATGAGAGCGTGCCAGACGGCCTCACGGGGACCACCCATGCGCATAGCAAGGGGCAAAAGACTGAGCTCGGCCATGCCGTTGGGGTATTTGGGCATCAAGGCCTTGTAGACACGAACACGGGTATAATGGTCGATATCTCCAGGTTTGGTAAGACCAACGACAGGATGGATCAACAAGTGAGCCTTGCGCTGACGGGCAGCACGAACAGTCAACTCACGATGTGCACGGTGCATGGGGTTACGAGTCTGGAAAGCAACGACACGAGTCCACTGCAACTTCTTGAAGTGAGCGCGCAACTCAGAGGGGGTGTCTAAAATTCCCAAAAAAGTTGATCAGTTACTACACACTTCAAATATACCTAACACTAGCCCTCATCCAAGTCCAGTTAATATACTTACAGCGGTTGGAGACATAGTCGTAGTGAGACAAAGGCTGGACGGCCTGAAGGCTACCACCGACATAGAATTCCTTGGCGATGGTGTGGAGATAATGAACAGCGGGGTGAGCAGAGTCATCGGCGCCAAATACATTCTTGGCTTCGAAGGACTTGTCGGGCTTGTAGACATCCTCGACTGTGAGAATGGCCAAGGGCTCGTAGTCTCTGGAATCAAGAAGAGTGATGCGTTGCTTGGGAGCAATCTTGAGGTCAGTGACTTCCTTCTGGCTCACATCAAGGGTGATTGGCATGGACCAAAGAACACCGTTGGCCAAGCGAATGTCCTTGACAACACTTTAATAGCAAATTGATTGTGGTGAGATTAATTGCTGATAGTGATTCGGTACAGCTGTGGTCGCTTACCTGTTGTAGTCCTTCTGGTTAAGGAAACCTTCAAGAGGAGAGAAGCCACCGTTAAGAATGAGTTCGAGGTCGCACAACTGACGGTCGGTAAGGACAAGGGAGGGCAAAGTGGAAGCTTCGGCACGGAGCTGGTCCTGTTTTCCTGCGTCGCGAAGGTAAAGGTCCTTGAGAATACCGCCGTGAGGTGCGTTGGCCATAGCAGAAGAATTTAAGGGGATAGAAGGTGTGTGTGTTAAAGAGTTGTAAAATTTACAAAGGCTTTTATAGTTGGAGATGAAGCGACCCAGGAACACGATTGCGCAATTCGGGTGTGTGTCCAATGAGCGGGCCGATCCATGACGCACATTAATTGAGACTCTGTGGGCTTACTGCCCATTTGCTCCATTGCTATAATCCACGATTTCCTTTTTTTTTCTCTTTTTTTTTAGATTATCGCAAGCCTTTTCTTGTCTACCGATTGAAGGCTTGTATTCTTCTCTCCCTTCTGTTTCCCTTGCAAAAACATGTTGCAATCCATAGTTAATATTATCTAATATTCAGAATATCTTATATCGAACCATGGCCTTCCAAACAAAGGAATTCGATATGTAGCACGGTCGTACATCAATAAAAAATAGGCACCCTTTACATACAGTGCTTCCACTGTCATTTGGACACATTTTTGAAAACGAAAGTCTGTATCCCTTGGTATATGATAAAATATTAGCCGGCTCAATGGGTGTTAACAGTTAATACAAAAAAAAATGTAGACAGGTGAAAATATTAAAGAACGATCAGAATGAGCTCAGCCAGTCAAATTTATTTTTGTCTATCCTTGCAGGTTGTTCAAGGTACGCTTTGTAACAATTAAAGACGTACTTGACTGCAATTGTCAGCTTTTTTAAAAAAAAAACAAAGTTTGTAGCATGTCTTTCAAAGAATAATTAAGAGTAATTGACAGCTGTAGCTGTTTTATCGCCCTAATTTTAATAATAAAAAGTAAATATTACATAATATCATTGCCTATCAAATTGTCAATGCAATTCCCAATGGATGAAAACTGGCCAATTATAGTCGTTTTAACTTTCCTTGATCTTCTTTTTTTTAAAATTTTAATCCAATAATATTTCTTAAATTATTGATTTTTCTATGATTTGTTTTCTGTTTATACAAAGTGACTGCGAATACTTTCTTTGTTTTAAACAGATAATTCAAGAAAAAGAAAGACTTACCACCCATTGAGGTACACATTCTTACCTAAACTCATGTTCTCACCAGACAAGTTGACAAACAATATCCATTCTAACGAAACCGTCTATAATTTGACAACAATTTCATAAACATTAAAATGGGCTTCATTTCCTGGAGTGATGCCACTTCGATTAATTAGCATTGGAGTTAAGACCTCGGAGTATAAATTATGTTTGACAGAAGTTGTTATTGAAGTTTGTGCCATCAGGTGAATCATCCACATTAAATCAAGCAACTCACCAACATCACTACTGAAGATAATAAGTAAAGTTGAGAAAGGCTCTTCTTCATTCGAGAGTATCTTGATCATTTTGAAATAACTTATTAAGCAAAGGTAGTCTTGTCAGTGACTCGAAAGTGAACAAAGAAGAATAAATGACCTGCCCTTTTTTGTGTGAAAATATCTGTTAAGGTACCTGGATTTTACAGATTTAGTATCATTAAAGACCGTCTTGGGTACATTCCTTGTGATATTCAAGATAATATCCGTATTTTTCTTATATATATATGAGCTAATGTAACAAATTCAACAGCTATCAAAAGCTGTCAATCAAATAAGAATTGACTTTCTGGGAGACATTGGCAGATATGGCAAAACAAAATCTAAGCATTAGGACAATTCTTATGCCCTATGAAACTCGATTAGCAATGTGGGAATAAAAGAAATAGAGCTTATAAGATATCCAGCCTTGTGGCTTTGTTTATATTTTACAGATCAACAAGAAGTTGTATCATATTAACAAGGTTAAGTTGGTCTCCTTATTGATATGAATTAATGAGATATTTTCTGCCACGATATTTTCTGTCTTTGAGACTAAGATTAGATACTCCAGCTAATATATCTACCTCTATTTATTGTTTTGTGTTTTCTGCTTGAAAAGAAAAAATTAAAAGTGCCACTTCTTCCTGCTCGAATGCCACCTGTTATCACTCGTATAACCTCTACGATATAATTTTGTAAAATATTATAATATTTATTGGTATTTTAGATCGTGTGGTATTGACAGCATCAGAATCTCTACTTTGTCCAAATACCTGTTGTATTGATAGAATCACTCTCAAAAGAACAACGCCGATTGACGGAGTTGAGGCCTGCCATGCAAATACTATTTGAGGTGGCATAACTGGTAAACAATTATAGCACAAAAATTGTTTTGCTGTATATATACCTTGCATCCTTCTACTTTCAAGCACGAGTACTTATAGAGAGAAGATACCCTTTATTATTGCAATGGAAATATAAACTTTTATTAAAAAAACTATCTTTGCTGTCATTGGAATGAAATATATAGTGTCTTTTGTTGCATAGCTATATCAACATCCCGTTAACTCCTGTCGCGTTAAGCCAAATGATTCGCAGAATTAGGTTTTCCAGAGTGTTTTATTAATTAAAATATGACTGTAAATGGTGTCTATGCATGACTTCTTGAGAGCTAGCTAATCTTCCCGTTTGAAAATGGGTAATCCCCCCGCCAAGAGTATAAAATGGTGTTGCGGTAACGTAAAAAAGAGATGTTATTGGCCAGCTCATCCTTGGGAACAATTGTTTCCCTTTCAGCGGAAACCCCCAGTTGTAAATGTTTGCTGCTGGGATAGAATTGCTTGCCAAATCGCGTTTTTTAGCGTGTGTTCCACATTCGTAGATTTAACCTTTGTTAGACATCATCAACTGCGGGATATGGTTACTGAGTACAATTAGTACTGGTTGACAAGAACGACATCATAAATCTTATAAAAAAGCTATAAAAAGACCCTATATACTTTCTTCTTCTCCTTTTTCACATTAACTCACACAAACCATGCCCGTTACCAAATTATCCATCTCCCCCTCTGCTGGCATTGATCAGTACACTCTTATCAATGAAAAGAAGACCTTGGCTGTCATGGTCCTGAATTACGGTGGGATTATCACCCACATCCTCACACCTGACAAGAACGGAGCCATAAAGGATGTTGTTCTTGGATTTGACAACTATGAGGCATACCAAAACCCAGCAAACCCTTACTTTGGCGCATTGATTGGCCGTTTTGCTAACCGGTAAACAAAAATACTTACAAACACCTATTTTCTTTTTTGACAAAAGACGTGTAGTATTGGTGAAGGAAAGTTTACTGTGGATGGCGAGAATTACAATCTGGCTGTAAACAATGGGCCGAATGCTCTCCATGGTGGTATCAAAGGGTTTGACAAGTGCATCTGGGATGTAACTGTATTATCCGAAAGTCCTGCTTCTATCCGTCTTGATCTAGTCTCTCCAGATGGTGATCAAAACTATCCTGGAACACTCACAACATCTGTTACCTACACTGTCACGGATGAAAATACTCTTGAAATATCTTACCATGCTACTACCGACAAGGATACTATTGTAAACCTCACTAACCACACCTACTTTAATCTTGCTGGCCTTGACTTGGATCCAACCATTCTGGGACATGAGGTCACAATGACAAATGATGTGAAAGGAACTCTAGCTCTTGACGAAAACTCTCTTCCTACCGGCAAGAAGTTGGACTTTAAAGATGCTCCTTGGTTTGATTTTACGGTAGGGCTTTAGCCAGTTGTACCTATTGATTTCTTACGGTAGTGTATATGTGTTTGTGTGTGTAGGGTTCAAACGCAGGCACCCCAATCGGTGCTCGCATTAACTGTCTTCCAGCCAGTCACGGTTACGACCATCCATATATCATTCATGAGGATTACAAAACTGATACTTCTTCACTTCCTCTCCGCAAAGCTGCTACAATTCACGCCCCTGAAACTGGAATCTCTCTAGACTTTGCAACAACTGAACCCGGGTTTCAGTTCTATATTGGTGGTTGGATCACCCCAGGTGCACTCACTGGCACAAAATACCAAAAGAACGCCCCAATTGGACAACACGCTGGCTTCTGTCTAGAGAGTCAGCGCCCTCCAGATGCCGTCAACAAGCCTCAATGGAGAAGCAGTGTATTATTACAAAAGGGAGATGTGTATGCAAGCAAAACACTTTTCAATTTTTATGTACGTTCTGATTAAAAAGAGCCAAGGATGGCATTACGACGTATAGTCGATTTACGTTTTAAGGGAGATGATGGACTGGGCATCGGTTCTTCGGGTGTATTTTTGCGTTCAGTGGATGATGTTCCATGTGGTTTTGTTCGAGAAAACACGCGTTTGAGAGATTTTAGTGGATTGTTATTACGCAGTATGGATGATGTTGCTTCTGAGCTGTGGGAGCTTCGTGAATTGCGTCTTAAAGTTTGGTTAATATTACTTCGAATACTATCACTACGAGTCGCGCGGCTTTTCCCACTTGTGTAGCTGATTGCAGTGCGTGACCTGCTAAGATTAGACATATTATCTTCAAACAACTCTTCAGTAGGTTCTTCTTCTGGAGTTACTAAAGGCGTGTCTTCTTTTTTAATCTCGGGACTGGATAATTCAATGTCTCCTTGTGGTGTTGTGTTATCCATCTCTGGTTCAACTTTCTCTTCGAGTATGTCTGACAAATCAAACTAAAGAAAACGTATATATATTAGATACTTTGTATAAGGTTACAGGTGGAAGTATATTACGGGAATATTAAAGCACGTATTATAGCCAGGTGCCATGCGTCTACTCCAATAGTTGAGATCGTCTCTGAATCTGTTGATAGAAAAATCCCATCTATCATCATTATTCCATAGTCGATCAGACGTTAATGTACTATTCGGATCTGGGATTGAATCAATTTCCCACTCTTCTGGAGTAATTTGATTCATGGGGACTAAGGACTCTTTTAATGCGGCAATGTCTTTATCAGATAAACTAATGAATTATGTACAATACAAATTTTGGGTTATTTTGAACGAACAAAAAAAATCTTGGCATTTGTCTTTATTTTTCTTACTATTCTTTTTCTTGGGTAGTAGGCTGGTCAGACTCCAGCTCTGCAAGCACTTTTTTGGCATCTCGTATACGCCGACAATAAGCATCGCACTCGAACTGAAAAGCGAGGGGGTTTTTCACCGAATCATATCTATAGAGGAGTATGACTTTGTTACATTATATGCTAATAACAGTATACCACCTACATGTGGTTGCAATCCAATTCAGTAAGTATACTGAAACGCACAGTCTGGGCTGTGAGCTGCCCGCGATCAGTAGCAGTATAATACAGTCCAGGATATGTTTTTGAAGCAATTACTACGTGTTACAGCCCTTGTTAATCAATGCCATTTTTTTCAAAATACTTGTAAATTTATCTTACCTGACACAACATGGCCTTTACTGGTCTCACTGTCTTCACCAACATAAATTGGCACACCATCGCATTTTCCCCACTCACCAATTCCAAAAGCACCAACCAGCATCATAGTTTCCGAACAGCTATCTTGACTTGGCTCCTCATTATCCGGTATGTCCTTAAATTGCCATTCATTCTTTGTCTTGAATTCATGTCTTAACCAATCTCTCTTTTCCCAGATTGTTTGGAATACAGGTTGTCTGTTTTTCTCATAGCTTTTAGTTAACTTATTATATGTATCCCAGATAGGGATAGCGTCACTGGAAAGAGTCCACATTCGCATTGTACCATCAGAGGAAGTGGTTGATATGTTCTCTGGGCGCAAGTTTGACCATGAAATCTACAATAATAACTTTAGTACATTACATGTACATATTGTGATTAATAAATTCTTACAGATTTGACTGTTCCTAAATGCCCATCGATTTTTCCAACTGGCAAATGACAGGACGATCGAATATCCCAAATATTAGCCATACAATCTTCACCACCCGAGGCAAGCCAATAGGGAACAAATGGACTAAAAGCAGTTGTCGTTATAGGTCGATCATGGGCATTAGGTGCTCTCCAGACTACTCCGTCTTGATGGTTTGTTGGCACACGTGTATCAATTATATTTAATGATCTTCCATCTCCAGCTGTCGCAATAAGAGAATATGGTGCATGATGAGACCAGTTTGCGCACTGGAGGTTATTTTTATCTGTCTATTAACTAGAGGTAAGAATATACTGCTTTTATATATTTATTTATTTTAAGATTAAAATGTTTATATATTACCGTTTGTATGTAAGCTGGTTTTCTCTCTTCGTTGACATCCCATATATGTAAATTATTTGCGGTAATTGATAAAAAATGGCCAGAAGGCCTATAAGATTGTGTTTCGTTTAGTGATCCCGTGGAAGATGACGAGGAAACTGGAGAAGAAGATGTTTGTCCATCCAAGTAATTTGGCGAGAACGCCACTGCTTTTACAAAGGTATTATGAGAGTAACTCGGGAGATGTCTAGAGTGGATAGTCTATAATTAAATAATCAATGAGCTGTCTGATTTGATTTATATATTGTGCCTTACTCCTTCCATAGATGGGCTGACATAGTTTCCCAGCTTTACAAATTTAGCTGGCATATCCTCATCATCAAAGTCGCCTTCAACATTGAATAGTTTGACTGTTCCTTTATTTGTACCTGCCAAAAGATGTTGACCAGACCAATCTAAGGAGTGTATAGGGGCATTCAAGCGCTCTGTTTGGAATAGCTACCAACATAGAAATATTAAATGGCGATATTTATACACACATTTTAAAGAGTATCAACTTGCTTGAAAACGTGAGCATCTAACATCATCCGTAGTCAAATAGTCTTTAACAAAATAAAGCTGTCCTATTGGATTTCCTGACCCCAGTGCAATTACATTTGTATTCTTGACATATACGCTTTATTAGTAACAGCCTTTATGACGGCAATTATATAATAGTCTCAATTTGCTTATATTACCTCGGACTGAGTCATGCAAGTAAAATAGGTTTCATTTGGGCTGACTATGAAGCAATTGGACTTGAGTCCCTTTGCTGCTCTAAAGTAATAATAATAAAAAGTTGAAATCAATTTCACCCATTGTCTTATCAACTCACGCTCTCCATCCTTCTGATAATATCCTCCAGCCTAGTGACTTTTCAAGTGCATACACAAGAGGCATGCGTTTTTTATGCTGATGAGCCTCCAGTCTAGCAACAAGACCTTCTCCAGTTATTTTAACCATGTAATAATAGTAATAATAATATAGTGTAAAGTAAAGTAAGACAAAAAAAAACAAGAGCAAGAGCAGAGAGAGAGAGAGAAAGAGAAAGGAAGAGGAATGGATCAGACAAGTTAGGAATAATCATATCATTGTAACCATTGTTTCTCTGAATCTTTATTGATTTCTTTTACCGCCGGCGATTGTTAACAATTTTCATGCTAGTCTAATTATGCTTCGCCTTCTCGAATGTTGTGTTTTTTTAATAATGGTAATATACTTGTAACTCTACAATTACTTCCGTTCAAAAAAATGTTAAGGGGAATTTATTTCTATAAAAAAAAAGAATACTTTGGCTTCAGTGTAATGTGTGTACACATGTATTACAAAGTTGTCTATACACACCAAAGTTTGTTTAAAAAAGTTCAAATTCCACGTTTAATTGCGTAGATTATAACAAAGCTAGCGTTTGCATTCATAATATATAAGGAGAATCCAAATCAAGTCAAATAAGTCTAATCAAATGAATTCTTCGGTTATGAGTATTAAGGGGGGCAGGGAAGAATGGTATGATCAAGGTAAGACGAGGCTTTCAAATGTGATATCGGTTATTTGTGAACTGTACAGAGTCTCCAAGTTTATCAAGCGCTCTTTTTCAGCATATAGCGACTTGTAAGCAGTCTTGATAGTCACCTCCGATACACCCGCAACATGAGCGATATCACGTGCAGTTTTAGGTTGCCGAAATAGGTAAGACACCAGATAAATACATGCAGCAGCAACCGAAATAGGTGATTTTCCGGCCAGAGTACCAAGCTCCTTGGCTCTCTTAACAAGGTCGACACCAGATTTCTGGACGTAGTTGGGTAATTGGAGGTTAGAGCAGAATCTCGACATCAAATCCTCTGAGTTCATGATGGTTGTGTTTGTCTGTAGCTTAGACTGCAAGGCCTTGTAGCATCTTCCAATTTCCTTCTTAGTCACACGGGTCAATGCACAGATCTCGCGGTATGTACGTCCAACATTCTCTTGACGACAGGCAATAAAGATACATGCTGCTACAATAGCGTCGCTGGACTTTCCTCTCAACAACTTCTCGTCCTCTACTCGCTTGTAGAGCTGTTTTGCGGTATCGCTCACCAATTTTGACAAAGAAATCGAGTCGCACATTGCACTGATCTCCTTGTAAATCTGAACAAGGTTACGCTCTCCCCTGACTGCTGTAGCTCGCCCATGAACTCTGTTGAGATCCCTAGCCGCTCCAGTCCCACCGTCTATCCGTGAGATAATTGTGTCCAACTGGTTGCCGTCCAACAAAGGATTGGCAGCTGCACCTACTCGAGACGGGTCCTACAGAGACATGGCCACATTGAATTTAATTTAATTTATAAATTAAGCCTTTCCTATTATTTAAAAAAGAAAGCACGAGCGAGATGTTGTCATCTATACATACATCTCCCTCATCGTTGGCAAATGTTCGCCATTCTGAGCGAGTATCAATAATACGATCGCCAAGCACAAGTCCGCATTCACCACAGACAAGATCCCCAGATGCGAACTCTTCAACAATTTGAGGAGGATCAACACGGCAATCAGGACATATAAGCTTTACACTGAGGTTTGGATGGAATGGCTGGGAGCCTGCATCTACTTGATGTGGCTCTCGCAATGGGAAAGGAATGGCTGTCGTCATCTTTTTCACAATCTTATTCTTTTTTGTGTCTTGTCTTTTTAATTATTCTTTCTTTCTCTCACAAAGATGAACTGGTTAGAAACAAAGATTTCTCAAAGAGATTGGAATAGAATGATATTGGGGAGATGCCTTTTTTGAAAAAGAAGTTTTTTTCTTTAAAAAAGGGGGGCAGTGATGAAGAAGTAAAAAGGGAAGGGAAAGAAGTAAAAAGAAACAACTAACAAAGGAGCACCTGCTGCGGCATTTTTGTTCACTTGCGTCAACCTCCGACACCACGAGGATAGCCACCGTGACAGCTTGTCCTGCCCAAGTCCATTTTTGTCCCTATTTTTTTGTTACTCTCCTTTTTCTGAAATCGCCAAACATCTGTTAAAACATGTTCAAACGTGCAGGAAAAGAGCTTGCTAAACAAGCAATTCACACAGAAGACTATAATGAAGAGATTGAACTGACCGAGGAACGACTAGCTGGCGTGTTTTCAGGATCAGAGGACGAGTCCGACGAGTCCGACGATGAACTTGTTATTCCTGCAAATTTCGGTCGCGAAAAATACTTAAAAGCCGAAATTGATGCCGATGAATCTGAAGACAATGCCTCGGATGACAACGGAAGTGACATTGAACTTAATGACGAAGAAGAAGAAGAAAGTGAAAATGAAATTGAAGGCGAAGAATCTGGCCCCGTTATTTATTCATGCAAGATTTGCCCCAACAAACATCTAAAAGTTGAGAGACAAGTAGAAATTCACTTGAAGAGCAAGGTAAGAAAAACTCTGGAATTCTTAAGTTGAAATTTTTCTAATCGTCTGTTTTTAAACAAAACATTGATAGGAACATAACCGACGCTTAAGATTTTTGCGAAAGCATGGTCTTGAATCGGACGACGAAATGACTGAACAACAAAAGGCAAGACTGGAAAAATCTAAAGAAAAGAAAGAAGAAATCAAAAAGCAGAGAAAATCCAAAGCACACCAGGTAAGGAATTGGATGATAAGGTGTTGCATTATATGGTGTTCATTGTGTTAATTTGTTCCACCCTTTTTTTAGAAAGTAAAGGATCACCGTAAAGAGCTGAAGAGAAAGCGATGGGAGCTTCAACAAGCCGAAAAGGCAGCAGAAGAAAAATTGAAAGCAGAAGCAGAAACAAAGAAAGAAATTAAGCCAAAAGCACCTGCCTTCAAAAAAGCAAAGATTACAAAAACTACTACTGTCAAAAAAGCGACTCTGAAGAACACAAAGGCAAAAAAATAATTCTATGTAAAATAAAATAATAAAAATGTAAAATATTGTTCACAAGTTGTGAAGTTAATCAAAATAACTGCCTACTATGAGAATTGAACTCACGACCTTCGCTTTACGAGAGCGACGCTCTGCCAACTGAGCCAAGCAGGCAACTGTGATAAATGGGCCATTTATGTATAATGAACAAATTAATTTAGTTTTATATATTGACATTTTATATATTTTTATTTTTATATATTTATACTTAATTATAGAATTATATTATACAGTCAAAGCTTGATATAGTCACTATGAATGAAATTGGTGTGGCTGCCACTAATGGTAGTGGATATGCCACTAATTTATTTTAATCAACCAATCAAATTGGTTCTAGAGTTTGATAAAAATATTAAAAAAAGTTGAAAAAGATAAAGTTATATTTAAGAGCAAAATAACATAATAGAAATGTCTTTTTTTTACATTTATATCATATAGAGAGTATAGCAATTTGATTTATTTATTTTTTATTTGAAATCATAAAACTTTTTTTTGTCTCATTGTCAAGATTGTTGTATTTTGACAATACCACTAATCAATGTGACAGACCAACTATCTTTTCTACTATGTTGTAAATGAGTATTGACTACTGCTGTAATTGAGAATAAGTCTGAAGGAAATAATATAAGGCCTCAGCTATTTCAGTCAAAGGTGTCTACCGATTACTTTATTATTTAACACACAGGTTTAGCATGCATGATAATGATTATATTTCATATGATGATATCATCATAATATGGGATACATCAGTGGATTATTATAAGCATAATTATAACTCATAAACACATTTACTTTCGATGTTAATACTGCATTAGGACTACACACATTTATATAATTAATTATACATTAATTATCCCAAGATCACGTTGCTCTGATTAAGGCTCAGATAGGATTGATTACCTGACCTCAGTCATATAATTTTCCCAATCCAAAACAATATAAATAGTAGTAGTTCAGTGTAGGAACCTGGTCAAACTTTGATATAAAATCCTTTCTCAATAAACAAAACCTACACAAGTTCTCACGAATCTTTGTTCCTAATCTCAAATCTTCAATTCTTCCTCTTAAAAACTTCTTCAACTTCAACCACCACAACACACTAATTTACCAAAAGTGTAGGATTTAAATTGATTTTTTTTATATTTTATTTTGCTCGAATTTTTACTTTGCATTTATTTTTCCCTTTCTACGTAAATGAATATCATCTTGAAGTTATTTTTTAAGATGATGGTGAATCTCTATAGCTACTTTATACATCTAATTTACATAACTTGCTCTCTATTTTATTTTTATCTGTTTTAATTTGCTAAAATAAAAGTATATTTTAATTATTGAAAAAACAAAAAGTTATTTTTTATTGCTTGTGAGAGGAGTAAGACATATTCCTGTTACAATGACAGAGGCTCGTGTTGACTTTATCCCAAGAAAAACAAATAAGATACCGAGTGCAACTGCAAGGATAAATATACTGATAAACTATCTGTGGAAAAAAAACAGAAGATAGATATCAGTGTATTCTTAGAAGAGCAAAAGCTCATTCAACTGCAGTTTCACATGTATATAAGGCAATGCTGACATATTATGTGCGAAGACGGCTGTTGTGGGGAGAAAATAAAGCAAAATATAATATAGACGAAAGAATTCGTGAGAACTTGTGTAGGTTGTTTATTTCAAAAGAAAAGTAAAGAATGATAAAATTCGATCGTCTTTCTACACGGAACTATCTACTGATATTTATATGTTTTTCTAATTTGTAATTCAGTGTGTGCTTAAGTAATCTTTATCACGATGAGTCATATTCTAGGAGTATTGTTCTTCTGGAAAGATCCGGAAAGACCAATTGATATGATACTTCTCCAGTCAGATCAGTCCAAGAGTTTTGGTAAAGAAGAGCATTTATGCTATTGGTAATATTTTAGTATTCCGACCCAGATACTCGGGTAATGTTTCATAATATTAGATAGTTGTAGTTGTAGTCTCTCAATTAAGTATTTGTATAATAAAAGAAATATGTAGATGAAATATAATGATGCCATATATATAATGTATATGTATTTGTATATCCCATGTCATGGTGATAATAATAAATAATCAATTATGTGTATGATGATCTGTGTATTAGATAATATCATAAAGGGAGATCCGTTTGACTGGAATAGCTGAGGATATTATTTTATCCTTCAGTCTTACTCTCAGATTCAGCAGTAATCAATACTCATTCACAACAACGGCATTGTAGAGACAAACTGAGGAAGATTGAATAGTCAACAAAAGTTGTACTACTCTTTGAGACTTGAGGAGTTAATTTCGAAATACTAGTTTGCTTTATACAAATTCAGAGATCAATGAGTTGCTGTTCTTCTCCTTCAAGAAGTGATAAAGGCTGAACACTAAATGGAGAAGTGACAAATCATACATATTAAATTTAGTGTCATGTAAGATATTTCATTAATACTTTTCTTTATTAAAAAATATGCTGGCAAAGTTAAGCAGAGAAGTTCAAGAAGAAGAGTTGAGATATGTATAGATTGTTCAAACGTAAAACTTAATACACTGACTAAAATATATTTTTAAAAGTAGCCTTGGTGAGGCAGAAAGTAGTGTGGCAGCCTCACCACCAAGAAGAAACATGCAGAGCCATCGAATTTATTTATTTTTGAATTCCCTGTTATTTCCATCTTCCAGAACAACAACAAAAAATTCTCTTTACAATCACCTTTTTTTTAATAAATGACAAATCAACTCATTTCCTCTACTTTCTTCCATTGCTTTTCCTGTAATCACATTCAAACAACATGCACCGCTCAAACTTCAAGACACTCTTGATATAAAATTACTACAATTGTGCTTTGATTAAAAAAAAGACTAATGCAACTAGAAAAACACATTTTTTGCAGTTTTTTTTCTTTCAAGCAGCTACTATATAATACACTCTTGACTTCCTTTCACAAAATACAGCCAATGTAAGTTACAGTCTTACTAAAGTGATATTGTATAGGATATATTAAACAATCTGGCTAGCTATCAATCAGTAGGTGCATCTAATTACTTGGGGCTTGTGCTACAGTATGGTAGCCACAAGACAATCTTTGAATGCAAACAAATTATAAGGGTATGCTTATGGGGCTATGTGTATTTACTTTATACATTAACTTATTTTTGTAGACTTTGACTTTAATCACAATTACTTGAAGCTGTTAATGAGCATACTTGAGGTAATTACAAAAAAAAATACTTTTAAGTACGTATATTCATAGTATTCTTTACTTTAGCTTTACACAACACTGGAATAGGATTGCTTAAACGTTCTTTCAATAGAAAAGCATCAACAATTATAATTCATAACGAAGAATCCCGTCATCCATAGCTGATATATCTAAAGATATGTATTACTCGTATAACTAATATATGAGTTAGTATATGTGCAAGATATATTGCTAGTATTATTATTAAACTTATATATGCATATGTATCATTATATGCCATGTTAAAGACATAGTATACTATATTATATTATATAGTTCATCGTATAGTCCATTGTATATTTCTATTATATATTCTGTTGTATATCCTACTGCGCAGCAAGCGTATGAATAAAAATAAAATCCATCAAATTTACCATCAAATTTTCCATATATGGATTTACTACCATACTTTTATCACCCATTTTTCCATATATGAATTTACTACCAATTTCTCTATATACAGATTTACTACCATACTTTTACTACCAATCTGTTTGAAATTAAGCCAATCAAACATACTGCTTTACTATTCAGTAAATTAGTGGCAATACCACTATGATTAGTGGCAAGCATAGCTCATTTACCACCAATTTCTCCTACTTTAGCGTAGTGTGGCCAGCCACCAAATTTCATGCAAATTAGTAGTATTGTCACACCAATTTCATTCATAGTGATATTAAAGCAACACCTTTTCTTTTGGTAGCATTCTTTTAAGCAGAATATATATCTGGACGTATAGAGATTTATATATTGCACCCAAAATTCCGAGAAAAAGATTCATATCTCGCGATATGTGAAATAGAAAAAGTTTTTTGAGCTCTTTATATCGAAGAGAGAAATCACACAAATATATTTCTGCAAAAAATGTAATCAGAACTTCTTGTAATATTCTCTTAAAGTAATTTCACCCCAACTAGCTTAAGCAAATAATTGCTTTTCTATTCACATTTATTATATTAAAAAAGTTGGTAAATACTCAAATTATTCAAATTATTTAGGAAAACATATTTTTTGCTTAAGAGCGTATTATTTTTTATAGGAATATTTTTCAAGTGTAATTTATGTTGATATTTATGAAGTGTATATAATGCAAAGGTAAAAGTGAAAATAATTTAATTTTACACCAAAAAAAAAACTAAAATACACGCTGTTTATGAGTATTTAAGTAGAGTTTCAAACAGGCTATCTTTTGCAGTTTAATAGCTATATATATTCGGATTTGAAAATAATTAAATAGAAGAGACATATTCTTGTTTATTTTTTAAAGTAGATGATATCTACATGTTTGAAAATAAGAAATACAATTTAAAATTCCTTTTTTTTATATAACATTCCCTCAGTTTCTTTACTGATTTTGAAACACACTTTTTTTGGAAGCTTTAGAAATTTAAAGTTTCTTTAATAAATAAATAATTAATTAAGCAGATAGAAGAATAAATAGTCGGTATATTTTTCAGGAAGTATTCCAGGAAATAAACTACATGCGATGCAAAAGCAATACTGTAGCAGAATAGGGGGCAAATGTGTAGTTGAAACCAGTCGCAGACGTAAGAGAGAATACAGATTCTTTGATTCCTACTGTATTTGGAGAGCTAGCAGAGTTGGTATCCTCCAATCCACCAGACACTACGCGAGCAACTCCCTGGGAATGAACACTGGCACCTTTGAGATTAATACCGATGGTTTGGGAAGAGCTACCAGTGTTGACCATCTAAAAATAATGTTTAAATATTTTAAGTTCATTAGATATGATACATCCCAATCAATTGACCAATTAATTTACCAATTAATAATAAGAAAAGCAAAAGTTGTATTTACCTTTACAAATATTTGCTTAGTAGACTCCTTCGAACCAACGACCCAGTAAAGAGGACCAAAACCACCATTAGAGGCGTCCACTTGAAGAATAGTGTCGGCACCTAAGTTTTAGAGAAAGTAAGCACACATATAAACAAGCCCATAAAAAAGCATTATGTGGTCAACATACGGTTGGCACTCCACAAGAGTTGAATATAATAGCTGGGAGTACCCCAGACGATTTCTGTGTTGAAGCCAACAAGATCTATGGATATATACAAGTTCTTTTTCAGTATATTTGAATTATTAAAAAGTAGTAAAATGATCTTACCAGGGTTCCACTGTGTCTGACCATCACGGTTCAAAAGAGGAGCATAGGCAATCATCTTGACCAAATCGGAGTTACGCTCCAAACCTGTCATGAATACAGCATCTGCTAAAGCAGCATCCAAATTTGCAGCAGAAGCACCGCAGCATCCCTGCGAGTTTGTACCAAATTCACCAACAAAGATATCTGATCCGCCACGAGCATAATTATCATAATGATTGAATAAGGCAATCATTTCCTTTGATGTCAAGTAAAAATGATCGTCCAAAAGGTCATAAGGTCTTAAGAAAATTGTATATTAAGAAAAAAGCCAAGATTAATATAATGTTTTGCTTTACTTTAGTCTATCTTTATGTATGCAGATTACCTTGATGTTTGTGGACCTGTAGAGATAAACTTCTTGTCAGGATAGACCTTCTTAATAGCATCATAAAAGGCTTTGTAACGATAGTCGTAGGTTGTGCTGAAGAAATCTTCATTTCCAATCTCAATGTATGGGATATCAATGGGCTCTGGATGACCATGCTTTGCTCTAAGACTGCCGTAAGTGGTGGAAGTACTACCCATCAAATATTCGAGTTCGTCCAAGACTTGTTGAATGTATGGCCCCAAATTAGCTTCGGGAACACTGGACGTATCCAAAGAGTAACCAGCGTAGACACCGAGAACAGGAACCATATTCATGTCTTCACACATGTAAACATAATCCAAGAGACCTTGTCCATTGGTGTTCCAGTAACTCCAATCTCCAAAGCGACCCTTGCGCTCCTCAAGAGGACCTTTTTTTTTAGAAACGAATAAATAATATAATAAGTAAAGAGAATCATTGAACTAGCCTGCCTATGTTTTTCTTCGTTTCTTTCAACCAAAACTTACCAACTGTTTCATTCCATTGCCAGCGCTGAGGAATTGACTGTCCCTCAAGATTGTTTCCACCAGGGAAACGGAAGAACGAAGGTTGAACGGCTTCAAGAACATTACCAATATCAGAACGGATACCGTTTTCTCTGTCCTTATAGGTCTTTCCAAAAAGCGAGAACACATCAAACCAAACAGATTTTCCAACAGCACCTGAAGAAGCCACAGACACAACAAACTTATTGGTAATGGTTGTAGTGGTTACGGAAGGCTTGAGGGTTACAGTAAATTTTTGATAAGCTCCGGTCAGACCAGAAACAGAAGCGCTAGCAAGGACGGTGCCCGAGTTGGACTCAATAGATACAGTGAGTGGGCCAGTGAAACCCGAGGTTGCCTTTGCGAAGAATGTAGCGGTGTAGGATTCTCCTGGCTGGACTCTAAGACCCCACCAGCCTTCATTGGAAAAGCCAACACGAGAACTTGCGCTCGAAGTCGTGACATCAAGACGCAACGAGTTCTTGTTGATCGAATTGAGAGGATTTGCGGTATCCAGCGTGATAGTGGCTGAACCAGTATTTTGCTTTACTAGGCTCCAGTGGGAAAGATCAGCAGCTCCTCCAGTGTCTCCGGCCTGGAAGTTCCAATTACGAAGCATCTGCCCGTAAAGACCTAGTATGATAAGACCCACCCCACAAAAAGAGAATGTCAATGTTTTGATCTTGCGGATGATTGGTAAAAAGAGGAGGAAAGGAGATACATACCACTGTCGCCAGAATAATTAATATCTTCATACATGAAACCATACAAAATTGGAGAGCTAGAGTTTCCGGCAACATCATTGCGAATTGTAAGAGACAAAGCAGAAGCTGTATTGACAAATGTACTGGAGATGCACAAAAGGGCAGCTACAGCGGATAGGCTCAAACTGGTGGAAGAGATCTAAAGCACAAACGAGACCCATTGCAATTTTATTTTATTTTATTTAGTTCGTTAGATATAATTCCAGTGAATTTAATTCATACCTTCATTGTTATTAGAATATTTGCAAGTGTCAATTAAATGCAAGGGTATAATTAAAAAAAAAGACAAGAATAATCGCTCTACTTATATATGAACGCTTTTGTCTTTTTTTCTGTAGTTTTTACTGTTGGGTTTCCCAAAATTTACCGTTTTTCTCACTATCAGGGTAAATATATAATATAGTCTTTCTTTATTTTCTTTTTAAAAACAGTTATTTTGCTTTACAAGTAAACTTACGAGCTTTAATTGGAGCCCGAGAACCTGTGGTAAATTGTGAAGGCTATTCAGGTACATTTCTAGCGTATTCGGAAAATATGATCAAAAGGAGTATTATGCAATTTTTGGCTATCTTATTGAAAGCTTGACTGTGGGAAATTACAAGGCTCCCATTCTTTTTTGTTTTTTAAAGAAAAGACATATTTGTGTCAATATATGTAACATATGATGCTTTGTAGTAGTACCCAAGCTACCAAAAGAGAGTAAATGTGAAGCTGTGCGGGGGGCACTCAAACAAAAGAATAAAAGAATAAAATAAAGCCAAGCACAATAACATTGTATTTGGCATAGCTTTGTACGTTCCTCGGCTCCATGTTTTAATTTAAAAAAAATGGAGAACATGACATGATTTCTGAGCATCTTTATGTTAATCTTGGTATATTCCACAATTAAGTATATATATAAGCTAGTTTTATAAGTGAATATGCGTACGAAATCAGTTAATATCCAATGATTCTTAGTACATTAATATAAAGTAACTAGCATATGTAGAAGCTGTATACATACAAAAGATACAGGGATAGAAGGCCATGATGACTGTATAAAGGCAAAAGTGATATTATTTTCCGCCATATTATCCGAAAGTAAATGGTAACCTTCTCCATAAAAATTATAATAGGTTAAGAACAGACTGTGTACCTTGAACCACATAATGCCACAATGTACGAGGACACATTATACAAAGTCTTGTTAAGTTTTCTAATATGATTGGACGATTAAATTCTCGGAAAATTGATTTTAAAGGCTAATAAAGTCTCGATCGTTGTGGGTACTCCATTCAAGAGCAAATCATTGCAATTACTCGGTAAATCCCACCACTACATAATGTAATGTTTTGCAACCCCCAAATCTAATAATAATAGTAATAATGTATTTTATAATGTCAAGGCGAATACGTATCACAAACATATCATTAGTCATATTCTCTCTCTCTCTACATATTTTTTTAATACGATAATTTATTCAAAATAACTGACAGACTTGAGGATATAATTAATTAGCGTAGTTTTTATTTTGATCTGAAGAATAAAATAAGATTACACTTCAGCTAATGGTGTACAAGATTGGATTTATACTCTTTAAAAGGGTAAATTTTACTGAATTTTCCATTGTTGGCTTTTTTATTTACTTGTAAGAGCTACACTATTTTTCTGAGAGCTAATGTTGATATAAATTAAATGTTTAGTAAGAAAATAAACATAGATATATAGCAATACAAAGATATTATATTCAATATTCCTCCAAAAAAAAACATATATATTATGGCTAGATGAGTGCCCGTGGTTTAACCTACGAGAGTCCTTCTTTATTGATGGATTAATCTCCTTGGTACGAGGGAAACGCATGAAGAATACCTATATTTTGGGAATTCTTATTACTCCTTTTTCTTATAGATTATTCTCCGTTAATCATTAAGCTTTACTGCTGTACGTGGGTGTTGTACATAAATAGTTACTCAAGGATGTAGTCAACTTTTCCAAGTACTATAGGAGAAATTCATTTTAAGTAGGAACTTTATTTGCTTTAGTTCATGGCCACCACCCCCTTGTATTTAAAGTGCTTATTTATTTCAAAAACAACAACAACAGGACACACACACACATACAGTAAGAGAGATAAAATTAAATGGTACACTAAACAAAGGGAGGGGATTACAGGATATTATTTTGGAGAGTACAAAGTCCATCAAATATAAGCATAAAATGTATTTAACCGTAACGTTCTCATACACCTTTCCATTCATTCTTTAATTACTAGCTTATTAAAAAAACTCAAAAGTGAAAAAATAAAACAAAACATAGGCAAATTTAGTAGGAGAACTTTGCGAGCGTTTTTGGAGGGTTCAGATATTATTTTAAGGCTAAAATTTTGATTAAGTAATACTTTTACTCATTTTTATATGTTTCGATTGCAATATTTCTTATTTATTTTTTTTGGTTATTATAGTTCAGAAATAAAGGCACCTTTTCAACAAATCCCACTTTTGCCTCATCATGCTTTTATTTTATTTTACAATTAACGCAAAGTACCCTGTATTTCCCCCATTCCCATTCCTACTGCAGTACAGAAAATAACAACAATAAAATATATTACTAGATAGTATAAAAGAAAAGTGAAGGTTGAGAAACTTGTTGGTTTGACAAAAATACGAAACGAAAAGCTGGTAGTATTATTGATTCGACTCAACGTTTGAAATTGCTTGTTTTGAAGCAAGAATACCTGAATCCTGGTCTTTAGAATTTAAAAAGAACTTTTATAAATTGTCTTCCGTTTAAGCCCACCTCTCTCTTTATTTTTCTTAATTGCAAATATGAATCTCAATAATGTGTTATTCAACATATATCTATAAAAGATAGAGAAGTATGTTATTTTATATAAAAAATAACCTTTTGTATTCCGCAAGAGAACATCGATATAATATTATTTTCTATAGCAGTAAAGGGTCAAACAAGGGCATACATACATATGTATATACATATATTTAAAAAAAAAGCGTCCTTCCAAGAATTGTTGGAATTGGTATTGGTTATTAGATATTTAAACATATATGAAGAACAAATCAGTGGACTTCTTTATTTACAGAATGCACAAGAACCATTAATTAGTTAATTCATTCATTTGGCATTCACCGACGGACGTTCTTTACGCATTGTGTAGAAAAAGTAGTGGAACGCATCTCCCATTGTCCGGGTCTTGATATCCCAACAATCTCTGGTAAGATGTCTCTTGCGGAAATGGGGTTGTCCAAAAGTGATGTAGATGAACACACCACCTACTTTAACCACACGCTCAACTTCGTCCACCTCAGCCTTAACCTCGGCAATCAATTCTTCAGAGGGATCCCATACATCACCACGATCGCACATGAGAGCGTCCATGGTACCTAATATTTTTAAATATAATTTTTTAATTAATAAAAGATATATATATATCATTGTTTATAAAATTAACATTTACCTTTGTCAATAACAACATCAAATGAACTAGAATCGAACTTGAGATCACGAATATCCATTTCCAACCCTAAATATTTTTTATTAAAAAAATTAATAATAATCCAACCACTAAACTATATATATATATATTAGTTTCATGCATTAACTTACACTTCATTTCGGGCATGTGTACACATCGACTCTTCATATTTTCAATGACAGTTTTTGAATAATCGATATTGGTGATGTTCTTGTAGCCATCCTTATACATATCTTCTCCTAAGGCTTATTTTTTTTTGTAAAATAATAATAATAAAAAGAGCCTTTAATAATCAAATTGATATAACCAAATCTTACAAAACGCATATGCAGATCCAAAAATAAAAATGAGATACGTACTTGAATTTCCGCACCCAAGCATCAGAATTGAAGCTTCCTTGGAAGGAATAATCTCGGAAAAGAGTGGTTTCAATTCTTCATATGTCTTGAACCAGTCAAAAGTGGTGTCTGCGTTCTCTCTGAGAAAGTATGAGGAAAGAATAATATATAAGAAAAAAACGACTTTATCTTGTAAGTCTCACTTTTGGTAGCGCTCTTCCCAGTAAGCCTGGGTTTTGTAGGCAGTTGGATCGTCAGGGACGACATCGAGGGACGTTGATGCCACCATGTCAAAAGCAAAAAAAAAAGAAAAAAGAAAGAAAGGCTTCAAAACACAGTGCTAGAGAGATAACAGTCCAAAAAAAGACCACCAATAACTCCGACTCGTGAACTTTTTGATGGCTTTTTGTTTTATGTACGAATGAAATGCAATGCAATGCAAAATAAAAATAATAGTAAAAAAGTTAATGAGTCTATCGTAATTCATATCCTTCTTGTTCTGAACTTCTTCTTCTTTCAAAGTCGTCGCTGTCTCTATAGGTTGTCAGCGCACCATCGACCATCAATATTGGAGTGCTTTCAGCAGCCATGTTGTACATATGTTTTGGGTCTTCGCTTCTGTCCAATTCCTGAGAATTAGACATCTCTTGGTCTTCAATTGCCTTATTCGCTGCCTGATTTGCATTTCGAATCTTCATCCAGTTATAAAGGCAGATACCAAACAATGTGATGCACAGACCAACAGTATTTACAATTGTAAGACGGTCTCCGAATACTAATGTTGAGACAAAAATTGTGGCCACTTCCTGTTGAAACATATATAAGATACGCTTGTAAGATTAATATATTCTCAAATTTATGCAGCTTTTTTATCATTATTAGCATTACCTTGAAAATACCACACACACTAAGAGTGACAACTGATGTGCGTTTGATTAAGAAGAACTCGGACATGATCATAAAGAATGCCAAGGAACCTCCCAAGAGAATAATACCCATCTGTTTTATTGCACACAGCATACACATCGTTATTAATATATATATCCTTTTGAGCATTTGTAGTTGCTTTTTTTGTAGCTTACGGTGTGCATAGCATCTGAAAATGTCACAAAAAAGGCACTCTTGAAGATGGTGATATAGCCCTCAACTGCCCCTGAAAGGACAAGAAGAACAATTGCCTGGACAGGTGCCAAGAAGAATATTGAGACGAATGGATTGGTTAATCCCATACTTTCTTTTCGTAAAAGGACCTCTGTGAGACCCCATCTCAAGCCACCGCAAACAGAGGCTGTCATGACTTCCAGAAAACTATGTCAAATGTATATATATATTGACATATTGAGTTGCTTAATCCCAATACACACACAAACAACAATCTCTCTCTTATTTACCCAGACCAGACAAAGTCTGTTTCATCAGAGACCATGAGAACAACACCCGCTGTGATGATAAGGATGATAGTGATCAACTTGACATTGGGTTTCTCCAACTTGAACATAAACGCGAATAGCAAGACGAAAGCCAGGGTAGATGATTTACACATGGCTTAATTATATGATACAATTGAATTGTATTAGACAATTGCAACAACAACAAAAAATGGAGGGAAAAAAGGACACACAACCGAGAAATAAATAAATAAATGAATAAATAAAAACTTACTATAGAATGAGAGAGTGATGGTCTTGAGAGAGAGATTGGAGAGACCAATGTCAAAGCTGGTGGCTAATGCACAAGGAAATATTTTGTATCTAAGCTTGACAATGATATTTAGTTTGTGTATATTTATGTCATTTAAGTGTGCGAATATTACATGTATTCTTTGCCAGTAGGAATCTTCTTGGGCCGGAGCTTAGGTACGATAAGCAGAGAACATCCAGCAAAGATTGACTGTACAACCATGTGGATTGTAGTGACAAATAGAGGGAATTGAAAGTTGTAGTGCTCGGCCGAAAACATCCACTTGTTGTAAACTGACAAGATGGTAGCAAACTAAGAATTATATATTAGCTTACCCACGTCTCCAACTCTCACTCCCCTCCTACTCCCACCCCCTCCCTCTCTATTGCTCCCTTTCTGTTATTTTACAGAATTTAATTTCATTTCATGTTTGCATATATATATGTGTGTGTGTATGCGTGGGCGTTCATACTCAATCCGAAACTTCAATAGGCTGTATATTATAGCTTACCGTATACCTGTATATATATATGTATTCATATGTATTCATATGTATACATATTATTCTTTATTTAAGCTTGGGGTTGGTATTAAGGTTCCAAGACACTTACCACGTTAATATCCAGAATAGATTGATAGCCGATGTCTTTAACATGTTCTTTCTGTGGGCATTCTTCATTTCTTTTGGCGTTTTAGTGGGAATGTTTGTGGAGATGTCTTCTGGTTGTAGTAATCCTTGGGTTGCAGATGCATGTTCTTCAGGTGCGTATAAGGTGCTGTCGATAGATAACCGTGGGTCAGTGTTGGTCTCTGTGGTAATCTGCCCAGAAGCGATGACCATGATGAACGTGGAGTTTATTTTAAGCCAAAGAAGAAAAGAAGAAGAAGAATAAGAATAAGAAAAAAAAGAAGCTAAAAAAGGAAAACCTGTAACGAAATAGAAAGGAGATTGTCCAGGGCAGGACTTGCGTTTTCGTTCTTTGGTAATCCGCCCTTCAAACCTTCCTGGACAGTCTGGCTTTCTTTATATATATATATATAGATTGTGTGTGCGTGTGTACCGTTTGTGCCGTGTGTGTGTGCGTATGTGTGTTTTTTATTCATATTTTTTTATATATTTTATTTAATATATATGTATATACGTATATATTGATATATTGACATATAGATATATAGATATATAGATATATTGTATTGTATTATATTATATTATGTTGTAGATAGATATACATAAAAATGTATGTATTATGTATGTATATTGTGTGTGTATATATATAGTATAAAAGTATAGAACCACTTCAAGGTCCCTCTTCAAAGCGTCTTCTTGCCTGTGATTATTAACAATAAAAATGTTCAATACAATACACCAATACGGATGAATACCTACCATCTCTTTGACCCTGTCTTTGTAAGAATCAGATCCATCTGAAGCGTCTCTCTTTGCATATGCAGTACCAAGTCCTGCTCCCTGAGAATATCTCTCTGCGTTTATAGGATCAACAATACCAGAGCCATCCTTTCCAAGTCCTTCTCCACGTCGCCATCCCATTAGCTTCAACATACGTGCGCCTACATTATCATCTCCTAAAGCTTTTTTTACAGAAGCACTTTGAGTAGGTCTAATGTGTATAATTATATATACATTTATAATTATAATTACACACACACACATATATATATGTATGTATGTATGTGTTTAGCACAGGTTTGTTTAGTTTGTATGTGTACATGATTAGTTGACTTCAAGAAATAGATTTATATATATATATTCTGATATTACTCTAACCTCTCATCGGGTCTGAGTCGCGGTGGAGGACGGTGAATAGAGTCTGAAAGAGATGGCTTTTCTGGCTGACCATAAGCTTGCCTGCGCTCTGCAGCTCGATTACGGTAATGTTGCTGGAGAGATTTGAGTTTGGAGTATCCTAGATAAAGAATATCTTTTCTTTTCTTTCTTTCCTTCCACACACACACACACACTAATACTAGCACTAATACTAATAGTAGCGGTAACACTAATAGTAGCACCGATACTAAACGCCAACACTAGAACTAGCACTCGAACCCTCTCCCCCACACTTTGCTGTATATATACACCTCCTTCTATACTTTGGGTATGTATGTAGCTCTCTTGTTCATGCAATTTGCCTTACCTCTACAGCTCGTTCTTCTGCCTTTTCGGCTTCAGATTTCACAAATCGTTTCTTCATCCGGGCTTTTTCTATGACAACTGGGTCCTGGAGATTCTTCTAAAAGGTTCGTTCATGGGATTGACAGAACAAGATATATACATAGAAAGGGTAACTTTCTTTGTTATCACAGGAATATAACTTTAACCAAAAAAAAAAGACCACAGCTCTACTCATAGTCCCTGACCCATTTCGACCCTTTCCCCTCTTTATATCTATCTCTCATCTATCATTTCTTCCTGGTAATATATACATATACATATATATATGTATATACATATACACCTGATTGAGTGTATTCGTCGTACTTTGTGAAGTTCAGAAAGCTCTTGATGCTTCTCTAAATCCTGACCAGACTTGAATTTACGCTGACACAGCAGACATGCATTCATGACTCTATCCGAAAAATCGTCGTCTTTTTCTGATTTATTTTCTGTTGCTGCATCATCTTCTTCGTCAGCTTCTTTTTCGGCCTTTTTTTGTTTTGTCTCTGTTTCTTCCTTGGAATCTTTTGATTCCTTTGTTGATGGTTCCGAAAGTTTAGATTTGGTTTCTATTTCAGCCGAATTTTTGTCTTCCAAAGGGTCTTTGAGTTCAGCTTTCTTTTGATTCCATTTCTGAAGTTGGGTGTGGATCTGCAATGGATAGAGCGATGACGAAGGTATGTAATAGTCAAATACAATATAGTATAGTATATGATTAATTAATTAATAATCATTAACATATAAACTTTTCTTCTTTCTTTCTTTTTTCATTTACCTTTTTGGATGATACTAGTGTATCTTTTTCGGCTCTCTTTCGCTTCCGTTCAAATTCTTCTTCCAAACGAAGAGCCGATTCAGTAGAAAGTTTAGATGCAGATTCGACCTTTTCGGCTGTAGGTTTGGGTGCAACTACTTGCTCTTCAGAGAGCTTTGATCGAATGACAAACTTGATAGCTTGTTGTTGTTTGTGAGGAAACATGATACGACTGTAAGCAGTAGAAAGGGAAAGCTGAAAGTAAAAAAATAATAATAATTAAGGAGAGGAGGAAAAAAAGAGGTGCCCCATGAGAGTAAGAATTAGAATTAATATATATATGTAATATAAATATAAAGTAATATAATATTACAGTACGATACAGTATATAAGGACAATACAAATATCTACTATCACTGTAGTAAATGGCAGACATTACAACTCCGCCACCGTAGGAATTATACGGTCCCGTATATCTTATATGAATCCGTATAATTCCTACGGTAGCGGAGTTGCAATGTCTTCCAATAGAATTTTGGCTTTTAGTAAATTAAAAGTACTTACAGTGAATACTATTTATTGGAGTTAAAATTACTTTTTATCTAATCCAATAAAATCGTATAAAATAGCAAAATTATACCATTTTTAGGTACATATTTCTCTTTTTATAGCAAATTTGGATAATACAATTCGTTGAATTTCAAATTATTTTTGCATCTAATCCAATCAAATATTCTAAATATGGCAAATCTATACCTTTTTTTAGATATATTTATTCTTATAATTGGTTCAACAAATGCACAGTTTTATATTTGAATTTTATAGTTTTTATTGATCAAAATAAAAGTTTAATAATATTTAGTAGCAGTTTAAGCTATAAAGTTACTAAATAATATACATATATCTGTTTTTATGTGATACTTTTTACATTTTTTTAGCTAAAAAAAAAGGCTATTCTCTAAGTACTATGATATTGATGAAGGCATGTATATTGCTTAATTGATTCTTTTTATCAAAGATAATAAACCTGCTTTGTGTTAACATTGTCATGTCTGATTCCTACTTTTGAAAAACCAGAAGACAGATTCCCTGCAATTCTCTAAAGCTACCGAGATCTCTAATGAGCATGCGAGCAATCTTGACAGCCAAATTGTACTTGATGCAGATATTTTTCTGTCGATTCTTCTCAAGTTACTTTCTTTTGTCAACCTTGCTGATTCGTATTTTATTAATACTAGCCTTGCTAGCTATTAAGCATGTTTCTTTTAAAGACATTTAATAATTCTAGACCTTGTGAAAAAAAATAGGTAAGTCCTTTTAGATGTACCAATCTAAATTGTTTGGAGAACATGGACGGGTCAGAAGTTATGCATCGTTTGTGGAATCGGGATCTTGCTGCTGTCCTGAACTTCCGACATATACTTAAAAATCTGAGATATGATGGGACTATACCTGTAAGGTTCACCCGCGTTATTCGGATTGGATGTATCAGAAGACAAGCAGAAGAAGATCTCCAGGAGGGTCGTCGTTTGAGACAAAGACTGACTAGACTTCAAAGAAGATGAAAAAATTCGTCCTGGTTACAGCTTAGGACCCACCCAAGCTACCGCTGGTAAGCCATTAGATTTGAATAACTTGGTATTTAGTTTTGTAATGGGTTGAAAAAGCTAAGAAAAAGATGTTTTGCTTTGACTGCAAAAAACATGGTGGGGTAAAAAAAAAAAGTAGAATATAAAAGAGAGCGAGAGAGAAATTGGTGCTTAATTAAAACTCAACTACAAGACACTTTAAACCCCGGAAAACTTGCAACAATTCACTAAAATAGCCTATTTTTTTATATAGGGTATATATTTAAATGCGTGTGTGTGTTCCTTTCTCATTGTGACTTGTGAGGCGGTCAATAAAAGAAACTATTAGCATCGTTTGGTGTGTCTGTGTGTGCCTGTCTGTAAAAAGACAAAAAGACAGATTATATAACGTGCCTGTGTGCATACCAGTGTGTGTCTATATATTATTCTTATTTCTTAAGCTATTATTTTGATTTATTGATATTGTTTTTAAAGAATATATATATATATCCCCCTCCTCCTCCAACAAAAGTCAAAGCCAAAATGTCAAAAATCACAGGAATGGCAGCTACAACATTACCAGCAGACGACACTATACTTGAACATAGATTTACAAAATTATGCTATCATCTGAAATCATCACCAGAAGAATCAGCTCTTCATTTTCCATTTGAAATGAGAGCCATAGTTCAGAACAGGTGAAAAGAATTAAAGAAAATCAAATAAAATAAGAAAAAAATAAGCTTTTCCTCTGACAAAGGATTCTATCACCGTGTTACTGACACTTGATCCAGAATCGATCAACTTGAGAAAATCAATGTAAAGAATAAACAAATCCAGCAAGAAATTACTCTTCTGAAACATGAAGTCATCGCATGGAATCTATTAGATTCCTTTTCACGGTAAATATATATATATATACATTATGCATATAAAGATTTCAATATTCCATTATTTATTACATTAATTCATTCGTTTTATTGTTTCTCTCGCTCTCGCTCTCACGTTTTGATAGTGCAAGCTCAAAACAACCTAGTCCATTATGGCATTGTTTGGTAAGATAATTTAACGCTTTACATACAAATATGAATTCAAAGCATAAAGACAACATAATGTTTATATATATATGCGTGTGGGAAAATATGCATAGTATATCAAATCATGGCTAGAGGAAACAACCAAAGCAAATCTTACAGAAGACAGATCACCTTTTGGCGAATCTGATGACGATATGGAAGATGAGATACCAGTGTTGAATTCCAATATAAAGGCCAAAGAACAGGCCAGACAATTAAAAAAACGAAGACTGGACTCTTTTGACAGACAAGATCTCGAAGCTTACTACATAACGATTCTCAAGCTGATCAGACGCGGCCAGTTTGATGAGCTGACTAGCTTGGCGTCCCAACACACCGATTCCCGAAAGGTTTTCTTCATTCATTTTGCTGATCTTATGAAGAAGGCAGAAGGTACTACTATCTCTACTATTAAAGTTGATTCATTGATTGCTTGATCTTGATAGTTAATATAATTATATATATATATATATATATATCAAAAAGTTCCTCACGTACTCTATTTTCCTTAATTTACATGCTTGTTTATTTATTTCTATAGATGGAATCGGCATAGAATGGAAAGCAGAAAAACGAAAAATGTGGAAAAAGATGTGTGATGATCAACTTAAGGATGTATGTATATGTATATGCATATGTGTATATGAAAATTGAGTTTGATAATACATATATATATACTTATGCTTATTATTACTATTATTTGTTGTTGTGCAGAAAAATCTAGGCCCATACGGAAAGGCAGTATTCTCTGCAATAACTGGAAGGACAGAGCATGTAAGAGCTATCTTCTATTTATCATATATATATGTATATATGTATATACTCAGCTCAATCGATTCGATTTTGTTGCAAAAACAAAACAAAACAATAAAAATCTGAATTAGCTCCTTCCTGTGTGCGAGACTTGGGAAGACGTAATTTGGTCTTACAATAATGCATGTCTCCAAGCTACCATCGAGAAATTCCTTAGCCATCAACCTGGTTCCGATGATGTTTCGGTGCCTAGTCAACCCAATGATATCACCTATCTACCTCTTGAGATTGCTAGCCTAGCAAATGGCAAGGATATATTGCTGTCAAAGAAAGTACAATCTACACCTAAGCCTATTCATATACATAAATAATCGTTTTATATTTACTTACTTTCATGATTCTTTTATTAGGCCTGGAATTGCTTGTTTCTTTCACCATGCACAGACAATATTTCTTTCTAGCAAGCCACTCGAGCTTATTGATTGTTTGTACACCATTTGTGTAGATAAAAAGTGGAATGCACTAAGTGGCATTAGGTAAGTAGAAAAATATAAGAAGAAAATTGATTTGATTGATTGACTTGAATGGTAAATTGTGTTTAGTGAGAATCCAAAGTTACAGGACGTATTCTTGCGGGTTGCAGCTTCCTTTGCTCTGTATGTTCAGGTCTATTATAAAATAGACGATCCAAAGATCAATTCCTTGTTGGAATGTTATGCTACAAAACTCGCTGACCGATCTTTTGATGTAAGTACTCCCCAATAGCACATACAAAAAGTAGTATGTATACCAATTGATCATACCTTATTACTATCTATCTTGTTTTTTTTTGCTTTAGGACATGGCTATGTATACCTCAACGCTCCCAAGTGATTTACAGACAAGTTTCATGGCTAGATTTTTTAAAAGTAAATTCGAGTGAATGAATGCTCACAACTTTTTTCTTTAAAAAAATCTTGTTTTTGAGGTGTATTAATGAAATATGTATATCTAATATTGATAACAAAAAAAAAAGACTTTGATGGAGACAAAAAGGCATGCTCTGAACTAGTAAAGATAGCAAGAAAATACAGGGTGGATATTTCCAGTGTTCTAGAATGTATATTTGTACTCTACATGACAGAATTTGTGAATAAAGTAAGTAATCACTGTAATTATGATTATGGTTTTTATTCCAAATTGTTTATTACCATTTGTAGCAAGCCGTTTCTCAGTCTAGCCTACAAGAAAACTATAAATTTGAACTAGAAGGAGCGTTGTCAAAAAATGATCGGATCTGCCTCAAAGCCGTAGGTTGGCTCAGCATGGATAACGCTATGGCTAACAACCTGATCGAAAGAATCAATGGAGTCCTAAGATACCTACTTGGTGAGAAAACCTAGGTCAAAAACACCACAGACACACATTCGTATATTATTCACGTTTTTCAGACTCTCACATTCAAAGCTGTATTTTGTATCTGTAGCTACGCGTCAAATTGGATTAGCTTATTTTGTAGCCATTTCCGTTCCAGTTTCATATTTAAATACGTTTGCCATTTACGCAGACAGACCTTCAACAATACCCGATGTTGTCTCAGAATTCTATTACCACAGAAGTGTGATTGAGATTTTAAGAATGTATCCCAAATGGGTAGAAAAGCGAGACAACAAACCCGAGGACACGCAAGTATTTCTTCTTCATTTTTCTTTGTCTTGTTTATTAACTTATTAATCTATTTAGAGCAACCATTGAAGCACTAGATGCTATTCAAAAAGCGAGAGAAGATTTCCGTAATTTGACAAAGGAACTCTCGGAAAAGATCAAAGCTGTTCTGAATTCAAAGTGGTTGAGGGTTAGCTCTACCGAGAAAGAAGTCTTGAAATACATGGACTGGGATCTGGAACCAGCTCTGATCGAACGATTGTCTAATGCTGAGCTTCGAAAGGTCTACATCACACAACTTGTATTCTACCTCCACGATCTTTACTTTGATACCTCGGATATCTTTGAACAGTAAGTTTGAACTAATTATTACTTATTGATATCCTTTTACTTAATATTTTTCTTTCTTTCTTTATTGATCTTTTAAATATTATATTATATTTTACACACATATACATATATATATACATGCATACAATAATCTAGGCATTGCAAGGATAGTCTCAACCTTATGGAACTTGTGTCTCAAGGTCACCATGGTATTTACAAAGATATCGAAGCTGCGGGAAAAACAAGCCTTCTTTTGCAGCGTCTTTGTAAATCAAAACTTAAGATTCTAGAAGTCTCACAGTAGCAAGCAAACAAGCAAATAAACAACAGACAACCAAAATAGCAAACAAACAAACAAAAAACTAGAAAACTAGAAGAATAGAAAGCAAGCGAACACTATTGAGGTAACATTGGCTCACACACGCACAAGCAAACTATCAGACTAAGAAACTAGCAAACATGTAAACACTACAGAGGTAACATTGACTCTCTCTCTCTCTCTCTCTTAAACACACACACACTTACGCACAGACAAATAAGCAAACATACAAACTAGCATACTAGCAAACACGCACATGCAAACATGCAAGTAAGCAAACATGCAAGTATGCAGACATATTTTGTGCATGTGTGTGCCAATGCTATTTCTATATTGTTTGCATGTTTGCAGGTTTGTTAGTCTGTTAGTCTGCTAGTTTTTTAATCTGGTAGTCTACCCGCTTGTTTGTATGCATTTGTGTGCCAATTTAAAAACGAAATAAATAAATAAAATCTGTAAAATATTTTATAGCTCTTATATATATATATTTTGCAGCTTACAAAATAAAACCAAAACCAAAAAAAAAAGGGCAAATAAACCTAATTTATTTGGAGTTAGTCTATGATCTCTTAATATATTTTACTTTATTCCTTTTTAAGCTAAAATCTCGTAGATCATTTTTAATACTACTGCTAATCTTGAGATGCCAAGAAGTTTACATACAACATTTTTAAATATCAATAAAATACTAACAAGGTACAAATATATACATAGAGATATATATATATATATATACGTTTCTTGGTCGATAAAAATAAGTTCCTTTTTTTTTGAATCAGTAATTATAGTGCGTGTAATGTTTGTGTATTATTTAAACTCTGCAATATATTCTGTCTCTAAAATATAAAGGTGTATAGGTAGAAATACAGACTAAGAAAATGAGATTACTGAAGTACAGTACAGTGCAGTTTAGTGCAGTTTAGTGTAATGTAATGTAGTGTAGAATAGATAGATAGATAGATATACTACAAAGAAAGTAAGAGAGATAAGAAAGAGAAAATACATAATGATAAAGGTATTGAAAATTTCGGATAGAAAAAATAAAAAAATAAATGATAGAATAGGATAGGATAGGATTAAGGTATTCTTCTTCCTCTTCTTCTTCTTTCCTTCTTTGACCAAAATTTATATATGTGGGTTGGCTTGGTTTATAGATGGTATTATTATTATTTTTTCCAAAAAAAAATAACATTTGTGGAGCTTATGCTGCGATCATGACAGCAACCAAAAGGACAGCGCCACCCAGGGCAAATGTGCGAGGTTGGAGCATGCTTGCGGCACTGTTGATGGATTGGGCGCTGTCAGTTTCTTGGCTGAGAGGTTCGGAGGCAGACGATGCCTTACCGGAGGACTGTGAGTTTGGGATTTGACTGGGTTTAGAAATAGGGTCCGAAGAAGAAACAGCAGGAGAGGGTACGGGTACAGAGGTGGTGGCAACTGGGGTAGATTCAGCGCTGGGGGTGGTCTCACCGGGTGCGACGGTACTTGATGCAGCGGGTGTAGCCTCAACAGCAGAGCTGCTGCTTTCTTCAATTGGGCTAGTTGTTGTAGGAGTAACAGGATCACTGGTTGGAGCAGTAGTTCCATCACTAGTAGTAGGGGTGGTGGTATCTGGAGTAGTTCCAATAGCAGAAGTATCCATTGGACCACTATAGTCACCGGGGATAATGTGGGCACATCCTTTCTCAGAGATACCACGGTTACAGTTTGTTGTGTCATTCTATTATAAAATATATAATAATGATAATAGAAAAGATAAGTAAAGGAAATTATAACAGTAGTAGCAGTGAGTTACTTACGCAACATCTCATACAATAAGTCAAATTGATGGGTTCAATAAGATTGACATAGTAGGTCCAACCAGCACAGGTGGATCCTATGGGAGCTCTGACGTCAAACTGACCACCTTCGTCAGATACATTGAGATTGGCCTTGGATGGGTCGATTTGGCCGGTTACTTGGACGTACTCATCTGTGGCTACAAAGTGAGCAGACTGAATAAAGTCGGTGGGCATTGTTTCGGCCCCGGTTGCCTCTGGGGTTGAGCCGAGACAGAAGGCGTCTCCGTCCCACTCAGTATCAGAAATGAGGCGATCGACCGAGTCTGAGGGAGGCAAGAAGACGCAGAAGTTGGACGCATCGACTACCTGAGCGATCTTTCCACTAGCACTGACAACGTTTGCGAGCAAGCCAACAGAGGCAATGATTGAAGTCAACTTAATGAGCATTACTGATATTGTTTGTTTGAGTGATTAGGTGAATTGAAAGACAAAGACAAAGACAAAGACAAAGAAGAGGAAGAAGAGGAAGAGGATGAATAGGTAAGTAAGTCGAAGAATTCAATGGATTTATATAATTTTATATATATACACACAAATGGTAATAATAAAAGAGAGAGAGAAAAAGAAAAAGAAAAAAAAATAAAGTAAAAAGGAAATATATATATATATATACAAATGGCTCAAAAATAGATATTGATAATGTCACACATTGACTGGACTTATAATTGTGATCTGACCTTTTTGACCTATCGAGTGAACCAGCCAAGACTCAAAAAAATATATATATATAAAATACATATAAAATAAAAAGGAACCTCTTGACCCTTGTGTATGTGTTCCTTTCCTTTCACTATATATATATCTTTATTAATGACCTTCTTATATATATATATATGTGGGTGTGGGTGTGTGGGTGTATTTGTGTGTGTGTTCCATGTTTTATATTCCCCGTCTATGCCCGACCTATTTTCTATATTTATTCCTTTACAATATGAAAATTAACCTCTTTGAACCAAATCACAATAGATTTAATACACATATCAGTGTATATAAATATAAATAAATATGTCTATGTATAGATAGGTAAATAGACATAATAATTATGTACAGCTATGTGCATCAAGGTATATAATTACATTTATTTACTCCAATAGGAAATATTTTCCTCTAAATCTCAATACTGATTACCTTTTATTGTCCTTTACATCATGTTACTTTTGGCTTGTGTACATGCTGAATCTATATATCCATATGTATCTCTTTATCTTTCTATTAGTCTTGGTCGAACCATAGGAAAATAGATAAATACTCTTTATATAACATAATCTTGATATTTTTAGCCTTTTCTCTATTTTTCCTTTTTTGGGTATTAATAAGCTGCAGCCTTTTTTCTTTCTTTTTCCTTATATATATATTACAGTCACTATACTTGGAGTGTGTTGAAAAATTAATGGTTAAATGGAACAAGCTACACCTTATTTTGACATGACCTTTTCTGACAACTCAATCAATTACTTGTGCTCTCAGTAAATAACAAACAAACAAACAGATGATGAGCACCATGCTTTATATTCCAAAAATATTGCTCTAGCTATCACAATGGGGCCATACATTTGTTAAAAGAAAACCCCCAATTGAGAAATCAAATGCTTTAACCAATAAGACATCTCAAAGTCCTCATTTGAATCTAATCGAATACTTTTAGCATACTCCAAGAGCCAAAGTACAAGATATCAAGGCCTTTATTCTTCAAAAATCAAGAGACATTTGACCCCCAAAAAAAAGGAAGGACGTAAAGTATCTGTTAAACGTTTTGGCTCAACTTTCATATAAATAAAATACAATAAAAAAATACACTATATCTTGCTGGAAAATAATTGCGCACACCCTTCAAGAAAGAAGCAAAATACTGGAGTATGAAACAGATTAAGATCCAGATACACTTGTGTACTTGCCATTAAATCATATTTCACCACGCTTCATTAGACATCAATTTGTTTCAATTCTCATTCATTTTATTATTAACTATATTGGTAAAGAAGACTGAATATACTACAGCACAAGCATTGAGCCTTTTATAAAGAAAAAAAGCCCTGGCCATTAATGATCTTTATTAGATGTACCTGAAATAGATTTAGATCCAATTGCTCCATTGCTTAAATTCAAATCTTTTTTTTTTGAACTGATTTGTAGTGCTGAGTTGCTCTATTCGTCCAATGCAATGCCCTGTTTCTTTGGTTGTTTTAGTTTCTTTGTCATCGAGTGAATCAGATTATAAATCATTTCTAGTATCATGATTATTTATACGAGGTATTGTTTAAAAAGTCTATAGCAACGTATACAAATCTGTTTATTTCCGGAACTTTTACTTTAACAATGATATTCCTTTAAGCCAAAGAATCACCATGGAGAAATGTTACTTATTTGCTGGTAAAATTGAAAGTATATTGGTAGAAATCATTTTCTGGAATCTTGTGATTCACCGTCAATTCTTAAAGCCGCCGAAGAGAGCAGAAACCAAATCTCATAAAGTGTAATATTATGACAGCATTTGAGAAAAAAAAAGAATTATACTATAGCCTTTCTATTAACCAGCTTCATTTAGTCACTCAACCCACAATAGTTGAATTATGCTTAGCTTTCCCTTTTTATATCTTCATTTAATGCCCTTAATTAGGTATATCATTATATTATCAAAGGTAGTAGTTTCTAGTGATCCACACCAAAAATATTAATAGCTAATTTTAATGTGGTGTGGTGTCATTTAGAGTAAGTTTAATGACGATAGATGTAATGTTGACCAAGGAGATAATTATCAATAGAATAGAAAAACTTGTGGTCGAGAATTATTTTCTTATGCTACCTTAATGATCTAACGCGTATTATACTGTTAATTATTCATAAAATAGTTAATGCCTTGTACAAAAACACACACACGTATTTGTATAGAAAAGAAGGGGAAATGAGTAAACGTATATAATAATAATAATTTGTTATTTTTAAGCCGGAACTTCGGATCAAGAAATGACTGGTACGACAATAACCTTTTTTCTTTATTTCTTTCACAAGCTCTACCGCGACTAGGGTAACCTGCCAAGAAGCTAGGTAAATCGTACCATACTTGATTAAAACTCTATCTTTTTTTTTTGCTCTGGTGCATGTGTCATGTTGACGTATATCATACAAAGCCAACCCATTCATAACTATGCTAAGATAAAATAAAATAAGAAGCGAGAAAACCTATGTATATATCAAACCATAATCATTTTTGAGTTGATCGCTTTCAAGTAATTTATCAAATCTCCTTTTTCTATACTGTACACAAAAGAAGTATTATGTTAATATAAAAAGGTATTGATACGGAAACTACAGAATTCAAATAAAACCATTAGATTATATTATATAACCTTTTTTTCTTTTAAAAAAAATTCCTCAAGAAATTGTATCATTATTATCACTATTATCATTATCAGTTGGTCAAGCACAAGTTCAATGCCAAAGAAAGGACGAGGAGACAGGTGAGGAGAAGTATGCTTTTGAACGCGTAGTTTACAAAAGAAGCAAAGAATAAAATAAGAGTTCTCCTAGACAGGGTCTACAGTCCAAAATAATAAAAGTTAGTACTTGTTTATATTTGCCTCATACCAAATTGTACATATATTTTTTTTTTAAAAAAAAAGAAAATTGATTTATTGATTTTGGCCTTTTTTCTTTTTCTTTTCTGTGATCTGATGGAAATGTCATTTTTCGCCCCTCAGCTCCTTTTGTTGACAGCATCATTATCTAAAGTCTAATCACAGCATTACACCTCTCTTTATCTTTATGTTGGCCCTTGAATTTACTTGCTCATTAGTCCACTTCCCTTTCTCCCCAACCCCTACACACCCCTCCCCTACCCTCCCCTACCCTACCCTACCCACCTCTTCCCTTGCCCTCCTTTCCCCTTTGTCTCCTTTGGTCCCCCGAGCGTGTGGAATAAAGTGTCAGAAATATATGTGCATATATGTGATAATAAAGAGATAAAGAGAAAAGAAAGAAATAATTGTTGTAGATTTTAAAGGTCTATGATACAAATAACACCCCTCACCCAAGCATATATATATATATATATATATGTGTGTGTATATTCCTTATTATTATTATTATTTGATAAATTATTTTCTGCCAAAATAATTATTGTTATTCAAGGTTTGAAAAATCAAGGGTAACATATATAGTGCTTGTTGCCTGTTGCTTGTTGCTTTTACTTTATTTTTGGTGTGAAATAGAATACAACAAAAGGATCACAATTTGAGTTGTCTGATTATTTGAAATATTTATCTAATTATATATAATATCTGTCTTTTTGGGTGTATCTTATTTTATCTATTGATCACATCTATATCTTAAGTTGGAGTCATTTTTCGATGCCATAGTACATTTGCTATAATTTAACTCTCAGCTCCATCTCGATTTTCAAGGATAAGCCACTCTAACCTAAGAGTCATTGATTTGGCATGGTTTTTTTTTTAAAAAAAGACAGCCAGACAGAAAAGGAGATATAGAGAGAGAAATAAACCCCGCTTTACGCTTCTTGCATACATTCTCTTCTCTTTCTTTCTCAACGCCATGGCACTCATCTCTAGGTAAAACCTACAAAACCCAACACCCAAAAAAAACCAAAGTCTCTCTTGTCTATCAATATCAACTAAACGTTCAAATATAATTATAATTTTCTGTTATATATATATAAAGTAACTGTCCTGACCTTAAGCTTATTGCTCGTGGAAAGGTCCGTGATCTTTATGAAGTAGACGAGCACTCGCTGCTCTTTGTCGCCACTGACCGTATTAGTGCCTTTGATGTCATTATGAAAAACGTTTGTATTCTTCACTCACTTGTCTATAAATATCTCTATATATACTTTGAATAGTTATAGCTACAAGTTTGGTTGTCTGTTTTTTTTAAAGAAATAATAATAATAATAATAATAATAATTGTTATTATGTATAGGCTATTCCAGGAAAGGGTAAGATCTTGACCCAGATCTCTTTGTTCTGGTTTGACCTTCTGAAGGATGTCCTTCCCAACCATTTGATCACTGCCGACTTTGACAAGATGCCAGCACATATCCAAAAGTACCGTGACCAGCTTGACGGCCGCTCGCTTCTTGTCAAGAAGATACGCGTCTTGCCAATCGAAGCCATTGTCCGTGGTTATATTACCGGCTCTGGCTGGTCCGAGTACAAGCGCAAGGGTACTATTTGCGACATTGAACTTCCAAAGGGATTGGTCGAGAGCCAGAAGCTACCCGAGACACTCTTTACTCCAAGCACAAAGGCTGATATTGGTGATCACGGTAAGTTTAAATAATAATAATTATTATTATATAAGCTAATTTTTTTGTAATAAATGTAATAGATGAAAATATTCATCCTTCAAAGATGGTTGATATTCTTGGTGACAAGGCTCTTGCTGATAAACTCACCGAGTCAGCAATTGCCTTGTACACGAAGGCGAGCGAATATGCCGCAAGCAAGGGAATCATTATTGCCGATACAAAATTCGAGTTTGGTTTGGATGAGAACAATTCCTTGGTTTTGGTAGATGAAATCTTAACTCCCGGTAAATAATATAACAATTCTACTTTTATATATATATATATATATCTGTTTTTGGTGGAATTATTACTAAAAATCCCTTATTCTTCTTTATATATCTATCTATCTATCTATTTATTTATATGTGTAGATTCTTCTCGTTTCTGGCCTGCAGCTACTTATAAAGCCGGAGGTGCTCAGGATAGCTTTGATAAGCAGTATTTGCGCAATTACCTAGAGTCAATCAAATTTGACAAGGAAACTAGCATTGAATTGCCTACCGATGTGATCGAGAACACCTTGGCCAAGTACAAGGAAGCCTGCAAGCTCTTGACTGGCGAAGATGTAAAGTTATAAACTTTAAAGCACAATCACATACATATATATTTATGAGAAAAATAAGATGAAAAAAAAAGAGTAGTATTAAGTACCTTGACACTGACACTGACCAAAAAGTCAAGTTGTAAATAACAAACAATAAAATAAAAGTAAAATATATAGAGAGGATGACAGTTTGTTGTATATTTTATAAATTTGAACGGTAGAATTTTGAAAATCTTTCAAGATGATAGATATAGTTTTTAATTTCTTCTGGTTACTCTGCTACTCTGCCACTTGTCTAATAATGGAATTCCTGTATTGACCCACCATCCAATACTTTCCATCCCACTGGGTGATTGTTGAAATGAATATGATTGGAACACATGAAGCATATCCTGTAAAGCAAAGCAAAGACAAACCAAATGAATATATAAAAGAACCTTGAGGTCATATATCTATATACCTCGTATACTTCGTGTTGTATTCGAGTCGTCTTTGCAGTCTTTAGTCTATAGACGAGTTCAGTGATTTCGGTCTGGAGTGATTCTACTGCGCCTGACTGTATCAACAGAGGGGGTAAATGTTCAAAGTGATCCGCATAAAGTGGTGACACATAAGGATGTCGGCCAAATCTGTGCAGATCGTCAGGTCCAAGGTAGTGTATGGCTGGATTCAAGGTTCCTGGAATCTCTGACCGAGGTACGAATACATTATTCACAACAGTCTCATTCCAGACAGAGTGTCTGTAGGTAAGGTCAACGCACGGCTAACAATATCAACTACAAAGTCAGTGAACCAAATGAAATGAAATGTTTTTTTTTGAGTGTTGGTTGTCTTACTGAAAGTAATATAGCACCTTCTGGACATGGTACGCCATGATCACGTAAATAAAGCATCATTGCTAAACAAAGACCGGCTCCTGTAGAATCTCCAGCAACAAAAATGTTTTTCGGATCAAAGCTGCCTTGACTAGATCCATTTATTAAGTTCAAATACGACTGTACAACGTCGCACAGTGCTGCTGGAAAGCGGTTCTCGGGTGAAAGCCGGTAATTGACAGCTAAGTTTTTATTATTATTATTATTATTATTATTATTATTTATATTTATATTTATATATGCATATGCATATGTATGGTCATCAATAAATAAATCACTCACTCACTCACTCACCAACTCATTCACTCAATAAATCAAGCGATCAATTAATCAAGCAATTAACCAAGGTAGCTTACCAAATACTCTTCGTTTGGTTACCTTACTTAGTGCACAGGTAACGCTGCGATGTGTCTGGGCACTCATGCTGTAGAATCCTCCGCCATGTATATAAAGAATGATCTTCTCGTCTGGTCTGGCTTGAGTTCTGGTTGGCCTAGTGTCTAATCTCTGGCTTAAAGAGGGCAAAGAGAACGAGACGATGGACCAAAAGAGCCGTTTTGTCTTTTTGGTTAATGTATCCTCTTCTTCCTCATCCTTCTTTTTGTTCTTATTCTTCTTTTTCGTCTTCCTATCATAGTCCTCGTTCTCGGTAGATACCCACTCAGCACTCATGATCCGTGTTCCAGCTTCGTCTTCCTGGTCAATTTCGCTCAGTATGCCAGGCAAATTTTGTTTGGCGCAGTAAAATGAGCCGTCTTGGATTGTCGGCCGATAAGACGGAATAAGGCAAAGAAAGGCCGGCAAGTGGTTTAAGACCATTCTCCAGAATCCGATACTCTTTTGGCACGACTGGTCTCTGAGGGCCTGGATGAGACCCACTCTTGCGGTCGTCTGGAGATTCCACGAGGGCATCTTTGGCTTTCCGGAAAGGTGGGACCAGACATCCAAGGTCACATTGAGGATGTTTATGGGCAGCCAGAGAACAGAGTCGTACAGTTCCTGGTACACCAGCCCAGGGTCCTGTTTGATCTCTTGTTTGGCATTAGATGGCTTGGATAGGCCAGACGGTGGTGGGATCTGGCAGCATATTTTTGAGGTACATTCTTGAAGTTGGATCAAGGTCATTGAAATTCGGTTTGATTTGATTTGGTTTTATTGGGTTGGATAGTGTTGAACTTGGCAGTGATTTATAGAAGAGTATTATGAAGGATTAGCAACAATTATTGTCGTTATCGCTGTTATCGTTGTTGGTCTGTTAAGAGGAGAAATAGAGAAAGAGAAGGAAAAGGAGAAGGAGAAAGAGGGAGCTAGAGAAAGAGAGAGAGAAAGAGAGAAAAGGCTAAAGAATAATCATTGGGATTAGGACCCATTATTATTGTAGTTATTTTATGATTTATACAAGACAAAGTCTTAATCGAATTGTGCATTATATATTTTAAAGAAAATATATTGATTAATAAATAAATAACCCACACACACACAATATTTGGTGTGTTTTATGTGTGTGCGTGCTATGCTGTTTGATTCCTGCCCATGCTTCACAAATTCTAAAATACCTATAGTACTAATGGCTACAGTGTTTCTACTTATTGAGATAAATTAGGAAATGTTTTGGATAGAACGAGAATGAACTTTAGACAAAGTAGACATTTATTCAGCCATTTTACCTATATGTCTAAATGTCTCAAAGAGACAAACTAATTTAGGTACAGTAATTGAATTGTTGTTGTGGTGGTGATTGCTGTAGTCATTTCTGTACAAGTACTCGGGTTCATTAAGAACATCTTCAGTGGTTAGGTTTTGGAAATCATTAGATATAGTGTATACTCGTCACACCGAGAATTGAATACAGGTCAAAAAGAGATGCTCAAGTTGTGCTTATTTAATAAAAGAACATTTAAACCTTTTGACTATCTAAATGCCCTTTCTTTATTGGTCTTTAAAACCTGTAATACACCGTGGAAGCGAGATGTTAATGGTGCAAAAAATATGATGATAATTTCATTCTCGTTCTGTCCAAAGCATTTCCTAATTTGTCTCAATAAGTAGAAACACTGTATTTTTTTTTCTTGATTTATAATCAGCAATTCTTTTGGGAGATTTTCTTTGCTTTTTTGTTTGTGAGACAAAGAAAAATAATAATAACAACAGCAACAAAAAAAAAGGGGGTAATATCCATAGTAATGGTAATGGTAATGGTAATGGTAATGGTAATGGTAATGGTAATGGTAATGGTAATGGTAACGGTAGTGATGGCGATAAAAAAATAGTAGCAGTAATATATTTATCTTGTCGTTAATCATTCGAAAGCCTCGTCTCTCTTTCCTTCATGAGCCTTAAAGAAGAGTAAGATGTATTTGATTCATAGGGCATGTATTGGTATCTAAAAAGCTATTGTCTGTCATGATCTCACCTCTTCTTCTTCTGCTTCTTAATATGTTAATGAACATTGGCATTCTAAGCGATCTAGGCTGCCGTTATTTTGAATTATAAAAAAAAAACCTATCAAATGAATTACTAGTATTCAGTATCATAGTCGTTATTGTGGCTATAATTTTCAAAGGTCAAAAGTTTTGATGAAGGAGAATAATTAAGATGGAGGAGGAGATATCAAAGTGTGTGAAATCAAGGGATCATGCAAAATAACAGACCTTTTCTTCTTCTTCTTCTTCTTCTTTATATATATATACTTATATATATAAAAAAGCGGGTTTAAAAGTAAGGAACAAATGGAAGCAATAAAGAGAATATTCCTTGAGTATTGACAATGTTATTTATATATACATACACGCATATATATGATCAGCATCCTACTACTTACTAATATTACTATTTAATCTTTGAGATATTAACAGCTTATTGTGTGAAAAAGTCATAATCAATAAGTCAACCAATCTACTTATAAAAATTGGAGCAGAAAGCATTCTGGCTTATTAATTTAATTTCTTCTTTTCTTTATTCAATTGTGAACAGATAGACAATATATATTATCTAGGCTATAGCAACAGCAGCAGAAATAATAGTTTATTTTGTCGCAAGAAGCAATTAGAAGGACATGGATATCGTGAAGCATAGAAACCTATATATAACAAGAAGGGAAGGGGGTTGAGTTTGTTCCTTTGAGGGTTGGTTTGTAGTTGCACGGACTACATGGTCTTGGGCAAAGTCCAACAAATGCGTAATGTGTAACCCACGTACTCTATACGAATACACCATTAGCTAGACAACACCAAAGTATATATATATATATGTATGTGTGTGTAAGTGTAAAAGTGTATAGCATGTATAGCGTGCGTGTGTCTCTTGTGTATCCGTGTTACATGTACTAGGTTGATAGATGATGTTCTGCTTTTTCATTTTCATTTTCTTCTTCTTTAAAATATTACCCAAACAAAACCTTGATATCAATTCAATATACTCTGTTTGTCTCTCTCTCTTTCCCTAGCTCTACTACTATAATAGTAATTATAGAGATCTATTGATGAGTTTCTTTATATAGATAAAATATAAAGGCAAAAGAAAGTTCGAGAATTGATACTAAGAATCTTCTTATCTATTAGATCGACTGTACAACTAATAGAAAATGGAAGGTTAAATAGGTAGGTAGGTAGGTAGGTAGGTAGGTCAACCAGTCTGTAAGAATATATATATCTATATATAAAAAAAAGGGGGAGATGGAAATAAGATTGTGTGCAGCCTTTTTGTACTGTGTCATGAATATATTATTACAAAACTCCTTATTTTATTTTATTTTTTGTTCTCGAAATAAATACTAAAAAGAAAGCAAAAAAGAATTGAAATGCGCCTCTTACTTTATTGATAATTTATTTCAGGCAAAATAAACATAAAATAATATATATATTTCTGGCTTGCTTGGAAGGATATTAGCTGTGTGGCAATTACCCAATTATAGATCTAGAACATTTAATTCATTTTTTCTTATAACCTTTTATATGTTTGTATTCTTCTTTAATAAGCCTATTAAATACCTGTAGGGCAATCTAACGTATTTATACACACCAGATGAACACTATTATAAAAGAACAAATATAATCTACAAACAGCTTATGTGTATGATACTCTATAGCTTATTCCAATACTACTGTTAAACAAGGAGATGTACACTGTATGTATTTTAAAGTGGGGTTTTTGGGTACATTTTGTACTACTGTCTGTCTAAAGAAATAATAATAGAATAGAATAACCATATATCAATTTATCTAATTGTTTATTATATGTAATTATCGATTAGTGATTCTCCTTGGTTTTTGCTTTGAAAGAATTTTCGATTTATATTTATATTTATATTGGTGATACTAATTCCCTCTATTTATCACCAAAAGGTAGCGTGTGTTTGTGCTTTATAGTATTTTTATATAATAACCTTAAAAACTAAAATAATAATCAATGCAACCAAATGCCTGGAATTTGTCTCTCTGAATGTCTATGGCCCGAGTTGTAAGTAAAGAATATACACACAAATATAAATCTAATCTTCTGTGGTTGGCATATGTACCCCCCTTTTTTTTCAAGCATAAAAATAAAGCCGGTCTATACATCCTAGTGCTTAATGTCTATACAGCAAGTAAAGAAAAAAGAAGAAAAAGGTTAAATAAAGTAGTATAAGGAATCTAAGGTTCTCCGCTTTCTTATTTCTTTACATATTTAAAATAACAAAAGCAACAACAATGTGTATATATATATTTATTACAAAAATACGCTCTGTAGAAGCACGAATTCGAATACCAAAATTGTAAGCCAAGATAACTCACACATACAGGAACGAGAACGTTGATAGATAATAATATCAATAACACAAACTTATTTCTTTCCTTTCTTTTTGTATTAAAATTTACACCTATGAACGAATGAATTTTTTTAAAAAAAAATAGTTTATATTTTCCATATATATATATGTATATATATATATATATATCAAAGGAGATCAATACAAGTACATATATGTATGTATGTATGTATGTATGTGTGTGTATGTTTGTATATAGACATACATACATATATATATATATATTTATGTGTATGTATGTGTGTATTTCTATCAAGAAACTCTAATAATCCAAGGGAGTATGCTAATGATAACGATAATGACAATTAGCATTAGTTTCAGTATCACTTTTTCATTTTTTTTACAGTAATGAGATAGTTATATGTATATACTCTATTATACAGCACCAACGCCATCTAGAGTCATTTTGTATTACCCGAAATATAGTATACCTGCTTTTCTTTTCTTTTGTTATCAGTTAAGATTAGGATTAATGATTTTTCCCACAATGTTTGGCGGGCTTTAATATGATTTTATAGATAGTTAATTCTCAGTCATTGTATCTCCGATTATAAGCACAATTGTTTTTTTTGTATAAAAATAAAGAAATGAGAGAAGAGAAATCTTAAGACTGGAAAGCCAGTTACAACCATAACGTGAGCAAAACACACATTGTATTTATTTATTAATACAAGAAACTACTCTCATAAAGATTGAATATAAGTAAATTGATTTATATATAATAACAAGGAAAAATAATTTTGAATATCTGAGATACAAACAAGAAGGATATATAAGCTCCTACTAAATAAAAAATAGCACCGCACTTATTTAAAGAAGCGCAAATGGTTAATATAACGTGATTGACATAAAGAGAAAACTAAAGATAAAATAAAGAGTAAAAAAATAACAAGGTAAAAAGAAATATACATTTTATTGTACTCGCTTTATTAAAGTATACAAAAGATAATCTTAATTTTTTTTTGTAAAAGGGAATGATAATAACTGCCAATACTAATACAAACACGAATACCAACATCAAAACCACTAACAGTAGCAATATAAGGTATATATATATTTCAAATTGTCAATCAAAATTAAATCAATTAAATCAGTCAATCAATTTGAAATAGCCTTTATTTATTTATAAAAATAAAAGTAAATAAATAAAATCCTCCTTTGTTTAATACCCAAAGCTTGTAATGATTAAGATAAAATGTACAGGCCTTTGTCATCCCTGTTTTGTATGACAGTGTGGATTTTCCAGTACACAAAACACAGGTGACTAACTCTTTTTGTAGTTGATTGATTTTTTTTTATCTCATATTGCAAATATTTC